GTCAATAACCTGATCACGAAAAATATGATCAGGGATAATAAACTCGGTAACCGTAATGTCGCCATGAAATAGCATGCGTGTGGTTGTGACGATATACATAAAGAGTAATGAAGGTTGAAAATAGGTTATATCACATATCTAATAGTTTTGCTGATGATTTATTTAACAAAATAAACTAGCTTGTTATTGCTACATATGCTGTCATGAATTCTCAGGATTTGACTATTTGACACTTGGTATGCCGAATGTCCCATCTCTGTGCTAAGACACCACAAAAATTCAGTTCCTTTACATGTCTAGATAGCGAAATAATAATCTGTGTAAATTCAATTTTCTAATTTGGGTCAAAATCGTGAAAATTTAAGCCTGTGTATTGTAAATAACCCATTATACAGTATATCCCATTGCCTGATTTTAGGGGTGACCAACGAATTCAATATATCCCTTACTTCAGTAAAGATTAAAAAAAAATTTAAGTAAAGGTTATAAGCTAATTATGCCAATTAAATATGATTGTGGAAAAATCATCATCATTAATAGGCTAAAAGGTATGAATGACTAGACATTAACTGAAGCACAACACAGGAAAAGTTCATGTTTTGATTAAGGGAAATAACTCTGTAGTCTTGTATTGATTTTAATCTCTTTTTGTTTGCAGGGTTTGATAAAACTTCGTGGTGACCAGTGCTGGAGAGATCTTACCTGCATGAATTATCACTACCAGGTAATTTAAATATTGGTCATAATTACGAATGACCTTCACCTATTTTCACTGTCACAGGGGTCAAATATGTTGAAATCTTTAAACAATTTCTGAATAATTTCTGAAACCTAAAGGTCCAGGGTAATGATATTTGGCTAGAATCCTGCTGGGATGAAAGGCTATAAAGTCTATTCAACATAATGTCCTTTTATTCGACTTTCAAGGTCACATATGTCATATGTTTACATATTTTGATATATTCTTTTGAATCAAACACTAATGTATTGTCTGTAGCTGTATTTTAGCCCACTTTTAAGATTGCAAGTGTGAGATTAATTCCAGATTTGCGATTCAGGCCCATTTGGCCTCTTGTTTGTTTATATAAAAAAACAAGTCTCTGAATCAAAAAAATTGAACAAGAAAATGTTTCGACATTATTCTACTAAATATAAGCTAATAATTTCTTTTTTCAGACCCAGCCAGTACCCAATCCCCTTAGCTATTATCTGCACCAATCACCAGAGGCCTTTCATCATTTTGAGACGATGTCCAATCATTTTGTAGAACTCATTGTACCTTTGTTTTTATTGCTGACGAGAAGGATGGTCATTATTGGAGGAGCCATTCAAGTTCTGTTTCAGGTAAAAAAAGAAAAAAGAAAAAAAAGTTGGCATATGTATATTTTATCAAGCAATCACCTTTTTGAAAAACAACAAATATGAAGATGTAAAACTCATTGTTTTATGTGTGACCTCATGACCTTAGAAGACATGATCAAATATTGAAGACTTGGGGTTGCAAATTTCTATAAATACACCCCAGACCAGACCAGATGTTGTTTTTCTTCAAAATTCAATATGGTCACACTGGTCGACAATTAGCAAAGAAACGATTCCAGTTTTATGTTGCACCGGGTCATTTTTAGTGTGATTCTTACGATAATATGGTACGAAGTTGAAGATGAGGTCCTTCAAATGTAGCCAGTTTATGCGATCTCAGTGAAGCAGAATTCAACGTAAGGTTATCATGGTCCTAGGTAAACTTTGCGTGTATTGGCATACTTGCCAGCTCTCCCTATTTAGGAGGGAGCTTCACGATTTTGGACTATTGTATTTAACATCTTCATCCAGGGAAATTGCTAAACTATTCAAATATTAGAAGGTCTAAGGATTTCATCTGAAAGAGCGTATGTTATTTTAAAAGGTTATTTTGTCTCTAGGGGGTAGATACACACATTTATTTTATGTTTTTGAATTTGAGCTCGCAGAATCTCCCAATAGAAATATCAAAAGGTGGCAAGTACCCGGTATGCATTAGTTAAAACTGCCAAACTTCATTCAGCATGTCACTTATTTAGATTTACTGACTAATTTTACTAGAGTCATCTAAGAAAGTTTGGTATGAACAGTGTTTTTTTTTTAGAGTACCAGGTACTTGGTATAATATTTACTAGTATTTTCCTGGGACAATTTTTCCCCCGGAGTGAAACGAAGAAAGTCATGAAAATAGGGAAGATGTTTTATTTACCGATTCTCTTTTAAAAATTCAAAAACATGTTAAATCATTTGGACAGACAGATGTGCCTTACAGTTGCTTCTCTTCCATTTTATTTATTTAGATGTTCAAAATATATGAAAGTGAAATTCATGGTTTCAGGTCATCCTTATAACGAGTGGAAATTTAAGTTTCCTTAACTGGCTGACCATTGTCCCAAGTCTAGCCTGTTTTGATGACACCAGTGTGGCCTGGATGTTTTCTGACCGTAGAGATTCTGTAAAGTGGAAGGTCAAGAATATACAACAGCTGACCAAAGAAGGACGCTATACACTGAAACCTGGTAGGTCAAATTGCCTTGATGTATTTTGTATGTTTAAATGTTGTGATTTGAAAATCTTTCAGAAATAAAAATAACATCAAATATTTTACCCAATTTTTGTCTCGCCCCGACAAAGTTGCGGTAGCGAGACTATGGTGTTGCTTTTTTGGCGACAGCAGCGGGGTTGGACGGTGGCGGCAACGATGGGGGTCGGCATTGAGTTTTTGAGTTTAACTTAGTTTCACTGAAAGTACAGTATAAGTGCTACACCAACCAAACTTGGACCATAGATGCATCTTAGGTAATACATCTCAAACCAAGCATCAAATGCTGGATGCAGCCTACCTTTCATGGTCCATTGACTTTGTCAGCATCTCCATATCAACATTAAGTGTTTGCATTTAAATTAGTTTCTCTGATATGTGCATTGATGGTCAAAGTGGGGCACATGCAAGACATATCAATTCAAACGGCTAGTTTTTATTTCTTCATGAAAAACCCTGTTACTGGAACTGATAAAAGCTGTATGTATGACATTTTGGTAGGATTTCACTGTACCGCACGGATAGTGATCTGTCTATTGATATTATCAGTAAGGAAGTATACAACACTGTCACAAAAGTGTTTCAAATTTTGTCCATATTTACTCTATGTTTAACCCTTTCATAACTGTAGACACTAATGGAGTTGTCCATATCAGTGCATGGGAGAGTCTACTAAAGTTGCATAGGGGTGAAAGGGTTAATGCATTTTACCATCTTTTCGCTGATGTTTTAACAAGCATGTACTTCTATTGCAGGTAATTATATTCGTAAATTATTCAACCTGAGTGTTGGAGCCCTCATCGCATACCTAAGCATTCCGGTAGTCCAGAACCTTGTATCTCCTAGGCAGGCCATGAACACCTCATTTGAACCTCTTCGAATTGTGAACACTTATGGAGCATTTGGCAGGTAAATTACCTTGTACAGTAACATAGAAAAAATAATTTTCAAATTACAGACAAATGATAATAGTTTCAAATGAAAACTTTATTTAAAATTCTTTGTTATTTAAGAATCCCTGTCCCACTGCACTGTGTTTTTTCCTGTAAACTGTTTCCTCCCCTTAACTTCAATTCAGATATACGTTTCCCACAGTTGTTCTAGGATATTTCTGATGACCAGGTAGCTCAATCGGTTAGAGTGATGGTATTATAACACTCATAACACAGTTGTTGGTTATGTTTTGTAGATTTCATCTTTGATTTATCAAAGCCAAAATTATGCCACAAAAAAATCAGTTTCTAGTACTGAGGTACAGTTTTTGGAAACGGTACAGGGATCCTAAATCACAAATGAAAGGTCAACATTTCTACATCTTTGATAGAACTTGTATCATGAATTGTATCACAGGGTGATACTAAAGTATTATTTATCCCTACTTATCAGATTTGAATACAGCACATGAATATATTCATAATGTCAACAAATAAAATCACTATGTGTTACACGAGTCACTCGGGTGAATGTCAACCCCTGAAATCTCCAATGAGGGAGATCTCCCCCATTCCACATTTACAATGAGGGAGATCTCCCCCATTCCACATTTACAATGAGGGAGATCTCCCCCATTCCACATTTACAATGAGGGAGATCTCCCCCATTCCACATTTACAATGAGGGAGATCTCCCCCATTCCACATTTACAATGAGGGAGATCTCCCCCATTCCACATTTACAATGAGGGAGAAAGTGCGTGAAATATGACTAAAACCGCTTTGCTCAATTTATCTTTCCCTTTTTATGTATTAAAATAACTCCAAAAAGCATTCATTTGATTCAGACACGTGTAACGACCATTACACACACCCTGCAGCAACTAGGAGATCATTTGACCACAGGATGTAGATTTGAGTTTGTGCGAGTTTGGACTTGAATGAGGGAGTTTCGAGGGAGAGTGGTAAATTTTGCTCTAAATGAGGGAGTCTCTCTCCTAATGAGGGAGGTTTGACAGCTATGTGGGTGTGGTACCTCTTGTACATATTTCTAGAGAGTTCTTAATAATTGAAATCTGACTAGTCCAACTCAAGTGTGTGAGCATGTTTTATTTTCCCGTCATCTGACCAATATAATCCAATCAGACACTGTTATATAGATGAAGTATTAATATAATAATAATATTAATATTTTCCCCTGTCAGCGTGACTAAGGAGAGGACAGAGATTATACTACAGGGAACGTACGACAACCCTTACGACCAGAAGGCTGTGTGGGAGGAATACGAGTTCCATTGTAAGCCTGGCAACGTCACACGGCGGCCATGTTTGATCTCACCCTACCACTACAGACTCGACTGGCTTATGTGGTTTGCGGCATTCCAGGTATAAATTAAATCAAATCCTGATTATTATTTTTTTAGCTTTTACTGACTAATTCAAGCTTTCCAGATTATTCAGTTTCAGAATAATCCTTACTTTCTACTCCAGGCTTTGGTTTTGCAGCATTCCAGCAAAGTCAAATCCTGTTTCATCTTTGTTTTGATTTTTGTTACAGAATTGTCAAATACCTGGTTTGTTTGTGTGATCATCAGAAATTCATTGAAAATAAGGAGATGTAGAATCTTGGTTCAAATTTATCTTTTATTCACATGATATAAATATAGGAGCACTTGTATAGTAACACTTGTATAGGAGTCAAAATTTAAAGGGCGGGAAAAGAATGAGATTTTGCCTGATTCGTAAAACTATTCTTGTGCTGCCGTTCTGACTCCTTGCTCAAGCTCTATTCATAGTTCAAGTTAGAAATTAACTTTAAATATTTGTTATATATTGTTGGTACAAAGCATAAACTTGTAACCAGTTACCATTCTCATGTAAAACTTTATTTTTGCTCTCGTCACAGAAATCGAGGAGTTACAAGAAAAATACTTTAAGTACATCAGTTGAGTTTGAGTAGAAGAACAGTTTTATGAAAAAGTGCCTGGCCCTGTGTTACATGTAACTGTTCTGATAGATGTACAATCATCTCGGCTTCAGTGCTTGAGCCCAATTCCTTGTTCCAGAGATCCATCAGTTATAAATTTTACAATAATTTGAAAAATAAAATTGGAAAGAAGTTTAAGCTGAATACCATTTGCAGTGTCAAACACTTAATTTTGTGACTGTGTCGAATAATTTCAGGGATTTACAAGAATGTGGGTTCATGCACAGAAGTCTTGCATGCATGTTTTGTTTCATGACGACAGACCCAGGACTCTTTTCTATTAGTTGAAGCTATTTCGAAATTTTCAAACTCTTGGTTGGGACTCGACGCCAGAAATATTCTACTGACAATACTGTAAATTTGTTTTTTGCTTATAGAGTTATGAAAAGAACCCCTGGCTGGTGCACCTCTGTGTAAAGCTAATGGTAAACGATGAAGAAACCTCATCTCTGATAGCACACAACCCTTTCCAGGGCCGTGATCCCCCACAGTGAGTATTCGGACATCTCAGTAAATTTACCTCTCTATCTCCAACAGTAAGTATCCGAACATCTCGTTAACTTACCTGCCTTCCAGAGTCTCAATCCCCAAAAGTGAGTATCGGTACATTTTAGTAATGTAACACCTCTACCGGGGCCTCAATCGATATCCCCTACAGGGAGTATCGGAACATTTTAGTAATGTAACACCCTACCGGGGCCTCAATCGATATCCCCTACAGGGAGTATCGGAACATTTTAGTAATGTAACACCTCTTCCAGGGCCTCAATCCCCCACAGCGAATATCAGAACATTTTAGTAAAGTAACACCCGGCCCTTCAAGGGCCTCAATCCCCCACAGCGAATATTGGAACATTTTAGTTATGTTACACCCCTTCCAGGACTTCAGTCCCCTACAGTAAGTATTGGAACATTTTAGTTATGTAACACCCCTTCCAGGGCGTCAATCCCCTACAGCGAATATTAGAACATTTTAGTAAAGTAACACCTGGCCCTTCAAGGGCCTCAATCCCCCACAGCGAATATTGGAACATTTTAGTTATGTTACACCCCTTCCAGGACTTCAGTCCCCTACAGTAAGTATTGGAACATTTTAGTTATGTAACACCCCTTCCAGGGCGTCAATCCCCTACAGTAAGTATCGGAACAGCTCAGTAATGTAACACTAATCCGAGGACCTCAATCCCACACAGTATGTATTACCCGTAGAACATTTCTGTATTGTTACACCCTTTCAAGAGCCTCAATCCCCCACTGTAAGTATCGGAACATCTCAGTAATATTACACCCCTTCCAATGCCACGATCCCTCAAAGGGAGTATCTTTTCTTCAACAAGACTTATTTTAAAGCAACATCAGTCATAAAGTAGCAGAATTGGCCTGGGTCATATGACCATGATCTGATAACTCAGGTCAGTAGGAAATTCAAAAGAGCGGTGCCAAAACATGAAAACTGGATTAAACTTGCCAAGACTCCCCATTTAATTTTGTCTGGTCATCTCTTCTTTTGAATTTCTATTAATCTGATGGCTAGACTAATGAATTCCATTTAGTAAGTCATCAACAGGGGAACATAGTACTTCACTGAACACCTATTAGCCACAGGGACCTGAGAATTTGTTACAGCTATATTTGGACCTAAACTGAGGTGTTTTGAGTAATTTTACATAGCTGTAACAAATAAGCAGGTTCCTGTGCATTTATTGTATGTAGGATCTCATTTTCCCCCTTGTATCAGTTGAGTAGAGTATCTGTCTAGAGTTTGTTGATCTTGTGTATGAATCTCAATGAATATGTAAGTAAGAATGCTGGGTTGGCTTTCTCCACTCCTGATACCATATCAAAATTTGCCTACATTTAATTGTAAAAGCTGTTTTCTTTTCATTTTAGATATATACGCCTGCAACACTACAAGTATACATACACGAAGATAGGCAGCAAAGACGCCAAAAATGGAAAATGGTGGAAAAGAAAATTTATTGATTCCTACCTTAATCCAATTTCTCTTAAGTCTGTGAAGGAGTATATGAAACAGATGGATTATACCATGCCTCGTAAGAAAGCGAAACGAAAACTTAAAAGTCAGTTTTAAGATTAATTTTACGTTGTTTTCCTATTTCTCCTGTTAATGATGCTTTACCCTTATGTTAATAAAATTTACCCGAAATATTTTTGTCTGAATTGTTTTTAATTGAGATGGAATTTATAGTTCATAAACTGTAGTGTACAATTGTAATTTTAAATTGCATCTATAAATAAAAACATAAATAATTCTTTAATGTTCAGACTGACCTGTTAGGGTGTTCTTTTTGTTCTCGATAATAGATGAAAGATGATGAAGTGATGTCCACCACACCATATAAATGTGAAATCCTAATGTTGCGAGGCGGAACTTTTGGTTTAAGGATGGGACATAAATATATTCCCATTCGTACAAACTTCTAGAGAAGATGTTAAAGGAAAAGCCAAATAAGCCTGTATCGCTGGCCTGTATTCAATAGTATTGGCAAACATGTCGCCTTAAAGGTAGGTCAAGTTCAAAATAAGTAAACAAGGAAGATGGTAAACAGACTTAACACATTTGCCCTTTAAAGGTAGGTCAAGTTCTAAATTATTAAACAAGGAAGATGGTGAACAGACTTAATACATTTTCCCCTTAAAGGTAGGTCAAGTTCTAAATTATTAAACAAGGAAGATGGTAAACAGACTTAAGGTCATAGGAGTGTATTGTTAAACAGAAATAGGAAGTACATCCCTAGTTGAATTCTAATGTTTATTATTAATCTTCAGGAAACCGGCTACCTATTTCACTACTGTGAAGTTTTTCAAGTAAGATAACTCTTACATGCAATTACTATGTGTATATGGTTTAATTATAAAATGTCAATTTTTAATCGTTTATAGCAGAGACATGTATACAACTGGCTTTATACGTCTCTGTTCATAGATCATTAATTTTACACAATTTCAGCATTTATGAAATTGATATACATCAATGCAATACTAACCTATGTTAGTATCATTTTTATTGACATTATTTTGCAAAAAATTGTGTGTTCCATTTTTTTTCAAAATTCACTCCATTTTACATTTAAAATTCTTAAAATTCTGACAACCTATATTTTTTGTGGCAGAAAATTTTAAGTGTTAGCTGTGTAATGTGTGTTGTATCTCAAAAAGTTTAAGTTCTAGACCTACTAAAATTAGAAAGATCAAATAATATTACATTTTAGATATATCATGGGCTCCGCTGTACATCTTTTTTCAAAATACCAGCTGCTGCTTTGGTCCCGCGACTTTGTCAGTTTCCTCGTCAGTGTTTGCGTTTATCTTGTCTCTGCTGAAGTAAAAGTGCTACACCAACAAAACTTTGACCATACTAGTTCTGACTTTCATCTAACCTTCTTCATTGCAATCTAGCATCAGCTACTGAATGCTGTCTACAGGTCCTTGTCCAGTGACTGCTTAATCGTTTATTCTCACTTATCATGCGCCATTACGTATACAGTAAAAGTGGAAAATGAACTTTGCATTAAGAACACTGTATTATCTTTTCTCAAACGAGTAACATGTGTAGGATAATAAACCGAAACCGGTTTTGAAAACAGAAGTGTCCATTCCCAACAGGCCATTGTCAGTATTTAACAGATAGGTGATCCAGTACTTCTTCAAATCGAAATGTTTTTCTTCAAATTTATCATATTCGCGAATCCAAGATAGACTGTGTCATAAAAACAGACATTTCTGCAATAAATGCTGACACGTTTTTCTGGTCGTATATGAAAATAGGCATTTGGCCCGAACGGAAATCATTCAAAACAAATATATTCAAATACAATATTTCATTCTTTGAACTTCAAACTTTTGAACACTTTTCATGGGTTTAGTTTTAGAAAGGTATTTTTTCATCGACTAATGCATATCTACAGTACAAAACATTCGTTCTTCAGCAACACAACAAAGATACTACCTCGCCTGTATCGCTTTAAAGTTGAGTATCATATTGTAACGTATATATGTTACCTTGCCAGCCATGATACAAATCAAACTTTACAACATCTTCAATCGAAATGGTATGTTATTTGTACTTTTTTTGGTAACTACTATCAGGGACAGTATATAGTCCCTGCTACTATGAATTTGATATATATTTGAGAAGTATGGTATGCTGCATTAAAACAAGGATATACTTTGTTCTTGTAACGTATTTGTTCACACAATTGGAACAAGTAACTTTATAACAAACCTTTATATTGAAAGCAACTTCACAAAAGACCCAAACGTAATTAAACATCAAGGCGGATTTAACTTATACTGCCAAAAGTAACTACGCTAGCGTGCATGTCACTTTTTTTCAATCGATACGTTACACATTATACTGGTCAAGGGTTACACTCATGCTACTTAACAGTATCACTAAAACAAACTTTAAATTGCGGGTATATAAAAGAGTAACATAAATTCATTTCCAAAGTTACTTTGTCTCTCAGAGCTATTAATTTCTTAAGAGACGGAGATATAAAATAGTGATAAAAAAACCTCTCGCTTGATAATCGATTTAATACAACGTGACCGGTATCAACATAGAACGTCATCCGTATCAACTAAAATTGAGCACGTTCGTAATCCGTATCACCAGTATTAAATAGCAGTTTATGCACAAATGTAATGTCCATGTGATGCATTCATATATTTAATAATAATAGTATTATTCGTTCTATTATTGTAGCTATTTACTTCATTTCAATGACACGGGGAATCGTTTTATTCATCTTTAAATATCAAATACACGTAGATTTGTGTATTACGTCAGAATATTCATAATTAAAGTATTAAATCGACTATGACACGTGTATGTGATAGTATCTATACCGTCAACAGACTTTTGTGTTATCATTGTTTCAACTTGGCTGCTTATATCACATCATTATACTTACGTAATCTTGTATTTTGCCGCAACACTCTTCCAATCGTGGGAGAATTTGTCTCTGCCGTAAACCGTATTTGGTGCAAAACTAACTTTTTGCTCCGACGTAATCCAAACAGCACAGACTTAGATAACTAATCTAAGTCCGTGCTCTGACGTAAGCGAAATAGCGAGTATCGGGTTACCCCCGTGATAATCAAGTATAATTTCTTTTATAATTCAGCATGTTTGTTTTAAGATTAGTGGAAATGTCTTTTTTGCTTTACAAGTAGATCCAGAGACGTGTAATATACGTCTCTGGTAGATCTAATAGCATCTGCTAATTTTGACTGTTTCTGAATATGATTTTGTTTGTTTAAAATATGTTAAAAAACACCGATTAAGCTTGTTAAATAATTTTGTTTTAGTTTTAATAAATTGTATGCTCTGCCACTTCGATTATGTCTGGCACGGAAATTAGAGTACCGAAGCCCGTGGTCCAAGATAGTTCAAAGCTGGTTCGAGCGCGCCCGTGTTTGTCTGCATGCAAGCTAAAGGGTTCGCACAACAAGCAGGGCACGTCTGCAGGTAAGAAGCACAGTTTTACCGGTCGTCATATGCTTACAGTTACCAAATATCTTAAATGGATATAGATCTATGTACATATAACTAAATAAGTTGTAAATTATATTTGAATACTAATGTCATTTAGTTGGACCACGGAATTAGATTCATTTCCGAACCTTTTCTATCCACGGGTATTTTTCGTTTCGACTGACAATCATTACTCAAGCAAACATACCAATATTGATATTAAATTTCTTAGTTTTAAAACACATATTGTTGTTAATGCTAGATATACGATGTATTTAAATGCCCTGAAATGCAACATGTGGTCTAGCTGTATTTCTGTAAAATAGTCTTTACACTATTATCTCCCTTTGACCTAAATGATGGCTAATGTCAATCCAGATCGACTACTGGCTATATATCTGTATATAAGACTTGAGTACTTCTATTATATATAACCTTATGTGTTGTGAAGCATCCCAAAGACAGTCAGAGTATAACATTTTCAAACCCATCAGGTTGTCATTGAGGGGCAAGTGGTTTTAGTTGAAGCACCTGCAAAAAGAAATTAAAATAAATATATTGTGTCTGGTGTCTAATTATTGTTATAGAAGTAACACTATTTTGCCTTGCAATTATTTATTAACATATATTATATAAATAAAACTGGCATATAAATATATAATACATGTAGATTTCATGTTTTGCTCTCACTGGTCCATCAGACATCAGTATAGATATATTAAGCAAATTCTCGCTTGCTTTTGATTTTGTAAAACAAAGGAACAAATTTTAATTACATTAATCATGGACAGGGTTCATAGCATATAGCAGCCAAAAATTGACATAGGCTATACAAATCTCCCAGCTGATTAACCGCTGAGTAAAATGTCATATATTTATAAGATTGAATGGCAAATAGAAAATGACATTCAGTGCTCAAAATTCTCTAGAATGCAGGTAATTAAATTAAGTTGAAGCATTCAAAATCCTGTCAGCTCTCTTTCCACAATAGCATGTGTGATTTGGAACTCCAAGCATCTCAACAGTACTTTGATATGATCTTGGCAGGACTACCACCTTTTGACCCAGGGAACTGAGAATTTTCGTGGGCAGCCCAGCTCATTTCTTGACAAAAAATCTTAGTTTCAAAACTGATGATGGAGCATTTCAGGCGGGCTTGCTTGTTTCTTATTCTTATTTAACCCTTTCAACACTATAAACCATAATGGGCTCATCCGTATCAATGCATATAAGCGGAAGATAAGTGGACCACCTTTGTTTCTTGGTTATTCACATGCTAATTAAGTTTTTGTATATTTAATCTGAAACGAATGATATTTTCGTTCATTTTTAGAACTCTTTGATAACAAACATGTCGGACATCTTCCTGAGTAAAGATGCTTATGGCATTCTGAAGAACAAGTTTGTTGTTGTGATCGGATCATCAGGTTTGTGCCAGTTCTTTGTTTATCATTGTAATGACATTTTTAGGTCACCTGAGCTTTGCTCAAGTGACCTATTCCAATCGCTTTTCGTCCGTCGTCGTCCGTCGTCCGTCGTGCGTCGTGCGTAAACTTTTACATTTTCAACTTCTTCTCAAGAACCAGTGGATGGATTTTTTTCAAACTTGGTCAGAATCATCCTTGGTAGATGAGGCTTCAAAATTGTAAAATTGGGATTCCTACCCCAACCCCTGGGGCCAGGGCGGGGCCCCAAAGGGAAAATTAATCAATATTTCAAAAATCTTCTTCTCCAGACTCAGAGGTACTACAGTGATTTTCTTTACGTGGAAAGAAAGATCATCAGGGGCTTTATTTAAATTGAAAATATCAGGACCCCGAGCTATCCGTTCTCCCTTGGGGAGGGGTTAACGTTTAATATAGTTTATATAGGGAAATAACACTTTTCGGTATATATTTTATCCATTTTCAGCAGAAAATTGCTCAAACTTAGTCAGAATCATCTTGGGTAAATGAGAGTTTTACTTTGTAAAATTAGGATTCCTGCCCCATCCCCAGGGGCTAGGGCGGGGCCCCAAAGGGAACATTTACCAATATTTTCAAATTCTTATCCATTGATGACATGACAAGTATTGTATTTCACTTAGTTTACATGCTGATTTCCACATCACATCTAAACAATAAAATAAAGCTACCAGTATCTATGATATAACTCAGGTGACCGCTAAGGCCCTTGGGCCTCTTGTTAATGATGTACCATGAATAAAACAATTCTTCAGCTAACATTTAGTCAAAGAGGAATTTTGAAGGACTACTACTATATCCACACACAGAAATGGTATGGCCCTGGTACATCTTTACAATCCATCTTGATGGGATTTTGAGGTGTATCAAAATGCATTTAGAGTAACGACTTATTTTAGAATACATGTACTGTACTTTTCTTCATATTTAATTCAGCTAGTTTTAGTTCATTGCATGAAGATATTTCGAAAGTAAAAATAAATCTTCTTTTACCATGAATTTTCCTTAATGTACTGTATTCGGTAAATGATTAGGAATTTGCCTCCCCCTCCTTTACCCCACTGTACATAATATATACAATTATTAAGAAAGTCGCATCTTGTTTCAGTTCAAAGGTCAATCTACAAGGACTTGGTGATGTTGCTGCAGAAAAACAGCTATCTGAAAGATCGTCAACTTCGGGCCAAGGTAAAATCTTAGAGATGGGTAGCTAAAGGTTAAAGGTAAACGACAAAAAGTCATTGGTAAAATAAGTTTTCAACAGACAATGAATGAAATTTATGTCATTGAACTTGCTACATGTGTTCACAAATACCTTTATAAAGAATAACCATCAAACCTGCTGCTGGTGACAGTCACAGGGTCAAGGGTACAAGATCACTTAGTTGGGTCCCCTGCATGTCGGGGGAAGAATAAGCCTGCTGTATCCCGCTACATGTTGTCAGAGGCGACTAAAGTGGAGCCCCCTGCAGAAATGGGGGCTTGCATCTATGACTTCTGCTACAATTGATCTGCTGCACCCAATTGAAACATTTAGGATCTTTATATTTTCTCTTTACTTCCTAAAAACCTTTTTGGTTCCTAGTGCCTTGCTTGGCAACACCTTACTTTTTGCCTTGGTGTTCAGCGTTCTCCCAAGTGGGGTAGGCAATGGGCTCTGTCCCCACGCTGGGACACCAAAAACAAGCCATTAAAATGGTATATGTTATTCCCTACTCAACATTTAGCATGTTGGCTTATCACAACTACTGGTTTACCCTTTGTCACCATAATATGACCAGGTGGGATAGCACTGTAAAGTCGGCATCAGATCCATGCTATCTGAACGAGGCAAATTCATCAACATTCAACATACGCTGCCTCCGGTACACATACACACAAGCATGTATTACACGCATTGAGGCATTTCCTTAACTGACCATAGCCGTTCATAGGATGTTAAACAAAATAAAACCTAACCAAACCAATCACTGAATTAGCTGTTGGTTAACTCATTCAACCCTAAAGACACATTTGAACTATTCCAATTCAAAGGTTGGAATAGTTCATTATGAAACCTCAGGGGTGAATGACTTAAAGGAAGCATCACTTCTTGTTTTTAACCAGGTGATTGCTATTTAATTACCCTTCTCATATGTTGCTAAGATATTTGTTTTCGTTGTAGGGCGAGATGAACTTTGCGGCTGACGTGCTATTACACGGGGGTAAGAAAGGCGAGATGAACAACGGTATCCACTATCGCGAAGTACGACAATACAAAACAGATTACCACCTGGTGCGATTTTACTTTGTGACACGCTGCTTTAACAACTATGTGAATTCCATATTGACCGAGCTGAAGGAGGAACCACGGCCTGACATTGTTATCATTAACTCGTGTCTCTGGGATATAACCAGGTCAGCATCTTCTTAGTATGATATTTTTAACTTTGGTTTTACCAATTTTTTATCAGAAATACGTTTTTTTTTTACACAACTCTATCATTTTATCTCCCAAAAGAATTCAAAGAATTCAAAGAGAATTCAAAAATTCAATTAAATGGAATGTCTGCATCCGTCGTCCAGATGCTTATATCGGAACAAATTTTCACAACAGAGCTATACTTTGAAATTATAAAACCACAAAATAGACTAAATAGACTAAATTAAATTCCAAACGAAATATTATGCTTTCACATGGGTTGCCCTAAGAAAAAAAGAAGAATTCCTAATAGATTTTGCCATGGTTTGTCAAGGTCATTGATGAGGTCACTTACTAAAAATAGAATTGTTCTTTCGTGATTTGTATGAGAAAGATGTCTTTATTGGAATGGTTAAAATCACCCAAAGTGACAATCAATGTGCTATCATCCATAGCTTCATACTAACTGGGATCTTTGGAATTATAGTTTGTGGAAAACAACAAAATAAATGAAAATTAAATCCCCAAATAAATTTTATAATTATACAGTACAATATTTTCAGTGGATAGAGAAAAAATGGTAGTGATTTTGTTGAAAATAAAATGCATCTGTAGACTTATTTCTCGCTTCAGGTATGGTGATAGCTATGTGAGTGATTACAAGGTGAACCTGGAGAAGCTGTGTGTCTGTATGAAGAACTGTTTGACAGAGAACTGTTTGGCTTTATGGAACACCACCCTGCCAGTGTCCAGAAAGGCCAAGGGTGGCGTCATTGTTCCAGAGGTAGAACATATGATGAACTCTCTACAACTGGAGGTACTGGAAGCAAACTTTGTCGCACGTCAAATCGTAGCCTCGCATGGATTTGATGTGGTTGACCTGCACCACTTCCTACGTTACCACCTACACCGTCGGGCAGAGGATGGCATTCACTGGGATATGACTGCACATCGCCGGATCACCAATTTGCTTCTATCACATATCACAGAGGCTTTCGGCGAAAAGTTGCCAAATCAGACAGAGGTTAAGGGGGTCGTGAAGCCTTGTACAGCCAATCTAAACCAGGTAAAAAAGAACTTCACTCAAAGAAATCGGACAGAAAATGGAAATTCTGTCTCTCTTGGATTACAGTTGCAGAATACTAACGTTGTTCCGAATTTTCTGCGGAAACCTCCCCAGAACATGTGCCTGTCTGTCCATCCTTTGGCCCAGTCACAAAATGTTCGGCAACAGGTTAACTTTGGGCAGATTCAAGTCGGCAACATGCCCAGCATTGAAGAGCGGTACGGTGGACCAATCAGGAAAATGGGCTATGGCTATTTTCAAGTTGACAACCATGTGGCAAATTATGGTACTAGGACAAACAGCCAACAACATTGCACAGACATGGGCAGGGGTTTGGCCTTGTTCACTGATGAGATGAATCCAGTAGACTTCGCCGAAGACTACCAAGAGAATTGTTTGAACTTTCAGGAAAATCAGCTGCCTGATAATAACCAAATGGTAGATGATGTTGATTTCAGCTCAAATAATTTCAACGCATGTGATAATTTCGGCCAGAACATTGAGCCGTACAATTGGCAGCCGTACGGTCGACAGAACTATCATCCACCCGGACACCAGACAATGCCTCCGCGGCACATGCATCGCATTGTCCCCTATAATCAGAGAAGAAGGGGCTATCCACCAGGAATGGCAGGGCCAAGAGGTGTTTGCATGCAAAACATTAGGTTTTTCCGTTAGTGCTCGACTGAAGCGATATTTTTCTTGAAGCCAACTTCAGATTGTTTTTGATGTGGTTTTTGTTTTTGATGTGGTTTTTGTTTTTGATGTGGTTTTTTTTCCCAATTTACATAAATATGGGGCAAAGGAAATCACAAGGTTACAGATTAATACTTCTATGGTGTTGAATATTGTTCCAATACTGTTCTTTTCATTGGCACTGTTTACCTATAATTTACTTAGGTAACATATCCATGGTGTCTATTGGATGCTGATTAACACTTAAAGATTACGATTCTACGAGTGTTGACTTATGTGTCAAACCTTTTCTGTATGGCTACTATTAAGTATTTGTCTGGTATGATTTGTATGGGTGTTGAATAAGTATTCCAATATTTTCTTTACATGTGTACAAGTTATCTGGTTTTACCAAGGAAGCACTTATAAGTTTTATTATATTCTTTTATTACGATTACGATTACGATATTACGATTTTTTGGTATTTCTATACCCCTGCTATGTAAAACAAGTTCTTTTTTCTTGCATGTCCTTCCATCTGTCCTGTCGCACCCATTGTCATAACTCTGCAAACTTACTGCCCGCCAGATTTTAATGAAACATCACAGCCATGTTTGGTAACAGTTTGCCTGGGACATACCTATGACAAGTTTAAATATGGGCATGATTGGTCAGTGAACCGATGACTTGTGATCACTCCATAGGTCAAGCAGGGGGCATTAAGGGTATTGTGAGCTATGCTAACTCTCTAGTTCTACAGGTATTTTTAGGTCACCTGAGCTTTAGCTCAAGTGACCTATTGCTATCCGTTTTCGTCCGTCGTCGTCCGTCGTCCGTTAACATTTTACATTTCAAACTTTAAGTCAAGTTCTGCTGGGCCGATTGAACTGAAAATTGGTAGGAATGATCGCCTCATGGTCCTGACAAAGTGTTGTTATTTTTCGGGTCGATCAGAAATCCAATATGGCCGCCACGGCCGCCATTTTGAAAACCTATTTCAAACTTAAAGTCAAGTTCTGCTGGACCGATTGAACTGAAAGTTGGTAGGAATGATCGCCTCATGGTCCTGACAAAGTGTTGTTATTTTTCGGGTCGATCAGAAATCCAATATGGCCGCCACGGCCGCCATTTTGAAAACCTATTTCAAACTTAAAGTCAAGTTCTGCTGGACCGATTGAACTGAAAGTTGGTAGGAATGATCGCCTCATGGTCCTGACAAAGTGTTGTTATTTTTCGGGTCGATCAGAAATCCAATATGGCCACCATGGCGCCATTTTGAAAACCTATTTCAAAATTAAAGTCAAGTTCTGCTGGGCCGATTGAACTGAAAGTTGGTAGGATTGATTGCCTAATGGTCCTGACAAAGTGTCGTTATTTTTCAGGTCAATCAGAAATCCAATATGGCCACCATGGCCGCCATTTTGTAAATACCTATTTCAAACTTAAAAACAAGTTCTAATAGGCCCATCTCACTTAAAATTGGTCTAGGAATGATCAGCTCATGGTCCTGACAAAGTTAAGTTAACATTATTCTTAACTATTTTTTACTCAAATTGGTACATATTTCAACAACAAAAATAAATACTGTAGGACTCAGGTGACCGTTAAGGCCCATGGGCCTCTTGTTACTTGCATGCCTTCTGTACAACCTGATAAATATTTGTTGGTTTCTCATCGATGCATGTTTTGCAGTTTTTGTTATGGTTACTGATGAATATCTGTATTTTGTTCTATGAATTTTCTTTGTTTTTCTAATGATAATGATTGATATTCATGTTTTCTATGGGTACTGATTAATATTCATGTTTTCCTATGGGTATTGAAAAATATTTAGGTTTTCTATGGGTAATGATTAATATTAATTTTGTCTATGGGTACTGATTAATATTCATGTTTCCTATGGGTATTGAATAATATTATTTTTGTCTATGGGTACTGATTAATATTCATGTTTCCTATGGGTATTGAATAATATTTAGGTTTTCTATGGGTACTGATTAAAATGCATGCTTTCTATGAGTACTAATTATTAATAATAATTTCTTTTCTGTGGATCTAATTGCATGTTGAAATACTTTGTATTGATGATGGAATCGACTGACATTATAATTAACAGACTTTTGACTGCATTGTCTAACATTTGAACTACTTTGGTACCGATTTCAATAAATTTCTTGATAAAGTATGTGTCTGTGTTTCACAATTTTTTGCATTTCACCTCACCTTTGTTCATTAGGATATTCAAGGTCATTTCCTTTAATCCAATTTGCTGATGGTTTCCCGTCCATAAAATCACATTCTCTACTTTCATCTTCATTAGTCAGTAGTTCATGTACTTGGTTTGAGGTAGACAGCTGTACTCCTTTTGTTCAGATCTTTGTGTCAAAAGACCAAGGTCATTCTATATGTCCATCACTGCAATCTGATTGGTTGATGGTTTCTATGCCATAGTTGTACTATTATCGATATCATCATCACCTAACTTGGTACATATAAGTTTGTAGTACTATACAAAGTGATATTTTACAAGGGTTAAGTTTTCAACATACGTACCCACAGTATTTAGTTTGAACAAACTCTGACATTCAAAAGTCTTGTAAACTGTGGAAGGTGTATATATTGCCATGTATCTTGACTGTAACATTGACCACAGCATTGTGCATGTAGAATCTCTGCCATTTTCCATTGTATCTTTTACCTTTGTAACTTGGGTAACAAGAGAAATGCAATTGCCAGACTGGGGTTCCAACCGAAACTCCAAACCCTAGATGGACGCTCTTACCAATTGAGCTACCTGGTCGCTCGCGATTGACCCAGTCCAGTTCTGCTACATTTGGTTTAGGTAATGAAAAAGACAGTACAGATTACATAAATTTGCTATATTTAACTTTTTTATCATTATTAAATTATTTTTATGGTTATATGTCATGTGACTAGATGATACATTTATCACAAATCAAAATATTTTACGACACCATAATGGTTTGATACATTGTTACACCCCTAAAATGAAACTAATATTTATAAGGATCCTGTTGGAACACACCAGCTTCAAATGGCTCCATTGAATGGAAATATGCATCACCATTAGAGGGAAGGGTCATGTGCCACTGATAGAGGTCAAAGATTAATATCCTGTTCCTTGTCTAATAATTCAAGCTAAAGAGAATTTTTCAAAAATCATGGAATAATTTGCTGCTACCCAAAGTTCAAGGTCACCAACGTTAATATGTCAAAAAGACAAATATGCTGTTTTTGATCGTCTGGACAACCTGTTGTTTTATAGAATTTCACGAGTTCATGTTCAAAATCATTTTACATGTACTATCATTCGACAACTAGGTATGCATACCATTTCTGGGCCCTACTCCAAAGGTCAAGGTTCAAGATCAAATATGTAGATTTCCTTGTGTGGATTATAACTTCTGCATTTTATAAAATATTAAGGACACATTCTTCATCGTACGATGATAAAACTTGTGCGTGTTTCAATAGAATGGCTCGAAGATTTTAGACACACATCCTCTAAGAGGCAGGCGAGCTAAACATTACTTCCTGATAAACAAAATCTGTGGCAGACATGATATGGCATGTAGTGTCCTTTAATCCTATAACTCGATCCACCATAAGGAAATAGGCCAGTATATTTTTGTTAACGTATCTCTTTGTTTGTAATGGACAAACATAACAAGAAAGATAATATTCCATACTGTCCTTTTATTAAAATGACAAATATACAGATTTAAACAACAATGTAATGTGTGCTGGTGACGCGATATATTACGTGACCTACCCTCTTGTTGTGTAGATCAATCCAGATTACTCAACTTTCCACCAAATTTTCTAAATCACACTTAGTTTGATGCAGCTCCTGTAATTGTTCATTTTCGAATCCAGATTATTTTAATTGATAAACACTTCCTAATAAATGTACAATATGATTTGTGTTTTACAGTTGCCTCCCTTTCCAATACAGTTGCCTCCCTTTCCAAAATGTGTTAATTTAGCATTGTCCATTCATTGATGAAGAATTAACTGAAGACTATCGACAGGTTTTCTTCTTACCTTCCAAATATGTCTTCAGTAAAGATTTACATTCATATTTGATGCGACACTTGCTACACCTTTATCAGTAAAACTCTTGAAAAAAAATCCTTTGAAAGCTTCTTGTACATGTGGACAGAGACGTATATATACGTCTCTGATGTGGAAGACATTTAATTTAATGTCGAGGAAGAGAAGACAGAAAAATGGTCAATTGGGAAAAATAGTACCAGGCAGTACTGATATCAAGAAATTGATGTAGCTTTCAAATTATCTGCATTTCACAAAGTATGGATTAGTAAAATTTTAGGTTTGATATTTATCAACTTAAACTTGTTTATTAAATTTTCATTTGTGACTTAAATATAAACAAACACAGTTTTCCCATCTTTTAAAGTCATTTTTTTTTTATCTTCCTTATCTAAATTGCCAAGCAAGGACAAATAGGCATATTTCTATAGTTCTACGTATCCTACAACAAACATGAAACGATAAACTTGATTAACAATTTTACACCGGCTAGAAATGTCTGTCTTGCATTTTTCCTTAATTTACAAGGCAAAAATATTAAAATTTCAAATTAACAAAATATACCCAAATAATGACTTTGGTGTAAAATTAAACAAAGAAAAATATTTCTTGTCTGAAACTTTCAAAATGATAGAATTCAAAATATTTTTACAGGACAAAAAGATATTGAGAAGATTTCATTTTCTCAGCATTTTTTTGCGTTAGCTTTCTTAGATGTTTTAAGAACAAACTAATTACAGTCTGTATTACCAAAATGTTTCTTCATATTATGTTGAGCGAAAAACTGATTTAAGAAAATTTTGGGATTGATGCAAGGATCTGAGATTAAACCATTTATTAAATAATGATCGTAGTTATCAGTAGGGTACATTTGCAAATTTCCATCAACTCATTCACCCCTGAAGACACATTTGAACTCTTCCAGTTCAAAGGTTGGAATAGTTCATTATGAAAATTTAGCGGTGAACAAGATTTAAGTGTCTCACAAAATTTCAGATAATGTGATTTACATGGATACCAAATACTTTATATAAACTAAATACATGTAATGATACTAATTTTCATAACTTTATATATCTAGAATCACAGTCTTGGAATAAACTTTCAAAAATAATTTTTATTTGGTCACAAACAAAATGCAAAATGTCTGCTACAGAAACATATTTTTGTTGGAAAAAAGTACAAGAATCATGACCTGGACTACATGTACATAAATAACATATTAAATATGACACTTATCTGATATCAAAACCGTCTAAAATGAAATTCACATCCTCAGTTATATATAGTACACACATTCAAAATAACCTGGCAAAATAAACTTTGAAAGATTAATCTTCCTTGGTTAACACTATTCTTATCTACTCTTATCGACCAAACACAAGATTCACTTCTCTAGGAAATAATGAAACAAGATGCACAAGGGTCTTGTATCGCTCACCTGGCTATTTTGAAAATGAGGTTGAGATATGCCCAGGAGTTTAGAAGGAAAGTGCCCAGGAATGTTACCCACTTCATTGATTTAACTTTGGCTTCCCTTGGGCTTGGCATAGCACCACTACAATTGGGTTGAAATATGCCCAGTACTTGAGATGTCATTTAAGGCAAATCAGCTAATAGAATCCACTGTACCTTGCCCCTCAGTCCCCAGGAGGATCAGCCAGTTTGGAAGTAGATGTCAATTTCATCAGCCCAAAGGAGGGTCAGCTTCTTTGTGTCGCCTTTGATCCCCATGGCCTAGGAAGGCTAGCAAAATTTTGTTGGATTTTACTCAGTAGTTTGGGAGACGTTCAACTCATTCACCCCTAAAGACACATTTGAACTCTTCCAATTTAAAGGTTGGAATAGTTCATTAAGAAATTTCAGGGGTGAATGAGTTACGTCGATCATTGGCAGACAACAGACAAAGCACCACCACATAAGCTCACCCTGGTATGTTTAACCAATTGAGCTTAAATCAAGAGTTTGGAAAATCTCAGTGGTATTTGAACATATTTGGATAAAATTATAAAAACATATATAAAGTCATACAAGAATCAAACACAGTAATTCAAAAGTAAACAAAGTGTAATACATGAAACAAGTGTAAAATGCAAACTGAAAGCACTAGTCTGAACTACATGTACAAGTTATAACATACAAATAGTCTAAATTACATGTTCAAGTGACAAGATACATACAAACTGGTGAAATCTATTGGTGATTAAGAAAGTGTAAGACATCAATTCAATGTTTTGCAAAGCACATCAGTGTATTAGACAGCACATCAAGATATTACACAACACATTGATGTATTAGACACAACACATACCAAATATTACACAACACATTGATGTATCAAACAACACATCAATGTACTGGGCACAACACATCAATGTACTGGACACAACACATCAACGTACTGGACACAACACATCAACGTACTGGACACAACACATTGATGTATGAGACACAACACATACCAAATATTACACAACACATTGATGTATGAGACACAACACATACCAAATATTACACAACACATTGATGTATGAGACACAACACATACCAAATATTACACAACACATTGATGTATTAGACACAACACATACCAAATATTACACAACACATTGATGTATTAGACACAACACATACCAAATATTACACAACACATTGATGTATGAGACACAACACATACCAAATATTACACAACACATTGATGTATTAGACACAACACATACCAAATATTACACAACACATTGATGTATTAGACACAACACATACCAAATATTACACAACACATTGATGTATCAAACAACACATACCAAATATTACACAACACATTGATGTATTAGACACAACACATACCAAATATTACACAACACATTGATGTATTAGACACAACACATACCAAATATTACACAACACATTGATGTATCAAACAACACATACCAAATATTACACAACACATTGATGTATCAAACAACACATCAATGTACTGGACACAACACATCTATGTACTGGACACAACACATCTATGTACTGGACACAACACATCAATGTACTGGACATGACACATCAATGTACTGGACACAACACATCTATGTACTGGACACAACACATCTATGTACTGGACACAACACATCAACGTACTGGACACAATATATCAACGTACTGGACACAACACATCAATACATCAAAACATTACACACAACACATCGATGTATTAGACAACACATAAAAGTATCACACAACACATCAATGTACTGGACACAACACATCTATGTATCAGACACCACAGATGGCACGATGTATATGACACCACGAATCAATATAATACTCACTACACATCCTCATACAACAGATTAATGTATTACACAACACATTCATTTCTACATATGTGACACAAAAATTCAATATATTAGGCACAGCACATCAATGAGATACTGGGTAATGACAATATTTTAGTACAGAGTATATTATGATTAAAATTGCAAAACTTCAACAGTAAAGAGAAAAAAAACAATCACACAGAAATCAGTGATCTTGTGCAATAGTGTGTAACAGATTACCGCATAAAAGTGTGACCTGCATCATTGCTACATATATATATGAAACCAACTCCAGCCATTGTGAGCCAATGATACTGGGACAATAACAGCAGTATCAGATAATCTTCCTACACCCTACCACTGTGAGGACCAGCTTTGGCCGACCTTAACTGAGCGATTGTTGTAAGGGTTTTCTCGCTGAGTCTGTCTGTAGTGTGGCACATTTCGGCTCAGCGGCTGATATGAATTCTGTTGGTATGGCTGCCATTGGTATTCGCCGGACGCCATCTGTTTGAATGCGTGTATCACACTGGCTGGAGAACAAGCTTCAGGTCTGTTTTGAACTGCAGCCATGCCGGATCGAGTGCTTGGCTCATAGGAGGCCTGGTTGTGGCTGGACTTATTGCGATTGCTGTTAATTTCATCCAGATATTCTTGGTAAGTTTGCTGAGCATTGCTGGTGTTGCTGGTGTTCCTGGTGATGGAGAAATTAGTAAAGTTTCCATTCCATCGATCTTCCCGGACACTGTTTTTGTCGTTAACACGGTTGTCGAGTCGGAAGTTTTCGTCTTTGTGAACATTTCTGCCTTCCTCTTTCCTTGCATTGTTGTAGCGTCCCTTGTCTAAACATTCCTCCCTCTCCACGCTCACAGTCCGTGACAACTGCTTGGTCTCGTTCTTGTTGTGGTCCACTCTTCCTGGGAGCTTTTCCCGCCATGCCTCACACACATGCGTCATGATAAGGTTTGTCATGCGGCGATGAGCAGTCATGTCCCAGTGAATGCCATCATCGGCACGACGGTGCAGTTGGTGACGCAGAAAGTAGTGCAGGTCAAGGACATCCAAGCTATGAGCAACAGCGATCTGACGAGCATAGAAGTTGGCTTCAAGGATGTCTAGCCTCAGAGTACTGTTCATAAATTCTACCTCTGGTACTAGAAAGCCCCCTTTGGCATTCTTAGAAATGGGTAGGGTGGTGTTCCATATTACCATACACCCCTTAGAAAGAGTTTCCTCAAACCTTGTGAAAAGACGCTCAAGATTCTTTTTGTACTGGTCTACTGCTGACGCTCCATACCTGTCGAAAATTGATAAAACACTTACATCTCTTAACACATGAATATTTAAGCCTGCAATTTTTCACCTGCAGAATGCTGTTGTGGATTTCGTGGATACCATCAAGCCAAACTTGTTTATACAACAACTCAAATGATATGGTTTTCATATATAAACTGTACTAGCCAACTGAAAGTGTAGCAACAGTAAAGTCAGTTTGTAAGCCTAAAACCATGACAGAAAAAACGGTACTCTGTAACATTTCATTTAGCTCTAGTATTTATTGACTACACCATTATATATCCAAATGTAAAGTAGGAGAAAAGAAAGTCCTGGTAAGAAAATAAAGCGAGCACTGTACCTTAAATTCTAAAACAGGGAAGGAACACAAGGCATTCTCCCTTCTTGTGAATTCAAGCTTACAAAGATGTTATAATTTGGTCACTTGACAAGAAAAGATGACAGAATATCTAGCCCCAGAATCAACAAGGCCATATTAAAATTATACCCGAGTTCCCTCTCTCTCAGATTTCATTATTACATGGTTTTAAGAGTGGTATTTTGCTTTGTTAAAACCACATTTAATATGAAATACATTTCAAAATTGTATTTTTATTTCATTTTAATGTATTTAGCAACTCGATAAACTAAAGAAATCCTCACCGACTGATGTCCCAGAGACAGGAATTCATGACGACAAGGTCAGGCTGGGGGTCACATGAAAGGTCAGCCAGGATTGACTCCATGTAGGTATTGTAACAACGTGTGACAAAATAGAAGCGTACCAGGTGGTAGTCGGTCTGGAACTGTCGCACCTCTCTGTAACCCTTTCCGTTACACATTTTGGCCTTCTTCCCTCCTTCTACCAACTCATCGTTCACAAATGAAAACTCCCCCTGAAAATTCATATAATTGTTAGTTTGAAACTTCTACTAAAAACTTTGTCCCTGATTTACATTTTAGAACAAGCTCTAGAAATTGATCAAACACTTTCAATTTCTTTGAAACAATCGGTTAAAAATTGTTCTCTTTTTCTAAATTCAGATGAGTTATTTCCCTTTATCCATGTACAATGGTATCGTTTTAGTAAGAAATAGCTGGTGTTCTGTGATACTTCCGGTATGTTGAACCAAATATGTCACTATCAGAAGGATTTTTTTTTTCTCCTTGCTTTATTCTTTAGTTCCAACCTCACTTCCTAGTTCCAACCTTACATCCTAGTTCCAACCTTACATCCTAGTTCCAACCTTACATCCTAATACACTAAAACTTAGTGTAATGCCATGAGATCAACATATAAATTCTTGGTCCTCTTGTCCTTTTATAATTCCTTTCCATCTACCATAATTTCACTGGGCAGTAAAACAAGGTTTCATTTAATCTGTATTACAAAATAGTCAACTCTTTAAAGATCTCACCTTAGACCGGAGTTGTGCGTCACTCAGGTATCTGTTCCTTTGCAGGAGAAGCACGAGGTCTTTGTATATCGCCCTCTGGACTGTGGGGAAAGACACGCATGCATTTATTAAATATTGTTTCATGGAAACTGCAATACCTGTATATCATAAAGCTAAATCCAGATCTGGAAACCTGTATAATCAGATCTTCAGTTATAGCTATAAATCATGTTCTGTATCGGTACAATTCTATGTAAATTGAGCCTTTTCAATTTGAAAGCAGGTCTAGTCCAAACACAAATATTGGTCATACAATTGTACTGTAATTTTTTAGTTTAGATGGATTTAACTGTAGTACAAATTATACTATTCACTGCAACATCTGTTCAAATTGAATACCAGATAATTAGACAATGGTTACTGTAAAACAACCTTGAGGTTTCTTTGAACAACGACATTTAACAGATTTTGTAATTAAACAAAAATCTTTTTTCCATCAACTAAATTTAAATAAATGCTAGTATTCTATATCAATTTGTCTTCAAATATTTTTTTTAGATTGAATTGTCCGATTCAGAGTTTATTTAAATATTCAAATTTCTGGAAAGCATAAAAAAAGGAAAGGAAATAGATAACAGATATCCATATCCAAGATCATATTGTGATGGTGGCCTGTTCAGTGTTCATGACACTTGCAATACATGTATATAACCCTACTTCAAATCAACACATAAGACTCATATAACTATTTCAATCCTAAATTGTTTTTGTCTTTTAATAAAAAAAAAATACAGATCTATGATTTTGACAATTTCACTTTTCAAATCATCATACCTTACTTTCTATCCCTTCAAATTATTCATAAATATAGTTTTAAAACTCTTTGTACAGTAAGACATTTTATCTCAACATTTTCACCTTTTTTTCCAAAAATTTGATCCTTATTTCTAGTAAAAACTGTTTACTGATTATTAAAACATAGTTCAATTCAATGTTATTTCCTGATCACCCTCACCCACCAGCTATTCCGGGGTGATGTACTCAAAAGTAGATTGACAAGGACATTTTGAGGTCAATGCTTAACCCTATCAAATTGAGAGGTTTCCCCAGTTCTGGCCTGTGTTAACCTTATTTTGATTTAGAAACAAGACAATATCGGAGATTGTAATGTCACAATATCTTATCACTTAATAATTAAATTTGAGAGTTTGAAAAATAGATTGTTTGATTCACTCTGAATTTGTAATCAGTAATCTTATAACCCCGTTGTATAGGTGTCAATGTGAATTATAATTAGAAGGGAACTCCAACCTCACCTTGTGGGATCCAACCAAAGGAAGTTTCTTACAAAACACATAGGGCTTCTTTTATCACTTTTCTTTTCTTTAAAATATCATTATTTTTGTTCAATTTATTCTTTTAGCTTACTTAAATTCATATTTTTTTCTTTTGTTATTCATATTTCTCTTACATTTTACTCCTTTTATTTTACAAGTGTTTCAATACTCTATACTCTGACAACTTTTATCTCCTATTTTGTATCCGCATCCACGGACTAAGATAACAGGGTCTAATCTAATTCCGTGCCGCATCATAACATTTTCTTGGAAATACATTGAACTTTTTAAATATTTCTATCACATTTAATTTTTTGAACACCTGATAACATATGATGGACTGGTCAGTTTTCAGCAGACAACTGTGAGCTTTACGCTACCAAGAAGCTTTCATGACATTTTTGTTCTTACCTATTTTTTTAATGTCTCAAGTTTACACATTAATTTCTCCTTGTTCCAACTACATTTGTATTTTATAACCCCCAAAAGGGGAATTTATTTACTTCTATGGACCCCATCTTTCAAACTGATAAGTTTTCACAAATAATTTTTCGAAAGATTTGTAAGAATATATATTCAATCTGGATCACATTTCAACTCACACATCAGAAGCCAACAATGCCGTAATGAGGTGTTGTTATATTTCTTAAATTGAATGTATATTATGGCAATTTTGTGGAAGGTATTTCAGATACATGTACCACAGAGTGGGGTTTGGGTTGTCAGTTTAATTTACTTGGGACTATATTCTAATTATCTAATTATCTGACAGGAAGTTATGCAACAGGTTTCAGAAACATATTTAGGTCTGGGGTATTTCCAATTTTATTTGTACTGTAGTATCTTTCTTTACATTATAGTTGTATAATTTTTAATGATGCTTACTAAAGAATTATGAACAAAATCAGAAGAATTTCGAAAAGGGAAAGTAAGATGTCTTTACCAGAAAGTGATATCTGTAAGACTGCAGCGCGCAGACATCAATTTGATATATTATAAAAATATATTTACATTTGTGCTGCAGCCCACTTTATGAACATTACCAGCAGAAACACATTTCATTTGAGAATGAAAGCAAAAACTCTTGTGACGTAACACATGGTTTATATTACTTATGATGTCATAGATTAACCTTGTTCAAGGAGTCTCGTCACTTCACTTCGGATAACATGAAGATTGCCCCTGCATCAAACGCTTAAATGACTACGGTTAATTATTGGCACCAATTTAAGTTAAATGAAATACATTTACTCACTTGAATCGCCAATGATGACCACAAACTTGTTGCGTAGCACCTGGTTGATGTCTTCCTGGAGAAATATGTCCGACATGATAACCATCTCTGCTGGAGTACACTGTAACAACACAAGCAAACATAAACAAAATGATTCTCACACAGGGCCCAGACTACCAATGTTAACAAAATTGGCTAAGGATATAGTTTTAATGATATCAAATGTTTAATGATTGCAAATGTTCATGCAATTTACAGTTTTCAACAATAACAACAACTGTTTCAGATACGAGTTTTCATGCTCTGACCCCCTAAGAAATATCAATAACGTTCATACAATTCACAAACCTTTTCTTAAATTTTAGGAATTTGCTACAAATATTTCTGGCAATCTATAGCATTCTAGTGTCATGAAGAAGAAATGAGATATCATTTCTTCGATATCACTTTCATTTCCGATCTATATGCCTATCATGCTTACAATATCAATAGGCTAACACAGATCTGGATGACAGAAATGTGTTGGCTGCAGAAGTCCAATCAACACTATTGACAACAGTAAAGACAACAACACTCCCCTCCCCCATCCTTACACAATATACATCACCATGGAAACTTGTGTGTGGGTACTTAAGCCCCTCCCCCTCTTGGACACCCATAGAAACACCAGTGTCCCTCCCCCTCATGGCAGTTGATGATTGATTGATGGGGCTTGTACCAGTTACTGACAGTACACACTATGCTTTACTATGAAAACTGCTCCGGGTCAAGCCCCTCCCCACTGCCCCTTATTGACAGACCTGTTGTTCCCTCCATTCCCCCTTCCCATAGCTGTCCTCTTCAACTTCTCACCGGAGTGAAAATGTTGCAATGCCCTAGTAAACACATCTTACTAAACATTACAGGTTCATTAAAATGCCCAACACTACAGAATTAGATAAGTCCATCCCAGAACTTTTTCTACACCACTTTAATAAAGAGGAATGTTTATGGCAAAAAAACAAGTTTCTTTAAGCAAATCTAACCATATAAATTTAACTTTAGAATTAAGTATTTCTTTACAGAAAACTATTTTTCCAAGTTTCAGCCAAATGACAAAATCGGAAGGGTTGTTGGGTAGAAAGGTTTATTTACTTTTACAATGTATTTATTTACTTTTGGAGAATCTTTCAACCATATTCTGCCATTAGTTATTGTTTTGTTATTGATAATGATGTATATATGTTGTTCCTTAAAAACACTTATTACTTATTTAACTCTTTTAAAATATTTTCTGGCATGTATTTAACCACCACATCCCCCAAATTCGTATTCCCAATCAACACTATCTGACACCTGACCAGGTAACTTGTACTTTTAGTCTGCTTAAAACTATGGAAACCACAGTCTAACAGAGGACTTTCGTTCATAAAGACTTCCAAACTGTAATTTTTTTATGAAAGGTCATTTAGATATATATATTAAAAAAAAAATCTTTTTTCTAAATGACTGAAAAAATTGATAGGATATTTTTTTTTAAATATTTTTTATTTCTAATTTTCGTACATAGGGCTTGTTTATAATAGCAAAGATTTTATTGTTATTGAGTCAAATTCTAGGAAACGCATACTGAAAACACAAGTGGGTTTATGGGAGAAATGATTCCAGCACAAACAGGTAAAAATATATCATTGGGTTAAAAAGGACACTAAAGTTTTTTGTTTTTTTCAACTGTTAGTCCATTGTGAGAATTAGCAGCAACTACAATTAAATTATGTATATTTTTATTATGAGCTGACTATCAAAGGATTGTACATGTTTTATATTGTCAGAATAAATCTGTGCATCTATGTATCGTAGCTCAACTAGCTCCTATGAGTTAGCCAAGCTGTATAAAATTACATACATGTATATAATTATATTTTACTTTTTTTTCTATTTGTATATGGAAAATAAAGATACAAAATAATAGAAAATTATGATCTTTCACACACTATAATACTAAAATGGAATTTCATTAAAAATTATCTATCAACTTCCAAGAAATCCAGCCCAGTGTGTGATGGTAAGGGTCTGTGTGACTTGTTGGGGTCTCCATAATAACCCAGTGTTATTGTTCTCACATTTATTATAGTGTGTAATCAAGTTATCATATACTCATCTTTCAGCATGATACACTGTGTCCTGACCCACTACAAAGGGGCCAACCCATGAAACCTAAAGACCTGTTAACAAATTGGAGGGGAGGACCCTATCACACCTCAAGCAACTGCCCCTAAATCAACATCACATCAGGGTACCGTTATCTAAAGCACTAGAGCTAAACTCTTAATTTGTGTGAGTGGTATCAAATAGCTTCCATTTGTAAAGACCAGGTGGTCACGAATATACATTAAAGGACATAGAGAGGGTGTTTATGTAAGGTATGGTCAGTAGATCAGCTGGTCAAGACTGGATACATGACAGAGCTGGCCATTATCACCTTTATAGTTCAATGGTAACATCTCCATCAACTTAGTTCTGTTAACAGCAGGTTTAATTCCTAGTACTGGGACTAGGCGATTAGGAAATTGATGTTCAACTCCAAATCAACTGTGCACAATTGTGTGCAGTAAAGACCTGTACATGTACAAGGTTGTTTTTGAGTGAGTTTTTGCCTTGTTTTACAACCGAAAACAGACTGGGTTTCCCCCCCCCCCCCCCCCCCTCAAATCAAGAAAAAATGTGTACGATTGCTCTATTGTTTCCTATTTCATGTAGGAACAGACTGTTCCAAAAAAAAAGGACTGTTGTGTTTGGGAAATTTTGGTCTCTTCAAATCAAGATTATTTTGGTTTCACCGAACATTTTTATTTATATTTACCTGCTGAAATTCCAGATAACGTTAATGAATTGAAATTCTATTAAGTTTTGTTTATGGGATTTTTCAGTAGGCTGAAAGTCCACTCTGTTGAAACACATACCAACTTCTACCTAGAACTAGTGAATTGGTAAGTACTCTACATTCATGAAAGACCTAAGATTCAGATACATATATTATAAAAGTCAAGGTAACAGATTGAATAGTACTCGTATAAACTGACCACATATGCATGGTATCAAAATTGTGTCGCCGATAGGCCTAGCCGATTTGTAATGACAGGAGTACTGTCAAAACGGGTCATCTATTTACGTACAATGACGTGCTTTAGAACTTTCCAATTAAAAGTGAAGTAAGAGTACAGTACTGTACAGTGGGTTAAAAATTCTGAAACTGTCTTTGCCAGATCTGGAGAAATGACAACAACAGCATTGCCATTTTTAATTATTTGTTGGTTAAAACGTAAATTTTGTCACTATTTTCTGACAAAATGTCAACTGTTGGCATCAGTATCTTTAATCTAAAGATAACACATATAGCAAATGCATTTTACTTCTGTTTTCTACACGGTTTATGCCTAAATTTACCTTTTCTGCAAACAACTCGTTTCCACTCTTGTTGACAACTGCGCACGAGGACAGGGCATTCAGTGGACGAGTCTATTTTCACCGGGGTAGTTAAGAACAGAAAAGGTACTAGGCCTATTCAAACTATTCAATCAATTCATCGTAAACGCTTATTGTATCGTATTCTCCATCAAACTTTAAATAAAACGGATATTAATACTCGAAATACTCCGTAAATAATCCTAAAATGTCAAGACAAAACGTCTACAATTGAGCCTATTGGTATCGTCCAAAACTACAATCACTCAACATTTCCTTGTTGGCGGGTTATATTTAAGTTGTAAAACTTTCTTCATATCGTGTAAAAATATTGCTTCGCAAGGTTTTTGGCCAAACACATTCACTTCCCCGATAAGAAACAAAAAAATCTACTTTGGCCTATATATATATATGTAAATGTGGCTATATATAAAGAATTTATGCTGAAATCACAATTTATTTTGTTTAATTTTGGTAGTGCCGGATGCATGCAATGATAACGGATAAAAGTTGAACATTACTTCTCACATGATTAACAAGTGTTTGGAAACGTGTAACTGTTACAAAATTATAAGTGATGTTTACATTAGAAAAATGCTAATCACTTTCAATTTATAAAAAAAAAATACTTTTGCTATAAATTAAAATTGATTCAGTAAATTTTGAATTTAATATGCAATTTGTTCTCCAATAAAACGAATTCAACAAATTGTTGCCAGAGCTATTCGGTTGAATATAGTATTTCTACATATTTTTTTATTTGATTTTAATGTATAACGGGCATTTCATTACAAAATGATATTCTTTTAATATGTTCTCTGGAAATGCTGTTTTAGATATGGTAAGGTATGCCACATTCCCTTTCAACATTTATAGTTTATTTATTTAACTATTTGTTTATTTGGAAGGAAGGGGGTTATCGATTGACTGTTACATGTTTTAATAGACCCGGGAAAATGTTCATCTTTCGAAGCACACATTAATATTTCTTCTTACCGATATATGCTAATGACAAATCCTTTATAGCTGACAACTGATGTCTTCAAACAATGTTTAACTCTCTTTAGATAAGATATTCGTATTTACGGTGAAAACAGAAAAGACGCTTCATTTTGGATTAACCATTTTCAAGTTGGCATACATGTTGCTTGGGGCCCATTGCATGATCGTAAGAGGCGACTAAATTTGGGATCTTATCTTTTCTCTTCTTTGTAAACAACTTTTTTCTTCCTAATGTTTCCCTTGACAATGTCTCACTTTTGGCCTTGAGTTGAGCGTTCGCACCTGTGAGGAAGGCTTTGGGTTCTGTCCCCTGGCCGAGACATACCAGAGTCTATAAAAATGGTAGTTTCTACTCCTGCTTAACGTTCAGCAATTTAGGAGTGGAACGACTGGTTCGCCCGTTGTCGATATAATTAATGTGAGCGGGTGGGATGTCCTGCTGGATGTCTTCGGCAGTATGTTTCAGTGAGGTAGCACTATAAAGTCGGCGTCAGTTCCGCGCTATCACAAGGAGACAAACACGAACATATCGCAGCCTCCCAAAATACACACGCATACACTACACGCATGCATCTTGCATACAGGGGAGGCCGTCCTTAAAAGACCATAGCTGTTGATAGGACGTTAAATAATACTAAACCAAACCAAACCAAATCAATACTTATATTTGCCGTTTTTAGAAACACTTGACATTAAAAAAAATCATTTACACTTATTATTTCAACATTTAACGTCAGTTCAAATAATGGATTTACCTTAATTTTTGTTAAATGAATAGAATAGCCATCGCCCCGGGAAGGTCAGTGGTATCTAACGGAACAATTATGACGTCATAATAATGCTGATAACTATATATAGTCCGAACTATTCTGACGTTTTATCGACTTTTTTATATCGGTCTGTCGTCGATTAACCGAAACCGATAAAAAAATGTCGATAAAACGTCAGAATAATTCGGACTAGAGTATATAGTAAAAGATGAATAAGTTATCAGATTCTGATGTTTTCCATGCCCAATATAACCAAATTCAGTAACCATCAACATTGCAATTGCATACTAGTACGCTAAGTGTGTGGTACACAGGGACACGAGTAGTCCGAATTATTCTGACGTTTTATCAACTTTTTTCATATCGGTCTGTCGTCGATTAACGACAGACCGATATGAAAAAAGTTGATAAAACGTCAGAATAATTCGGACTAGGACACGAGAAACAATCATAGGATGTCCTGATGTGTAGGTAGAACATTCTGTAAAATGCTCCCTCCCCCTAATCCCTCACAAGTAATGGCGTACATTAGTAAAAATGCTGCCCCAACGATTGAAACATCATTTGTGTGAGTGTTTTGGGCCGGGTATTTTATAATTATCCTGCAACTGATTCTCATGTACCAATGAGTGGTAATGGCACAGCTATACCTAGCTAGAATAAACAGTCCAAGTCCGGCTCAACAACCTGTCCTGTCATCATAAACTCACTCCCCATCCCCATCCATGAAAAACTCTTTTGGCCCCGTTGGGAGGTGCCCCTCCCGCTCCCCACGCCATCCTTCAGACCTTCAGGAAAAGGGGAAAGGAAAAGGAGTGTTTGCAAAGGATGTTCGTAGTTTTGGCCACAATTTCTTACAGAAATCTTGAATCCACAACTACCCCTCCCCTTCTTTCTGCGTTATTTGATAGTGATAAAATCAGTCCAATTTGTCAGCTGTTATACGGGGAATCACAGAGTATGATCCATTCGGTGAGTGAACATTTCTACTGAGTGTGTCTACCCCCTTTAAATACGATGGCCGATAAACTCACCACACATCAGCATTGGTCACAACGTTACCCTGTTCTCAGATCCCTGTGTTATTTTTAACATGCTACGTCAGACACAAACTGAATCCTGTTCTCAGGTACCTGGCCCTTGGTTATTAACATGATACGTCCGACACTTATTACATCCTGTTATCATGTCCCTGTGTTATAAACAAATCCTGTTCTCGTGTCCCTGGGTTATTAACGTGCTACGTCCGAAACAAACTGAATCCTGTTCTCATGTCCCTGTGTTATAAACATTCTACGTCCGACACTAACTAAATCCTGTTCTCAGATCCCTGTGTTATTAACATGCTACGTCCGAAACAAACTGAATCCTGTTCTCAGGTCCCTGTCTTATAAACATGCTACGTCCGACACTAACTAAATCCTGTTCGCATGTCCCTGGGTTGTTACCGTGCTACGTCCGACACTAACTAAATCCTGTTATCAGACCCATGTGTTATTAACATGCTACGTCCGAAACAAACTGAATCCTGTTCTCATGTCCCTGTGTTATAAACAATCTACGTCCGACACTTACTAAATCCTGTTCCCAGGTCCCTGTGTTATTAACATGCTACGTCCGAATCAAACTGAATCCTGTTCGCATGTCCCTGTCTTATAAACATGCTACGTCCGACACTAACTAAATCCTGTTCGCATGTCCCTGGGTTTTTACCGTGCTACGTCCGACACTTACTAAATCCTGTTCTCAGATCCCTGTGTTATTAACATGCTACGTCCTAAACAAACTGAATCCTGTTCTCATGTCCCTGTCTTATAAACATGCTACGTCCGACACTAACTAAATTCTGTTCGCATGTCCCTGGGTTTTTACCGTGCTACGTCCGACACTTACTAAATCCTGTTATCAGACCCCTGTGTTATTAACATGCTACGTCCGACACTAACTAAATCCTGTTCTCAGATCCCTGTGTTATTAACATGCTTCGTCCGAAACAAACCGAATCCTGTTCTCAGGTCCCTGTCTTATAAACATGCTACGTCCGACACTAACTAAATCCTGTTCGCATGTCCCTGGGTTTTTACCGTGCTACGTCCGACACTTACTAAACACAAGTTTGTGGTCTTGCTTTTATTAAGTGACAAGGGGATTCCCATGATGAATCCTGTTCCCATGTCCCTGTGTTATAAACATGCTACCTCCGACACTAACTAAATCCTGTTTGCATATGGCACTGGGTTATTAACATGCTATGTCCGACACTTGTTACATCCTGTTCTCATGTCCCTGTGTTATTAACATGCTACGTCCGACATTTACTAAATCATGTTCTCAGGTACCCGGTCATACAACATTTTGATTTCAGGTCCCTGTGTTCTTAACATGCTAACTTCCAACGCTTAATTATCAACGACATATACTAAATCCTGTTGTCAGGTCCCTGTGTTATCAACATACTACGTCTGAAACATTCTGTGGTCAGTGTGTTATGAATATATATGTTCATTAATATCATGTTACGTCCGACACAAATTAAATGAAAAAAATAAACGGTAACTGTATAGTATTTTTTTTCGTTTTTATTTTTCCTAGCGTAAATAAGAACTCGTATTTGAATACATAATTACAATATTTGGATACGCGTCATTGTTAACCGGAATATTTTCCCCTACTTAATCTAATCAAACATTCATTATCAAGTTCTCCGTTTTCAAAAGCAATAAAGATATAAAATACCACATAAACATTTTAAATGCACTTGGAGACACACACTGTAAAACTTTCAGAAGCATTACGGAAACACCCATTCACTTCCCCCACCCCGAAGTCAAACACAACCACATACAAAATGGCGCTTACACAGCATACGGTCCGTAATAGACCTACACAATAAAATTCAAAACTTTAAAGAACTTTCGGATTTAAAGACATAAGATAATGTCATCTCATCATATTCATCTTAACCATACCGCTGTGATAGTAATCTAAATGTTTTACAGACTCCAAATTGAATTTATTTGTGTAGAGTAAGACAACGAAATTACGAAAAAAGGCAATTTTCTCTTTTGATTTCGATTTAATTTTGTCTTATTTTGAAGTCAAATCTTCGATGTCTGATTGGCCTGAATAATGATGTATGTATTGTATCAACAAGTTGCGTACGATTTCTTTGCGCTATGAAACGGTAGCATTGAAAATAGCTATAGTTTACAATGCTAGTAGGGGACAGCGTGTCACATTTATGATGGTAAGTAGGTCACATTGCTGGAAACACGGAGTATGTCACATTGTTTGGGATAAGTAGGTCCCATTGCTGGGGTGACAGAAGGTCACATTGTTAGTGACTACTTATTGCTAAAACTGTTGAAGATTTATCGTTCCCGGCAAAAACGACTAAAATGTCATTCAGATCGTCATTTTCTGGTCCAGTTAAAGGAATCCCTGTGATCTGTCCACCGGCTTTTAAACCATCCGGCAAAGGAACCAACCACACCAATGTGCCATCCGCCCCGGAAACTCCCATCACAAAGGTCGACACAGAAAGATTAACCGGAAGTCCGTGCTCTTCACAGAGGAGAACAAAACCACGTGCTTCCTCTGTATTTGGAGGAGGGATTGCAACTTCAACACCGAAAATCAAAACATCGTTATTCGAACCGGCTGATCTCGCAACCATGAGATTTGACGTGATCTGAGCTTTCTGTACCTTTAGAAGCGTAGAAACGTCAACCGACTTTTGTATCGCTCCAGTCAAGGGGGATAACTGTACAATCGATGCCAAGTTCGTCAAAACTGCCCAAACATCAGTTCCGGCGTCATTAGAGGTTTTGCTTCCGTGAGGGAAGGGACCGAACCTGCCAGCAGAAATTCCGTCCGATCTATGTTTTGTCATTTCCGGTAAAGCAGTTCCGGACGTGGATGTGCTTGTGTCAAACATGGCCATTTGTTTCAGTCCAGCCGTGGCTCTAAAAAGCTGAGTCGGGGTGTCACCGTTATCTTTCAATCCCCACAGTGTGGGACCCGCGTTCGAACCTTCCGGAGGAGGAAGGTTTACCATAACAGTGTTTGTTTCAACATTAAACATCACGGAAGGTTGTAAATCTTCAACCTGTTCTTCCGTATTCATATTCATGTTGTTATCCATATCCATTTCTTCCACAAATTTGTTTCTCCCGGTTCTTTCCCGGAACTGTTTATGACTTCCGGTTTCACGTTCAAAGTTAAAGTACCACGTGATGTGTAGACGGTCTACCATTCGCTGGAACATGTCTATAGCGTAGAGTCTCTGCATACCCAGGATTGATGGCTGTGACAAAAAAAAAAAGATAAATAAAACAGTTTCTTTAAATTCCCCAACGACATTTTTTGTTCGATCATTTGACAAAATAATACGTCACAAGCCTGACTAATAAGGACTCAAACAATACTTACATAACAAACAAATCCAAACAAATCCAAACACATTGCATGAAATTAAAATATTTTAAAAACAAAGTTATTTTACCAAAAAAATAACTTGTTCCTATTTCTTCATAGTTTGTTTAGTATTCAATTTACTTAAAGAGTTGTCTAGTGAACATTTGATTTGGTTTATTGATCGCTATATAGTCTCAACTGATTGGTTGCTGGCGTCTTAGATTATGTGTACAATATCACTTCTAGGCAATTCTATGACATTTATTTGCTATTTATCATAATTGAAAAAAAGACATTTTACTAACGACATAAACAATACCATAAGCTGTAAAACTTTGTCCTACCATTTATTTTAAATCGGAATCCTGTCATGTCGCGTAGGAATTTGTTTTTGTGTTTTACCCTCCGTCCGCAAAGAATAACTCAGTAATCACACTTACTAGTATCTTTGGGAACAATTATAGCAAGACTGGTTGTAAAATTCACATTGACATCAGAAAAAATAACCTTAGTATGCATGTTTGGCCTTCTCCGTGTGTTTTGTATCAACTTTCGGTAAACATACAGAGTTCTATTGAAAAGTCTAGTAATTCTCCCTATGATAAGTCCCGTGAATTTACATACCCCTGAAATTCTATTCATTTTTCCAACTGATTTTAATTTTAGTTTATTTAATTTAAAATTTGACACTTTGACGGACATATATTTCAATCGCACTATCCTTTTCATTTTTAATTCAATTATTTTTCCTAAAATGTCCGCTTACGTCATCAGCTCCAGGGCTTCCCTCATCCGGTTTGAATTCTGTAAGAACGTAGCATCTGTTTTCGTGTATGATGGGCATGGCTATTGGGAGGAAAGTTCCATTTGTCTGTTGCACAGTCCCAGTTAACCAGATCGAGGCTTCCGGAATACCCTCTTCATACGAATAAAACAGTTACAAGAATCTCAGTTAAAAAAAGTTACAGTATATTGAATCTTTCGAACCCAATTCTGATATAATGGTTTTCTGCCTCCCTATATAGTGCTTGCACCGGGTACTACCGGAAAAGACGATTCGGCCGGGGAGCATATCTAAATTCGACGGAACACAACTAAATTGCAGTTGACAGCATGACTTATTCTTATTATATCATTATTTTAATTTTGTGAAACGCAATCAAGTAATCAGTCAAGCTGAACGTTTGCCATTTTCAATCGATGCTCAACCCCATTTAACAAGAATACCAAAACGGGCTAAATATATATATGAAAGACCCCACACTTGTGTTTTTCTAACGTTCAGAAAGCACGAGTTTATTGTGCGGACGAATGTATTCACGAGTACGCGGAGCGCACGGAGTGAATATATACGTCCGCGCAACAAATGAGTGCTTTCTGATTCGTTAGAAAAACACAAGTTTGTGGTCTTGCTTTTATCACATACCTTCCATATTTGGTAGAGATTGATATACAAAGATTTTAAAAACTTCGATATTTTTTGCAAATACCGGGAACTTTTCAGTTCGCCGTGACAAGGGGATTCCCATGAAAAAGTAGTTCCGGCTAGTAGGTAAATACAACATTCCGTATTGCACATGTGCAATACAGAACGTTGTATTTCATGGTCTGAAAATTGCTTGTATTACTATAACAAGATTCAACAGGTATGTGATAAAATGTCATGAAAGATTACGCCGTTATAACAGCTTTGTCCGAGATGTTTTGATCACGGATATTTGATATGTTTGATCAAAAATATGTCGCATTCATCATTTGATAGTAGGGAAGCCAAATGGTGTTGAGCATCAATTAAAAACGGCAAGGTTTCCAGCTTGACTGATTACTGAGTCGCTCGGTTCCCTAGGCATGTTACGTTTCCTAGAGTTGTACATATTTCACGAAATTAAAATAATATCTGTAGACCATAGTCCTGCTCTCAACTGCAATTTAATGGTGTTTCTCGTCGAATTTAGATAAAACTCCCCGACGGAATGGTTTTTTCCGATAGTACCCGGTGGCTCCGCACGCGCCGCATTATAGGTTACCGGAAATCCGGCTATCCACTGAGCCCTAAACGAGAACATGTACCGCTATGAATCTTGTAACACAATCACAAATTCCTAATTTTCACAATCCTGTTTGCGAAGTACCGAGTTTGAACAATCTTATAAAGCTTGCATGACCGTGGCGTTTGAAAAGCTATCGGATATATCTATTTCCGGTCAATGTGTATATCTGTATGCATGCATTTCCCACGCAACTCGGTCAGGTATTGAGTTTCTTGATGAAAAGGGTTGATGAAACAAAAAGATTATTTACATAAATTACGTTGTATTTTCTCGCGATACAGTTCCTAAAGATCCCCAGTGTCCGGAGGCGTTTAAGATAGTCGATGTCCAAGGCAAAGGAATGCGATACCCTTTATACACGAAAATCCCCTCCTCTTTCCCGGAGTGTTATGAAATAACGGGACTGGTTGGTGGCGATATCTTATCGACATCAAATTCTACTTCCGGCTCAAGATTGTTCGATTGGCAAACACCGACTCATTGGGATTTTTTTCTCTCACATAATGATAAAATGTTATATAGAATAAATTGTCAGGAGTATTATAATCAAACACATTTCGAAAAGCACGTCTGTTTAGCAAGGTTCTACGTAGACACAGGGGTCTGTAGCATATTGATATTATAGTGTAACGTGTAACACCCAGTCCGGGGCGGACGTTAAGTGTGTGAGGGCGGGTTAGTAGTTTACACTGATTAGTATTTCTCCTTATGTAATTTCACACATTAGAACGCTCGAGCGTTGTAGAAGTATGGACATACATTGACTCTTCCCCCCCCCCCCCCCCCCCCCCCCCCCCCCCCCCCCCCCCCCNCATTTGTTACAGCTATATTTGGACCTAAACTAAGGTTAAGGTGTACAGTGTAAATTTACATGTTTAAGGGTTTTAAGATCGACTTTCGGTAAAAATGACACCGAGAGTCGATCTAAACCCGTAATGCATGTACAATTACACTGAACACCTTAATTTAGGTCCAAATATAGCTGTAACAAATTACCAGGTCCCTGTGCTCCCACTATATCAAAATTGTACACAGTGAGCCTGAGATAACGATTAATAGTTTATATTTTCGTTCGTGTCTAGTGACTGGGTTTTCCCAAGTAATACAGGTCAGCGCTTTTGTTTATGTTTATAGTCTACGTAATACGGAGCAGGGGGGGGGGGGGGGGGGNGGCACCGCCTGAGGAACTGATCAACAGGTTGTGTAAACAAAGCAACACTCCCAACATCCGCAACCGCGAGAGGAAATTATGCACGAAATAAAAGTATTATGATATGCCAGGGACAGTCCATGCATAGACTGGTTCCCTCTCTGGATGTTGAATCATTCAGTAGAAATAAGACTTTAATTTAATTTAATTTTGATCACTTGGATGTCTGATTCTGGACTTACTTTCAAACTAGGAGGGCATAAGTTTGTAGTTAAATTAAGATGGAAAATTCTTTAAAAAAAATAGAAGCAGGTCGCCTTTGTATGGTATTAAGAAATTATTATATGTCCATTTTTATAGTACAGAGGGCTGATATTAGGACTCAGGGCTGATTGGGGGTGTGATATCAAAATTGTCATATCATAAACTTTTTATCATGTTTTTTCTTTCAAAATAAAATTTAAAAACAAAATTATTTTATTTATATTCATAAAAATGGTAACAAAAACAATGATGTATATAAACAAAACAGTAACAATTATAAATGTAAAAAGTCAACATTTAGAAATTCCCAAATTCCTACAAAATGATATGGTTATTGAAATTTGGGTGGGGCTTTGTAAATTAATCTTTAAATTATATTCCATGAAACCGCAGTTATTCCATGCCAACAATTCGTTTGTTTACATTAAAAGTAGACAGCATTTAGCGGAAGCGGCAAAATCCGGAAATTTGGGAGGGGGTGTGATATCACTTTTCTAGGGGCGGGGTGATATCACTTTTCTAGAGGGTGTGATATCACTTTTCTAGGGGGTATGATATCACTTTTCTAGGGGTGTGATATCACTTTCAAGGGGGGGGGGGGGGGGATATCACCCGGGCTGATATCAACTTGTGGAAATTTTATACTTATTACACATACAAAAAGGGTGTTATTATTAGTAAACATATGATTAACTGACATAATATTCTTGGATGCCATAAAAGCTTTGAATTATTAAAACCACGTTAATTACCACTTAATTAATATACAATCTGTCCTTCAAATTGAAAAACATTATTAGGGGTATGCAAAACTTTATCTAGACGCTGTCCTACCACAGACATTAAAATAAGCACGATGTATAATTTTATAAGTCTATCTTATAATTCTCGATTCTCGATTTAACGAACACATATGCATTGATTAAAGAAATATCGGACTTGAGCAAATAAAAAAAAGTTATTTAATCTTCAAAAGAAATCAAGAAATGTTGACTTGAGAAACTCAAAAAAATATATACAATTCATCTTAAATTTGGACTCATAACCTCAAAATTCCGAATATTTCTATTTTACCTTCACGTTTTTGAAATCCAAATTTATGAGAATACCTCTTTCCATTGTAACCAATGGTTCTTGACATTAGATAATGGAAATTAAAACATAGAGAAGATGAAAATGATAAAAAAAAAGAGAGAATCGGTCCGGGACCTGACTGTCCTCCATGCGCGGCATTAATAGATCTAAAGGCGGTCAGTTTCCGGACCGGTTATTACTTATTACCTGGTGGTTTTTTTTCGTTTGTCTAAACTCGATTTCTTGTTTATTTCTTACCTGTTTCGTAAACAATGACAGCCCCGCTCTTGGACACCAGTAGAATCAAACTATTGGCTGATATCAGTAGACTGTCAGTAGAAAATCATATTAATGATATAAAGCGAATATTTCATTAATTTCAAACGACATTTTCCTTGTTACACACAAGTGCCTGCTGTCGGCAATTTCTCCCATAGTTGTTACAAGCTCACCACTTGATATGGCATGAACTCACAGACTAAGGATAATCTGATTCCATTCTGCAATTCATAGTTTGGGTAATTTCACAGGGTCCCGACTTCCGAAAGAAACAGAATATTCAACTCGACTCGTGATGATCGATTAAAATTTACTGCTGAAGTTCAAAAAATGTGTTAGATATTAAACTCTTTCAAATATTAGTACAATGTTGAAAACAACTGCCTGGCCTGTCTACCGACCATAGACGTATACATCCAGTCTCTGTATCACCCAAGACATTTTTGTGATCAGTTAAAGTCTAAAATGCCCGCGAAAATAACAGTCCTATAATAGTTACCTGTACATCGGGAACAACACGTCCGCGATTTTAATTGGCGAAAACGTTTTCCCGCTATCCTCAATCTTGACGAGATAATGTCCATCCGTGCCTATGATGTCACCGAAAATATCCATGATGGGAAGAACGGGGAACCGGAGGAGGCTGCTGGCCCATTCGAGGGACCCAGTTCCGACGTCTAGGCTGATGTAACCCCTGGAAACGTTACAATGAGGAGTTGGGAACGGTTTATCCACAGGGACCTGGGAATTTGTTACAGTTGGTTTGTTTTTGTCCTGAACTGATGTGTTCGGAGTTCTATTAGAAGTTTTTAAGGTTAAAATCAAAACTCAATTGATAACTAGATACGCGATGTCACACTAAAGAATTAAACAGCAACAGGCGTCATTTTTTTTTATCTTGATATGGAATCATCTTACCGTTTTACAGACATTGAGTATCCTACGAATCATGAGTGCGGTAATGTGATAACTAGCGGTCGTTTCCTCAGACCTATTAGGTTATTGCTTGGCAGTGTATGGCTGTAAGTTTGGTGGAACTATTAAATGGTTCCACTAATTATTGGTTCCACTGTGGCGTCACAACTAAGACAAATCCACGACATCACAACTTTCGAACTGCGATGAGACGTCACAAAAGGGTTGACAGTCAAAAATTTAAAAGACAGTCTGAAAATAATTTTAGGAAAAAATCTTCATCGTATGATAAACAGAGTCTTTACAATCGATTCCATTTTATGATATTTATGAATCTCATCATTGCTCGCGTGGAGCTCGTTTTGAATTTAAAGTATTTTTCTTAGGGACTTCGCCTGACGATACCTACGTTCTATGCGCAATTGATAACGTGCGTATATTTGTTTGTTTATACCACTTGTGTAATCTGTAGAACGTCCTTCACGGCGGTGTGAGCTTTGTAGGGTTTGAACAGAACTAATATCATATCTACTATTGATAACCACGGTCGTGGATAACAATCTTATTCCGTGTTATAACTCATGAAATCCGTGTTAGTGAGCTATGCGTCATATAGTGCGAGTATCATCTCATGTAAAAATATCCACTGTGACGTCAGAATTAAGACAAAATACATGACGTCATGGTATTGTAACGTCACATTGATACTAGACATATTCATGAAACCGTTCTCATGCTCAAGCATGGATTTTGAGCTCAAACCGAATTTCTTGTTGCCGTTATAAATTAATGAAAAACACTATTTTGTCTACGATTTGGAGAACATTTGAAGAGACTTACAGCTGAAAACTGGTTTCAATGTTCGCATTGGACGTTTTGATTGTTAGACAAGTTACAACAAAATTGGTTTGCCCACAGTATCCGCACTTGCGCATGATAATGGTTTAATGGAGTCAAAAATAATGGCGACGATGGATGGAGTTGGCAAGTTTTAGGGAAAATTCGCATAGTAATGTATTGAACAGGGCAATTAATTCGAAAACTGTACTATGACGTCTTAAATCAAATGACGTCATGTGTTTGCGCCGAAAAAACCCAATGCATTTTCAGTAGTTCTAGTCAAATAATTGACAAATGTGTCCGTATAAATAATTTCAAAAGGCATCTGATTTTTACTCTGTGATTTTTATAAGTCTGACGCTCGCCTTTTATAAAAATGACATGAAACGGAAAGTCATTTGAGATACATTTTGAATAAGCAGGTGGATTTCAAATTACTGCCTAATGATATTTTATACCTCGTAAATAGTATTTATAAAACATAAAATAAATATCGTGCTCTAGATTTTCAAACGTGAATTATTCCTGCATGCGCTTATACCAACTTGGAAAAACAAGCACAGGGGCTGGTCACATGATGTAAGATATAGCCCTGTAGGTCGTAGTGTCTAGCCCCTGTGATCATATCTTGTATTTGTTCTACATATTACATCTGTGTCGTATACCTCTAAGAAGACTGTTATCAATAAACAGCGTACACCGACTAGTATCTATATCATCTTATCGCCTTTGTGAGGTCAATATATACGGTCTTATACAGGATATTTTACTCGGTTTATTTTCATTCTTGGGTTGATAAAACTTTGTATGGATCTCATTAAAAGGCAATAATTGTATTGTTGTTTCTTAATCATTTTGTTAATCAGAAACCCTATAACAAATCAATATAATTATGTTTTTTTCTCACCAACGATCTACATTTTTGTTCAGATATTATTTGGTGAGGTGGTTTTCTTTGTAGGTTCCTTGGTGAAGAAAAAAAGTTGAAATTACATGCAATATGAGTCTATTTCCCTATGCAGGAAATACCTTATCTCTTCTTTTTCCATAACTCATATTTCCCCGAAAGGAAAGCATACTTTTTGGAAACAAAAACTTTTTGGAAACAAAAACTTTTTGGAAACAAAAACTTTTTAAGAAAAGTGGACTGTCGTAAAATGTGAGCATGGTGTCTAAGGTATTTGCCATATTATAACCAGGAATCTTAAATAATTAGTAACTTATTCGGCGAATAAATATCTTTGGAAAGAAATTGAGTATTGAAATGCTTTATCGTTACTTACATTTTACAGAAATCTGATATTTTTAAACAGTTTTATAAGATTAAATAATTTGATAAGATATATGAATTTTGATTTTTTTCTCTCCCGATTATAGAAAGAAAATTGAAAGATAAAACTGATAAAATATTGAAATGAATTGAGTTACGAATTATACGTACACATCCTTTGGTCCGTTTGACTGGCATACGATGTTATTTGGGTTTCCAACACAACCCAAAGTGTTAGGGAGAGGGCCAATGAAGAAATCTGTCTTCCATGCGACGTAAGCGTTTTGTGACGAGTTGGGGGAACTGAGCGTGTAAGAATTTGTCCCGCGTGGATTACACGCGTAACTCGGACATGCATTCACCGCTTGTGCGTTACACGAACGGGAAACCACACAAAGTAAAAATACAGCCACGCTGACATAACTTGTGAAGTCCGCCATCTTAAATAGACAGGGTCACTTACGGGTACTGCATTTATACAAGTAGATTAGCAATATATTATCTGAGTGTAGCTGGGTACGTGATGTAGATAAAAGATATTTATCAATGTTGACTTATTATAACCTGAACAAGGACGGTATTAATGTCATCAATAAGCCATTCAGTCAAGACCAGCATTTGATCATCATGATTGAAACAGTGCATAATACCATAAACCATATAAATTGTACACGGAAGTTTTCTTCTGGTAAATAAACATAACGTCTTAATCAAAAGTAAGAATATGAAAAAAAGTTTTCTCTACCCTACTATGATGTCATGGTTATGTTATGAAGACTATATAATGTTTTACATATTTAAATAACAAATGGAAATGCCTGTAGTAAAAAATAGGTTTTTACAGAAGTAAAGCATCTTGGTTTCACAGGGACTTGATTATTTGTAACGGTAGTCTGTTCAAGAGCCTGTTTAATGAAAATATACAATTAAAATAAAAGAATTTGTTTATAATGTGATAATGTTTTGATAGTTCATTTGTTACATAGACGGCCGATGGTTGTAACGGCCCAATGTGTTTCTTTGATCATAACCCGATCAGTGGGTTAACCACTTTCATCTTAGAGGTCAAAGTTCATTTCTAAACACTCGTTCACATGAATAAAACAATATAGAAAAATACAAATGACAACTAGATCATAACCAGTACTTGAGACCGATCTGAAATGCAAACAATTTGTAGAGCCATAAATTTTCTTCTTGTCACCCTCCATATTCAGGTGATATACACAGGTGCAAATGTTACCTATGACCTCATTAGGGGGTATTTACTGGCTGTAACTTAACATAATATTTCGCCCCTGGTACGGTACACAAAATGGTTGCACCCCTCCCACGGACTGTTGGTGATATAAATCACTAAATCAACACGAATGATGAAATTTATTGAAATCGAGCCATGGCGTCTGGACAGCCGGGTACACCTGTTATAAATCTTTTACCTGTAATCACCTGTGATAATTATACACACCTTTACTCCACAGGGTACTTACCGTAATATAACATTAAAGGAATGGGGGTCTTAATGACTCCGTACTTAATCAAACTCGTGAGAAAAGGGAAAGGATGTTTATCTACGGGGTTACAGAAAGTTTGACTCGGATTCTCACGCGACAGGCCGAAAATTACCGTATTTTTTCCCCTGTTCGTAATATGACGTCACGCTAGGTGAAAGATAATTAAGCTCGATAAAAATGTTAAATTATTTAATTTAAAAAAAATCAGTTTTGAATTAGATATTTTTGACGGAATAAACAGACACAAGTAATACCACGGACTTGGGTAATCTAATTCCGTGGTATTACTAATGAGCAATATCTTTAAAAAGTCACCTACATTATTGGCTGCTTCTAACGTTATCTGTCTCTGCCGCATAGAATGTATATCATATAGGATCTTACATGAGTTTCAATTTCATATGAGATTTATGAAACTCGTCAAGATTTTTTTTCAATTTAGCAAGCTAAAATTAATTTTATATGAAATGAAAACGAGTGTAAGGTCCTTTTTATCACATAATCAAGATTTGTTGTATTTATTCGTGTAAAACGTTGTTTTTTATGCAACTTTGAAATGTATAAAGCAGACATTTTGACTCCAGGGCCCAGTTGTTCAAAAGGTGGATAGCTTAATCAGTATTGAACGACATTTGTTAACCTCTAATAATTCCGTTAATGAAAAAGGTATCACTCTAGTAAATATTTGATATCTGAAAAGTTGTAACTAATTCAATAGTTGCGTTCTAAAGTTAATCACCTTTTGAACAACTGGGCCAAGTGCGTAAGTCTGATGGCATGTACTTGTCCTAGGCGTGACGTCATAATTGAAACAATTGATTCACTCGGAGACATATTAAGCCATATAGTATATACGTCTCTGATTCACTGAATAACACAGCACATTATGTGATACAACATAAAGCACATGACGAAAGCCAACCTTACGAGAGAATAAATATTAATTAAAATGCATGTAAAACCACTTCACTTTGAAAGGAACTTGCTATAAAAGGCTAATTTGAAAAAGAAAAAAAAATCATATGGTAAGCGAGCTTACCTCGGCAAAGAAACACTTAAAGTTCCAGATAATTCTTGGTAATATTTTAACACATACCTTAGTTTTTTGAGGAGGGGTGCCTAAATGTACTCTAATGTGAGAGGGAAGGGGAAGAGGAGGAAAGACGATAAAGAGGAGATCGTGATAGTTCTTTTTATCAGGGTACGGATTGGGGTTTGGGATTGCAGGAAGTGTTATTAAATACTAATTATGCATAAAAATTGTCAGACGTTTTATACATTAATTCTGATTCTAGGTTTTGTCGAAACCCTGAAGTATATACGAATATATGCAAAGAAGCATTTACGTTTTAAAAATAATCAAAGAGAAATGAATAAGAAAAATATTAGACACGTCTCGTGTCTTTCTACTTTACTCATCGAAATTCTCCTGCTTAAGATTTCTGATGCCAAAGATACAATTGTAAGATTTGTTTTTGATGACATTTGGTCGAATGAAATCTTGCTTATATATTAAGTGAACGGACAAATAATGTATTCCCATATTCTCACATTTTAATTTGATTCCAAATCTCGAGCATCTTTAACAAGGATTTATACTTCAAGTCTCTGCTTTAAAAATGTCATTTTTATATTACATTATATTTTGACACGGCAAAAAAATGAGTTTAAAAGAATGCAGCATAATTGAAAAAAAATATATATGTGTGTATTTTTAGAGATTTTATAATTATATGCATGAAGCACCGGATCTTGGATTTATAGCATAATAACTGCAATTACGCCGTATTTGATTTGAGCAGACTGACCGGCGGGGGGCAAAATTACTTGTTCAATTATTTTATCATCGTAAGCAATTCAGCTTATTGATATTACATACATGTATTTGTTGTTTCGGTCCAAAACAATTGGTGAGTATGTATGTTTAGCAATAAACGAAAAGTATTTAGTCCTATCCATAAAAATAATGCCCCTTTTTCGCGTGCTCACGCGACGGGTGAATTAATTAAAGGATGTTTGTTTAGGCAAATACAAAAGATTATGAGTTTAAATCCGTTAATTTAAATATGTGTGAACGTTGAGTAAAGTTTGTCCAAACACGAACGAAGGGTTTCTTTCATTCTGAATTTTAAAAACGAAACCAATCTGCTGACCACCCTTATTTATTCTAAACGCCGCTGCGTATACTATTTTATCGAAACTACACGCTACTTTTCCGTGTGAGAATAAAGATCACAAGATTTTTAACTTCTTATTTTCTTTTGTTTGAACGAATGTTCTTGAATACAATGGTGATGCTTGAAGAGTTTAAAAAAAAAGTATATTAGAATATTTTCACATCTTTCCGTCCAGCGTTTTTATCGACGTGACAACTATTCAAAGGAAATTACTCATTAAATGCCTTTCTGATCCTCCTTGTCTTACCAAAATTTCCGGAGAAAATTTAATCCGGAAATTCATACGTGAAATAAAGACATAATAATTATGAAAATATTCTTCATAATTTTTATTTCATTTTTACAATTGACGTAATACAAAGGTTATCGATGTGGACTTTTCGTTTTACAACTAGTTATAGAATTGTCTCTATGTACTACTTTTTTGAAGGTAAAACCGACATGTTTGCGTATATTCCATAAAAAATGTGTATATTGTCAATTATTCTCTGTCCCCCCNTTGATTAGTTTACTGAATTTTCCACATTATTGCAATGCAAATTAACCCCTTGTAAATTGACGTTACTGTAAAAGAATGTAAGAAGTCTAATCCTTTTGTTTTGGAAACAATTTAATATCTTGAATTGACGGTCATGTACATTTTCGCTGAAATAAAAATCACGCGAATTTTTATGAACTTTGACTTTATCCCTGTAGATTAGCGAGCGCCATTTTTATTGACGATGTAAAATATACAAATAAGAATACAACAAGATGCTGGACAATTTGTCAGAGTGTTCTGCAAATAAACAAGAACTAACATTTGATTATTTGTGAAGCTATTATATCTGTCGTGTCGCGAGTTACACCGCTGTTTTTATCTAAGTCTGTCATTCCTGATTAACACCGCACGAGATGTTTGGTATCATTTTCAGCAAATACTACCTGCGAGGATAACTACTTATGGAACCTCCGAAATACCATCGGGCTTTGGTAGTCTACACCCTTCTGCTTAACTGAGTAATTCATAAAAATGCCGGATGTCGGATGTTCAATAAACATGTTTTTAATACTATATATTTATAACATGCTAAAAAAATGATAAATTTTGACTTACGTTTTCAAGATTTGTTTATAATTTCCGATTGAAATAATACAGCATATAGGTTAAATGTATACATAATACACGACCGAGGACCATTCCATGGTAGCATTTATCACACAATATTAGATACATACTTCAGCAATATCAATACACGAGGTGTTTTTTTTGGCGGTAGCATACCGTAAATGTAATTTAATCAGAGACGTATAATATACGTCTCTGATTTAATTTAGTTTAAATTTCTTAATGTTTTAAATTTTTACGTGACAACAATTCGATTAACTTATACATACTAGGGCGTTGGTGGAAATATCGCTCAAAGTGTGGGGTTTTTCAGTTCAAATTGAGCAGCACAAGTAAGAATTAAATGTATCTCATCTTCTATATTATTTTTTTGTCGCAAGATGAACACATTCGATGACCCCCTAAACCCCATGACAACGTCCAGATTTACTAGATATAAATGAATATTATAAGTATCGACACTGAAGATGTCTATATAAATAACATTTAGAAGATGATTCAAACGCGCATCACAATTCTTGAATAAATATCATGCAGACGCCACAAATTGTTTTTCATTTTGAACAAACAATGTATTGTACATCCCAGATATGATTAAAACCCCATTCACCATAAATCCTGTTTAACATTATAAACCCAGTTCAGTTTATAATTTGACTATGAGATACTATTATATCTGGGATATAAAAATTCTGGTGATTATATTATACTAAGCAGTGTGGTGAGGATGAATGTGATTTTGGAAAAATCAAAAAAAATCCTCATTTTGAGGTGAATTTAAGATACATGTTCAGACTCATAAACTTACAAAAGTAAAATTTTAAGTTGTCTGTACCAACCCAAAGAGGACAGTTTATTTCATTACATTTCCTGAATTTACCAAAGTTTCTGTACTATGAGGATATTTTTTCCCGCTAATGACCTCAAATGAAACCTCTGGTAATTTTCATATTGAATAAGTTTTCCGTTTCAAAAATAAATTTAATATGCAAATACATTTTTGGATGAAAATCACTTGTCACTTCCAAGTCTCCGTACCCGCAGAGGATGAAATGGTACTAGGCTGTGATTTACGGCGTATTCTGTCAGCGGGGAGTCGACAACCGAGCAAGTCAAACGGCGTACATGTAACCTGTACTAGCTAGCATACCGGAACGGTACTGAAAAGAATGGGCCGAGCCTTTGATATCCGATAAGTCTGAATGACATGTCGAGCTAACAGGCGTGTTAATTTCTATATGATCATCGCTAGTCAATTCTAATGTTTTAGTCACAGATTTGAAGCTTCGTGACGCTGACCACATCAAAGGGTCAGTTAACTTGACGTACTTAGGTACTTCAGCGATGATCGTAATCATTTCTAATAAACAGATTTGATGGTTACATTGTTAATTGAATTTATTTATACACACTTCTAGTCTCCTTCTTAGTCGGAAACAAAATATTTGCAAATAAAGTACAATAGTAAAAAAAATCCAAAAATTATACTTTGCCTCTTTTGTCCCCTTATTGATATGAAAACGATATTAAGGAATATTACATATTCATTACTACTTTAAACTTTACTTTGATCAAGTTTAAAGCAAAAAATGTGTTGAGAAGAATATGAATACAACATTCTGATAACTTTTTAGAAATATTTTGAGGTTGAGGCAGCAAAAAGGTTAAAAAAACAAACTATTGCAAAACGATATTAACCGGTTTTTTTTATACTCTTCAAAATGCCTTTTATAATGATTTCATCTATTAAAGAAGAACACCTGTTTCTTTCCGCATTACTAAGTAAGAGTCCCTGTGTCTACCAACCAGGCAAAAACAAAAACAAATCGAAGTTCATAAAAGTTATATCATAATTCTGCACAATAAATAAAGTTTATTGAAATTTTGATTTGATCTTGAATTCTTACTATTTAATATGGGAAGGTCAAGTTTTGGAAGATTTCCAAAAAAATAATAGTCAGTATGTTTTGCAATATAATTTATTTCGGCATCTTTCTTTTCCGACCCACGTGCCATGTCGCTTGGATGTTTCTACAACGTCTAACGGTTCAGCCAATCAGAAAACGAGTACGACCAATCAGTACCAATTAGCACCTACAGTCGTGCGCGATTGGCGGAATGCTCCGGAGATTACTGCTCTGTAACTCCGCCCACTTGTAGATATATTGGATCATTTTGACACGATATGCACGTTCATTTTCTTGCCTTTTGTATGACAACACGACAGCTCTCGTTCGATAAAAAAACTTATCTTTTCAAAACATGGAGAATGTTAACGAGTATGCGCCGTTTCAGGATTATTTTGGCCTCAGTGACATTACCTGGAATAAGGATTTATTGACGAATTTGAATAATTTGATGACGCCAATTACCTGCCAGGATGACAGCAGCAGCGACTGTGATAGCAGTAATAACAACTATGACTGTTTGAGTTTTGGTTTGACATTTCTTGACCGGGATGTCGGTTCGAATTCTCAGGAACATTTGGACCATATCCGGATTGATTCAATGGATGAGTTCCGCCATAACGGCCGAGAATTAGATTTGGACGACTTGGATAGCTACCAGGTACATTTGCGTCACGAGTCCGCTAAGGATAAGATGGCGATTCAGAGGGAAAGCAATCCGATCGTGTTGCAAGTTCTGGCATTTAAAGAAAAGAAGAAAGCTGCTCGACGGGCCAAGGCAAAGAAAGTGTGCGTTTTCTGCAAGAACAATGGCGAAACGTCATCGGTGTACACCAGCCATGTTTTGAAAGATAACGAGGGTAAAGTCAGCTGCCCCATCTTGCGGAAATACACCTGTCCCTTGTGTGGGGTCAACGGCGACGGAGCTCATACCATCAAATACTGCCCAAAGAACGAGGAAACTGACAATAATTCAACACCCTGTCTGTCATCTCTGTTAAACACTGTCCGTAGCAGCACCTGTAAAAGACGCCGGATGCAGTCGGGAGCTAGTTCTTAATTAGCGGACGGACTTCAGCTCTAATTTGGCGCGTGCGATCGAAAATGTAAACAATCACAAATTTGAAATTACGGTGCGAAACTATTGCCTAAACATTCTATTCAATATCATCTCAGAAATTGTATCGGCGACATCTGAAAAAAATCGTGAACTTTGAACAAACATTCCAGTGATTAACATGTGGACTGCAATGATTTAAATACATTGATGGAATTCGTATTGGACGATGAAAAAGGTGAACCAGTAATATGAACTTATCGGAATATAGAAATATGATATTAGAAAGTCTTGTGCAATTCCATGACATTTTTACGCAAATTAAACAACGATTTGCGACAACTAAGATCTTTTATCATTTACATCACATATTCATTGTCGCCTTGTATGTATATCACATTTTTTGTATTATAATATTTTTGTTTTAAAACATGTTGATTTTACAACTTTTTGATTTTCATCACTTTGTGTAGATTATGTAATTTATCCTAGAAATACTATTTATAACCGTTTGTTTTTAAAAGATGAAGAATTTTATGTGCTATAAAATAGATTTAATTGAAATACATGTACATAGAATATCTTTTGTAAACTAATTAATTAATTTGATTACTAACTTATTCACATTCCTGACAGGTGAGAAAATGGTAAAATATTCAGGTTTAATTTTTTTCCGTAATGTACCTCTTTTTTTCCGAAGACTAGCCATTATTTTTTTTCCTCTTTTCCGCAATTTCATTTCTTACCATCTGTCCAATGAAATTGTATGTTTCCTCTCGAGTGAAACATATTTTTGTAAAAGAAATGTATTTTGTACACATTGACATTATCAATGACATCTACATCAGTATGCAATGGTATTTACATCCAAATTTACTGAGCCATAAAAAAATCGATAGTTTTGTATATACACGGTGTTCTGCACATAGAGACATTTTAAATAGTAGTTTAGAAATAATTTGATCGATTTAGTGCTGAATATATTATATTTGAATCGGTTCTCGTATTAAAACCATTTAGACTTTCATTGCTTTGTTTGTCGTCTTTTTATCTATTGTACAATATGGAGCGCACGGACCTGCAAATTGGCTCGTGTATGAACCTAAGCTGTGCGATGTTTAGTAACACCTTGGGGTAAAAATGCTTTCCGGATTTCGCTCAACATTATAATTTGTTAAATAACCAAAAGTCGATCTAAACCCATATACTCAAAAAACCCTAGTTTAGGTCCATATATAGCTGTTACAATTTCTCGGTCCCTGGTTTAATACAGTCGCCATGATATTAGAATAAAATATTGCACATATGCATGGATTTCATATGGCCATTCCATTGTTTGACAAGTTGATTTGCAAGATTTATGGGCAAAACCTGTTGGATTTAATTTTGTTGGTACCTTTAATAATTTAAAACTTGCGGAAATAAATTGAATTGAATAACACAATCTTTGGGTGGCAACGGAGAACATGCAATGACAAAAGATTATGGCATGTTAAATGAAATATAAACTTTTCACTTGCTGACTTAACTGTTGGAAGAAATCGGAGTACCCAGAGACGGAGAAAACCACTTTGTCTGGCAGGTAACTCAATTCCTTTTCACGTCCGACCGTCGAGTCCAGCCCCGGCCGCCTTGGTGAAAGGCAGGGGCAGGTCCAGGTGAGGGCGTAATGGGCGTACGCACCCCCCCCCCCCCCCCCCCCCCCCCCCATTTTCAATAAAACAACAAAAAAACCTATCGTAATCTACTAATATCGTATTGAATAAGGCAATTTATCATATTCATTAATTAACCACATACTCTGATTTCTTTTTATACCGATTCCCCCATCCGATGGGTGATCCGTAGTTTTTTAGCAAACAAAAGGTCCAAATTTGATTCCTCTTTCAAATATCCTAGAAACGCCCCTGAAAGGCGAGTGCGTTGTCCACTGCGCCACTCGACCACCATGATATATATTACTGATGACCGGTCCATCCTCTTTTAAGTTATAACCACTGAGCAAACAAGTTTAATTTCAAAAGGAAGCAAGTTGGGTCTCTTCAAATAGTTACAAAAGGGTTGAAAAATTTGTCCCATTCCGTATTTTGCAGTTTCTAGCTCTATCACGATTGTTCCTCGATATGACTGAAAAAGGGCAGCAATCCAAAAATAAATTATTCTACGAAATAGTGTTTATGATAAGATATGTATCGCATAGGAAAATTGAAATATATGGTTCCCTTGGAATGGCATTCCCGAAATTCCAGGAATTCGACACGCCTACGTTCTCGCAAGCCCTAAAACGTGTTCTGAACACTTCAGATTAGGTCCAAACAAAGTTGTAACAAATTCTCAGTCCCTGTGTTAAATTGATACGTGCGATTCCTATATTCGGAAGAAATTTACAACTTATTTTAGTAGCTTATCTCCCCTAGTTTGAGAACGTGCACATTCTAGAGACGGGGCCAGTCTATTGCAACTTTTTGTTACATGTGGGGAACGTTGTTGGAAACTCGACCTTTTTTCTCTTTGATCTCACTAGAATAAGAAATATAAAAGATCACCGAAAAAACTTTTTGTTCATGATACAAGTATATTAAACCTCCCACAATGACCATTACAATGTTAGGCGGTATTTTTTTTTATGGATGGCCAATGTGGGAATACCTTTTTTCCCATTCCTATGATGAGCACACCGGGCACTGCGATCAGTACGGTACGGAATACGCAAAGTAAGGAAAGTAGCATAAAGCATTATCATTTGAATATGTCAGATTTTACATATTTTAACACTGAGTTTTGCCATTAAGAAATATGATGATTAAACAAATGTTCAAATATCACAATACCAGAATATTAGAAATCTTACCAAAAGGATTATACACTTAATAAAGATATTTTCACATCTTTATGAAAATATTGTGATCTTGTCTTATACACTGGTCCATTTCAGTAACACAATTTCATATTCATTCATTTCAATAATTTTATTGCTCATTGCATAGTAACTTGAAGGCAAATAATAAAACAACAAATATACAAAGAAACTGCAATAGTTACCGGTAACAATATGTAAACTTACACAAGTTCAAGTTCTTCACTTATAACATATATTCAAAACACAATACATCTCCAGCACACACACAGGCATACACACATAGGCAGATATTAGCCAGGTGGCATAGGACTAGTAGTTAGCGCCTGATAAGACAGCTCCTGCAAATTCCTCAATATTGTATTGATTAATATTATATATATATATGCTAATAGTATTGACTGTATAAAATTGTATATATATGTACTGTAAAGTGCTTTAGAGTGGCTTATGTTAGCTGGATAGGGCGCTATATCAAATGTTGTATATTTATTATTTTATTTTATTTATATACAGAACAATATGATACAAAGACAACATACAATATGACACACACACACATACACCCCTCACACCCACACACACCTTGGAGAGTGAACATTAACCAGCTCAGATCTCCTTTTGTTTGCTTGTATTAAAAAATTGCCAAGATTTCGAACGTCAGATACATTCTCACAAGTAAGTAGTTCAATTAATCTATACATGCTTGTATGTTTTACAAAATATTTCTTTATTAGTTTCAACCTTGTATCAATATAGCAAGGACATTTTAAAATGAAATGGCACTCATCCTTGACATCATTCAGGTCACATACTGTACACAATCTGTTTTGTCTTTCAGTTCTATTATATCTGCCACACTCAATATTTAACTTATGTGCAGACATTTGAATTTTACATATTTGTTTTAGATAATTTATATTTACAGGTTTTGATAAATAATACTTGTGACCAAAATTACACACATTGATACAATGCTCCTTTAGGAGAGAATATGTCACAAAGACATTCTTTTATAATATGAAAAAGTGTTATTATTTAAACTGGAAGATTCCCACACATTTCCAAGACCAATTCTGTATAATTCTTGTTTTACTCTCGTTAACCAAATGTCATTATTACAAAGCATATCATCATAGCATGACCTTAGAATACAATTTCCTACATTTCTCAGTTTTATCCAATATTTGAATGTACGTAATTTTCTAACTATTTTCATGGGATATCTTCCAAATTCATAATACACCATAAAATTACTAGTTTATTTTATGTAATCCTAATATTTGTTTGCAGAATCTCACATGCAATTTTTCGTTATCTGGTGCGGCATGCATGGATCCCCCAAACTTCTGCTCCATAACTTAAAACACTATTTACATAAGTATCAAAAACAGACAATTGAGTTTCTATATTAAAATAATTTTTCGTATAAATATTTAATAATGCAAACAATGCTTTTCTCCCCTGGTCAGCAAATTGCTTTTGAGTTTGTCTAAATTTTCCATTAAAATTCAATAGTACACCCAGGTAATTGAATTGATCAATACGTCCAATGTATTTCCTTCGTAAACCCATATTTCATTTCCCCTTAATATCCCTCCATTTCTAAACACGACAATTTTAGTTTTAGTTTTCCCAGTACACAGAAGCCAGGCCCACACTCCTCGGTTCAAGTGACTGGTTTATATATAAGCACAAGTCAAGAATAAGTTGCATGTAAGCTGTGATTATTCAAAAATATCTGCAATGTTTTGTTTCATATTTTATATAGGTAAAAATTAAACAGAATTTTCTAATGCATTCATTCCCTGTTAAGTTTTCCAAACATTATGAAATAAAAAGGAGTGTTTTGCTTTCGAGACATTTTATCCGCACCATCCGGCTTATTCTGTACCGTACTTACCGGGATACCAGCACAGGGTCTGTACCGTACTTACCGGGATACCAGCACAGGGATCTGATCATTTGTTACAGCTATATTTAGACCTACGAGTATAATATCATCAATGGGGAAGCATTTTTACCAAAATTGATATAAACTCTTAAAACGTGTAAAAGTACTCTGAACACCTCGGTTTAGGTCCAAATATAACTAGCTTATTCTCAAGTCCCTGTGGGTACCAGGTGCGGTAAGTGGATGTCGGAACTCTCCGGGGTAAGAAAGGGGGTGTACGAGTTTTCTTTATCTCATTCTTATGCGTGACGTGTATGGCAAAATTGTCCAAAGTTAGAAAGGCGTGTAAGAAATTCTACCTTACAATAATAATGTGACGTCACGATACCGCGATGAGGAAATTGCGACGCTCTTTTTGTGGTTTCTGAGCTAACTAAGATGATTGGTACGAGATATTTTTGTGATTTGAATATATTTGGCACAAGTTATTATACTACTTAAAGCCCTTTTCATAAATAATTGCAATAAAAAAATAAAAAATAAAAATACAAGATGAAGATGGCACACTAAAAATTACTTTACAAATAAAGTAGCTGAATGTTGTCGTGCATGCGTTCACTTATTCACACCCCCATCCTCGATATCCAGGGGTTACGCTCACTTATGGTCTGTACGTGAGCGTAACCCCTGGTTATCGAGGATGTCACACACCCTCTAAATGTAATATAAATGATATCGGACCATGTGGTTGCTCTTTCTTCATGCAAACGGAACGGAACTAGTGATAATCTGTCCGCTTCAATCTGTTCAATGGTTCATCACTCCCCGTGCTAGTAACGTCCCTCTGTTCATTCCGTTTCGACCAAGCACATGGTCCAAATATCCAAATACATTTTCACACACACATTTATCTATAATCGGATATCGATAGACATAGGGCCTACATACTACAAGCCCGAGTTTCCTTTTGCCCTAACACCAGACTTAGACATTTAGACATGTAGATGTCTGTTGTATCAGACATTTATATGTCAAGGTGTTAAGGCCAGAGGAAACTCCTCCTCGATATCCGGGGGTTACGCTCACGTACGCTCTCTAGGGTAAGTGAGCGTAACCCCCGGATATCGAGGATGGAGGATGTCCGCCTTGTGCTTACAGTTGCGGGCGCAAAGCCCAGTGTACTGTTTCCTGAAAAAATGTCGAGTTTTCATAAATGATATTGGAAAAATACTGCGTGCTGGACAAATTATAAAAAGCTGTCGAAGATTTTGAAGACATTTTTTTTATACCTCGCTTAATTTGTTTATGTAAATCATTCGAACCGCCACCCGTTTCAAGTTTAATCTCTACCCATAGTTAGTCCTTCATCCAATTTGATGTCTCAGAATTTCCACCAGGCTCGTAATTTCCCCGTACATTCACAGGAGTCTGGAAATCTGCTTATTATAATAGTAATATATATAACATTCCTATAATATGCATAAACACATTTAAAGCATATTAATTACAGCGTAATTTTTATATTACTGTTATTATTAATAATTTATTATAAATACCGACAGGATTTTTAATATCATCTTGTCTGTGGTACACAGCACAGCAACTTCGCGAGTCAAGGGTGTTCAATACCCGTGGCTCGCGAAGTTGACTGCACAGGGACATGACCATTTGTTATAGCTATATTTGGACCTAAACTAATATAGCTGTGTTTAGGTTCAAATAATATAGCTGTACAATATTCACATGTCCCTGTGGTACACTGCATATATATGTTCAAACCACGGAATTAACATTGTATAAGTCGATCCGTGTTCAATTATAACCTCTTTGATCTCCGATCTTGTCACATAGGCCTATATCGCCGAATCGACCAGGTATTGATCCGAGCGCCTCTGCTACTATTTGATTAGGCTTCCTGTCGTCACAAACCCCGCTCTATAAATAGACGGTCCCATGTGTATTAGCGATGCGACAGAAAATTAAGGCACACTTCCGGGTTTAAACTTCCTTTCGACAGTTCGGCTGTCATACACATATCTACTGTTCGTACTTGACCACCGGTAAGTACGAGGTAAACACATATTACACTTACTTAGTGAGGTGTATGACTTCATAATCAGTCGAATTTACATAACATTCTTACATATACACATATATTTTCAGAGGACGGAACAGAAATTGTCACCTACAACTTGCTGATATTATTTCCGTGTGTGTATGAGATCAAGTTACGACCGACACCTATAAATATGGCCGACGCGAGCTGCTCCCAATGTTTTCAGTATAAACATCTGAAGGAACTCTCAGCAAAAGGTAATTTAATTTTAATTATCGGTATGTTTCATCGCGTATTGTTTTAGCAAGTTTCAGTGCCCCGCCCCCTTCACTAGGCCAGGAAACGGTTTGACAGGGTGTTGATAGTTCTATTTGTCAAGGGCCCTCATTCATAATGATTTCCGACATGGGCGTGGAAATGACCCATATCACTTGTTTTAGGCCAGCAGAGAAGCCCCAACGTTGTTTTTCTATAATAAATAAATATTTTAGATGGATATTTTTTTTTTATTTATTATTATATAATATTAAAAAAAAATGGAATGAAAAGTCCTAAAGTAAAGTCTATCTTGTCATCATTAGGTCCCTGTGATTGAAAAAGCAAAAATAAAAGCGGAATATGTGTTGTGATAGGCGGTTTTTATAGGCAGGTATATGATGGCAGCTATAGACAGGTGGTTAATACAGACAAGGTTTTACTGATATACAGGTGGTTGTTATAGGCAGGTGTTAGTTATAGACAGGTATCAGCTAAATTAAAATTGAATTTATAAATTTTATAATGCAGAATATTTATTTTTTAAGGGAAAGGTTTAATGGATTATAATAACTATTTTCATAGTCAAACACTGATGACAGATATACTATTACTTTGATATTTCTGTAGGTGTTATCTAAGGGTAGGTCCTTGTGGATTCGCTATTACTTCAATATTTCTGTAGGTGTTATCTAAGGGTAGGTCCTCGCAGATTCACTATTACTTTAATATTTCTTCAGGTGTTATCTAAGGGTAGGTCCTTGTGTTATCTGGATGATGTCTTCAGTGTTCAAACTTTGACACCATTTTATCTGAGCCCTACATTACAATACTATATATATAGGTCTCTGCTTTTATCCACTTATCAATTTCTTCTAACACTTCACAACACGGATATCTGGTGTTATCGTGTTCCCCCTGGGGGTAGGGGAGCTGTGTCCCAAGGGGAGGGGAGGTGCTCCTGTCACTTCACGCTAATGGCAATTTGTAGCTACCTTCAGAAAAGAAACTCTACAAAGAAGTGTTTTAGGTGTGCAGAACAGGAAATAGTTACTCTACTTCAGTTTATTTTTATTCTAGAACAAATGATCCAAGGCTTGGGCTAGTACAATGAGAATGTGGTACGGCAGTATATTTATGTAAGGATTTTTGTCAGTGTAAAAAGGAAACGCTTACTGCAAAATACTTACAACATAAGTAAATCAGAGGCCTATAATAAAAGCTAATATTTTGATATCATACGTCTATGAGTATTTTTCATATTTTTTCAGTGGGGGCTAATAAAGAAATTAATAAATTACAAAAATCACCAAACATAGGCCATGAAATAGACAGTTGTCATAAAGTTAGGATTTTACGGCACATTCAAATTGGACATTTATGTGTATTTGAGTGAATAATATTGCTAGGGTTGGTCTGGGTATACCTGAAACATATGTTTTGTTTTTTGCTAATAGTATTTCGTGCTAAGAGATCTTTTGTTTTAAAAATTGTACAAAAATATTTTTCCATTGTTATTTTCATTATATTTGCTGTCCCATGATATAATGATAAATATACATGTATGCTATTTATGATATCTTTAAATAGTATAAAACACTGCCAGTGACTTGAAAACACTATCAAGTGAAGTATCTTCACAGGTTTTGCCCCCCCCCCCCCCCCCCCGATACTTTTTATTATCACTAGGAAAGTAAACGATGGATAGATATATAAATGCCCTGCTATTATTATATAAAAAAAAAATGGCTTTATTTTTCTAAGTTTTTCATAATATATACACATACATAAACAGGACATTCACGCATTCTCACATATACACACACGGACATGGATTTAGCATCATCACAATCATTTTCATTGTCAGCATAATATCATCATCATCACTGCTATTATTTGTAAACATTAAAGGATCTCACTAGGTAATCGTACAATGATCCTATGGGATTACGACAATTTTGATAAATCAAAATAGTGATTTATGTTTTAGAAAAGTAATAAAATTCTCCCCCCACCCCACCCCATACTTAACGCAATATATGTATATACATAATGAATATTCTATATGTGGAAGATGTAATGTAAACTTAATAATTGACAACAAATATGAAAAGTCCACAGAAATGTCCACATTGATACCAATCATGTAAAGTTGAATTTAAGTTTATTAAGTGAAGATAATTATTACAGGTAGGGAGACTTACCCATATGACATTTTAAAACCCATATATCTAAGTGGGTGGATCCAGGATGCACTGGTTCCCTGATAAAAGCAAAAATAAATTGTTTTAAACAGATTGATTGATAATATTTATGATGATAAAAATAAATAAACTTATGCCAGTCAAACTTGGCAGAAATTCAAATAATCAAATGATGTCATAGATATCTTTGTGACTAGGCAGTTCTGCTGTTTGACAATATCATATGAGGAAGTCAATTTAGTGAACCTATATTGATTTTTTAATGTTTAGATTTTTTAATTGATACCGGTAACAGTATTTGTTACTGTTGATTTTCCTGAATGTAAAATGTCCCAAATTTGTTTCCAAAACTTATCCTCAGTGATATTGATTACATTGAATCACTGGTGAAAACAGGAGGTGTTGGGTGCAGTTTCCTTATATTATTAAAACTAAATGTTTTATTTCGTTGTTTTTTAAATAAACCCTTTTTCAATTTCTAGTTTACCATTGTAAAAAACAATTTAAATAAAAGTCACAGAAAAATTATACTTTTTTGCTCGTCTATTCAGAGAATAGGTGGGCAAATGTAGTCACCTCTGTGTCTGCGTCGGTGTCCCACTTCACTGAGGTTAAAGTTTTGAGCAAGTTTTTTCCCAGACAGTGTTGGATCATCACACTCAATACACTGTTGTCTGTTACAAGGTTGAGGTATTTATATCAAGTGAAAGCAATGTGCTGGACCATATTTTCGTATTTTAGGTGCCAAAAACAACTTAATTGGACTTGGTTAAAGTTTTGGGGCAAGCTTGAGGCTACAGTTTTTGGGCAATTGTTTTTGTGAAGTGTTGGACAACCACCATCAATAGGCTGTTGTCTATTATAAGGTTGAAGTATTTATATGGGGTATAAGCAATGTGTTGGACCATATTTTCAAACTTTAGGGGCCAAAAATAGCTTAATTGGACTTGGATAAAGTTTTTGAGCAAGTTTTTTTGTGCTGTGTTGGACCACCAATATCAATAGGCTGTTGTCTGTTATAAGGTTGAAGTATTTATCTGGAGTGTTAGCCATGAGCTGAACCACATTTTCATATTTTAGGGGCAAAAACTGGTTTATTGGACTTAAATGTTTAAAGTTTTTTGGCAAGACTGCATGTGCAGTGTTGGATCAGTCACGACCATCAATTCGCTGTTGACTATCTCACGTTGTCAGGTCATCTTTCTTTTGAAATGTACAACATGTTAGGGTACAGCAAAACCTTGTTATATTGCCATCATTTGTTCAAAGAAATATTGGCATTATAAAGGGGTTTGGCAATAAATTGAGGGAAGTGTATAAAGGAATTATTAAGAAAAACATAATTAAGGGATCTTGAAATTTGTTGGCGGTAAGCGAGGTGGCAAATGAAATGATGGGCATTATATCAAGGTTTTACTGTATATGTGTTTCTATTGGTATTTGCTATCTCACAACATATATCACCAATAGGCAAGCTATGCTGTTCTCTAACAGTTCTTCTTATTAATAATCACTATTTAGTTGATATGTGTGAATGTGTGGATGTGTGTTGATGTGATGTTTTGTAGAATGTACATGTTCTGAAAAATCTTGAAAAATAAAAATAAAAAATAAAAAATAAAAAACAATAATCACTATTTCAATTTTTTTTTCTTTCAGAATTTGATATTTGTCAATAATGATTTGTTTACTTTGTTTCTGTTTACAGTTGTGATTCAGTATGACGAACTGTATAAGAAATTGAAGGCGACAGAGGAGCAGGTACACATTTTTAGGAAATCTGACATTTAACAATTTATTTGTAAGACACCAACATTTTAAAATGGACTTTTTGTAAATGCCTTATAAAACAAAATTTTGGAATGAATCATTACCCTTGGTACAGAAGACATGGTTATGAAAACACAATGGAGATGAAATAAACCAAATATAAGCAAAAAACATGTTCTGAGTTTAAAATATTCGGCGGGGCTGGGCCAGGATTCGAACCCTGGGGTTCAGATTGTTATACAAATGCTGAAACCGTTTGAGCTACCTGGACAACGGAAGTGTACAAGCTCAAAATGTGCTACAGTTTTATCCAAACGGAAGTTAAGGGGAGATAACTGTAAAACGGTAGTGCAGTGAGACAGGCGTCCTTAACAACTTTGAAATAAATGAGCTATCCAGGTAATTAATTCTGAGATTCGTCAATATAACGAATCTCTCTGGGATAAAACATCACTTTTTAGATGAGGTATTCTCGATATATTTAACCTAATAAGGACCCCATTCTTTATTACTGCCTCCTTTCTTGTCCAAGCGTTCTATTTCTTCACAATAGTTTACCGATTTAAAAATATTTTTGTCAATATTTTGAACATTTTGGAAGACTCTGCATTCACCTGCTAAATTTCCCTAAATGCTTAGCACCTTGGTTGGTTATTAGGGTAAATATGGTACACATGTTCCTTTGTTCCAGATTTACTTTACGCTCAGCCACACTATGTGTGAAACTTTATGGTTAGAAATCAACAGGATTCAACGGTACCTGCTAGCTTGTTTTGGGTACTTTTTGTATTATAGAAATCAAGTTCTGCAAAAGAACAACTCTTACTTTTGGAATTTTACTTTGTTAAAATTTAATTTTTGACTTGTCAAGCTGTGGTAAAAAAAAAGAGGTTTTGATGCATATAAGTGCTTAAGTTCTGGCCCTGTAAAAGTTTCAACAACTTCTTATCAGAAAATTACTTAGTTCAAGTTTTTTAACATTTTAAAGTGTCATTGGATTGAGTTAAGGAAAAAAAGTTAAGGTATCAGGGTAAGCAAACTTTACCAATTTCAGTAAAAATGTAATGCTTTTCTATAGAAAGTCTTATCAACTCATTCACCCGAATCACCCCTGAAATTTTTATAATGAACTATTCCAACCTTTGAATTGGAAGAGTTTAAATGTATCTTCAGGGGTGAATGAGTAAAAGGAATTTCCAGTGGAAGGAATATTTGTGAAACATGGGCCAGATTTAGTAATTTTACATTATTAGGGAGGCCGTTGATGCAAACAAAATCATTTCAACAAGGTTTGGTTTGGTTTAGTTTAATTTAGTTTAACGTCCTATTAACAGCTATGGTCATTTAAGGACGTGCCTCCATGTGTGTAGTGTATGCGTTCTATTGTGTTTGCAGGAGGTCATGCATCACTACATCTATGAATCATTCTCGCAACAATTAATTAACCTACCCATTCTTTCTAAGATGGCAGATATTGCCAGTCAAATATTTTGCTTGTAAAAATTAAATTAAAATAACTGTTAGCTATGCAAATTCACAACTCAAACTTCAACCTTTATTCCAGCACTAAAAAGATGCACAAATTATATAAGTTTTTCAGCATGCCTTTCCTCAGGATGTTACAAAACAACACTCAGACATTCAGACTTATATAAAGCTACTCAAAACTTTATACAAAAGGCTCATATAAAATTAGTTCTGTTCATGTTTTCAGTGCAAGACTGTCAGCTCCCGACTGAAGGAGAGGGAACAGCAGATGGGACAAATGAAGAAGTGTGAGTTAGCTGGACACTGGTCAACATGACAATTTAGCAATTACCAGTTACCATGACGTTAGTTACAGGATGATACCAATTTCTATTCAAATCTGTTACGATAATAATAATAACGATAAAATTATTAGTAACAAATCGTGGGAACTGTTACAAAAGCAAAGTAACCATGACAATAAAAAAAAAATCAGAACTCCAGGTTCCATGATAGCTGTTGTCATGACAAATATTGTGACACTAGTCTCAATGCTAAATTTTACCAAAGCAGTAAAAAATTCTGTGACAAGCTTCATACAACCAGTTATAAAGACGTTAGTTACCAAGACAACAGTTACCATGACATATGTAGGTAACCATGACAGCAGTTACCATGGTAGCAATACATAAGAAATATGGTTACCATGGTAACCATGGCAACAGTTAGCATGGTAACCAGGTACATGACAAAAATTAGTGTAACAAAATTCATTTTGAAATTATTAATTTCACTGTTATCAGAATATGTCTTGAAAAATGTCAGTTTACCTAAAAGGAAAACAAGTCATTGTTGTATGTGTCTATATTGTTTTCAGTGATAGAGCCTGCGATTCAAGAATATGAAAAGATGAAGATCAAGTTCGAAATAGAAATGAAATGCAGAATGAAGGCGGAAAATTTTGCTACGCATGTATGTTATGCACATTTCCCTCTCAACCAGGAAATATAATTTCATGGACTTGATAACTATGTCAAAACATCATACATACAATACTGTGCATCTGTGTCTTGTTGAAATAACAAATACAGTCTACTTTTTGTAAAATTCGAAAAAGAAATTTAAATAAATTAGACCTGAAAATCACTTGATCATTAGATTTACCAAATGTAATTCTGTACATAGTTTAAAAGGACATTTTTTCAAAATAATGAATCATGGTTTTTGAGAGAAAATGTAAAGTATTCTTTTTGATGATGTGTCGATCGGCACCATTTATAAAATTGGGTCAAGCTAGCACAGAATAAATATTGAGTGGTCATGGCAGCCTGCATTGTTGTTTATTATTGAACAGTGCTGGAAGAATCTGCAGCATATAATGACACTCCAATTGTTTCAGTCTACCTAGCTGTAAAATTAGTAAATGTACCCAGTAATACTGAAAAAGACTGGAGTCTTTCAATTTATGTTTGTTCGTGTAGATCAACGTTCAGAACAAGGAACTGAAACGTCAGTCCAACATGATTATGGCCAAGATGGATGTCCGCGACCTTCCGCTTGATGACTCAGACATGAAATCTGATGTCGACTCGTATAAAAAGCACACAGCTGAGCTCAATGAAACTATTGAAGGTAACATGGGGAAATGTCAAACCAATCTTCGGTTTAATGTTATGTACGTTCAACATTATTTCCAGTCATATTCATTGACACACATGAAGTGACTTTTATTAAAATTATTTATTCTCGATGCAATGTCGACCAGTTTGTGAGATTTATTTTTTAATTAACTTGCCAAAAAATCCTAAACTGAATACAAATTTAAAAGTATCACAATTATGTCATCTGAAACGCAATCAGAAAAGATATCAATATGTTACAGAATAATTTAGTGGCTTACAATATCATAATAAGAATATTATAGTCCAATTTTTACTTGATGGAAGTTCACTTGCATTGTCACTTTGAAAAGATATGCTACTTTACTTTGATCTGCATCTCGATTTCTAAAAGGCATACTAAGAAATATAAAGAATGTCTTTTATAGTGGATGATGTATTTGTTAGGTACACAAAAATTGATGAATCATTTGATAGGTACACATGATTGATGACAAATTTAAAAGGTATACAAGAATTGATGACACATTTGTAGGCACAAAAATGCACACATTGAAAAGACTCAAGTTAAGATTAATTATGGGACAACGCTTATCAAACATTATTCTATAAATAAAGGGAAATAACTTGCACAAATCAGAGAAATCACGAAATCACGAAAGCATATGTTAATTAAGTTCCTGTTTTGACTGACCAATCATTACAGAGCTTGAGGAGAACGTGGCCAGGTTGACTTCTGACCTGCAGGAGTTGAGGCAGACCAGTGCCATAGAAGAAGAGAAACACCAAAGGCTCAATGAAAGGGTAAGACTGCAAATGAGCTTGAGATGGTTTAAGTGTAAGACTACAAACGACTTTGGGATTGTGCAAGGGCACAAAAACAATTACCTTGGATATATTTAAATGCACAGGTTATATGTTAATATGTAGATATTAATGGTGAGAAGAAAATTAACCACTATGGCCTCAATTTTTTTTATAAATGATTTAAAAATATTTCTTAGCAAAAAGCAATACATTCCCTATTGACAAATTCACATTGAGTAATCACTTCTTAGGTAAGTTGTATTGAAAAATAGAATCCAGTTTATATGATATACTATGCTAACTATCAACTTGACAAAAAAGTAATAAAAAAGACTTTCCTTAGAATTTTTTAAACAACTTAAGGTATTACATGTACTAAAAAACAAGAGGCCCAGGGGCGTTAATAGCTCACCTGGTATTTTATTTTNGTTGTATTGAAGCAGTCATTTGTAGCATTGATATTTTCAAACTTTTATCCGATTAACCCTTTCACCACTGTAGACCATAATGGACTCCTCTGTATAAGTGCATGGTAGAGTCCACTTAAGTTAAATAGGGGTAAAAGGGTTAAAAATAAAAAGAGCAAGTCAAAGAGTTAAAAAAAAAAAAATCTGTGATAATAAGAAAAAAAGAAGATACAAACCAAATAAATATATATTCTGCATATTATTTTCAAAAAATATTTTAAAATGTGATTTAATATATGTATCTTAAATGATCAGAAAGTTCCTGTGCAAAACATATTAAAATTATGATGTCACTTTCAAACAAAAAGTAAAAAAATAAAAATTGTGAATGACTAAAATTTTGGGACCTTTCCAAATGGAACTGAACTTTAATTTGACATTTTTGAAATTTGATTTGATATTAAATTGAAGTTGGCTGTAATAACGGTCAAGCTTGGTGAATGACTATTAACAGTAGTCAGCAGGCATCTCTTTTTTATCACTCGTTCATTAGTTTTATTTCATTAAATTTGTGCCAAATAAAGAGAATTTAAATCTCCCTTCCTTACCTATCTAAGTGATTAGTGCATACTTGCCAATTCTCCCTATTTTGGAGGGAGACTCCCGATTTTGGACCCTAAAATTTAGTCTTTTCAACTAGTGAATTTGCTAAACTATTCTTATTTTCTAAGATCTGATGATTTCATCTGAGAGAACACCTAAAGAAATGCCATTTAAAAGTGTGTTTTTTTCACCCTGGAGTATTGTACTCATAAATTATTGATATTTTTAACTCATTCACCCCTGAAATTTTACAATGAACTATTCCAGCCTTTGAATTGGAAGAGCTTAAATGTGTCTTCATGGGTGATTGGGTTAATTTTGAGCATGTGCAATCTCACCAATGGAACCTTCAAATATTGGCAAGTATGTTAGTGGCTACCTTCATTGTTTTTAATCTAAGACAAATTCTAACACTGTCTCTTCAAAACCTTTGTGGAAGATTTTGCAAAATAAAAATGTGCTGCCTACCTACCTTCCTAAATGGTTGAAGGGAAAAGGTTGAACTTTTCTTTTTTAATTTTATTTGGCATGGGAATTGATTTTGTTTGTTTTTGGACCATTCCAGCACGACAATGGCATGAAGAGACTGAAGGAAAACCAGAACATGCTCTCTAAATACCAAGAGGCCATGTTGGAACTCTCCAAAGGTAAAGGTCAAGAGGTTATAGGTCAGAGGTAAAAGAGGACATGGACTGGAGGTTAAACTAGAGATATGTGTATGTATATTAGTGTTATAACTTATTCACCCCTACATGTTTAAACTAGACTTGCCAAGTCTTTGATTTGGTAAGGTTCAAGTGTGACTTTAGGGGTGAATGGGTTAATGATATTCATTAAACTATAAATGTGTGGGGTTAAAGGTCAGAACTTAAGTGAGGTCAAGATGCATCTGTGACCAATGACAGAAGCAATAAATATAAAGGCCAGGGTTTATTGGTCAATGTCAAGGAGACAAAAAGTCATATCAACACTTTGTATAAAAAAATATTGGTTTCAGAAAACATCAATATTCATGCAATGTCCAGTTGTCAAACAATTGCTTAGAATTTTGCTTCATAAAATAAACAATAGTGTATATATTGATGAGACGTGTCATCAATGTTAACAAACAGGAAAAATAATCGGGATAGAATATAAATGTGAATATAATTTAGTTGATCCAGATTAAATGATTGATTTACAGTGTCTGAGGAGGCTTGTAGGGAGAATGCTGTAAAATCAGGATAAAATATAAATGTGAATATAATTTAGTTGATCCAGATTAAATGATTGATTTACAGTGTCTGAGGAGGCTTGTAAGGAGTATGCTGTACTGCAGATCAAATATGACATGGAACATGAAAAGGCATCAAAGGTAGTATTTCTACTGTATACAGAAACCTCTGTATAGGGAAACTTGTGTATAGTGATTTTTTGTGTAAGATAGGATTTCTGTTGTAAGCAGAAACCTCTATACAGGGAAACTTGTGTATAGTTAATTTTGTGCAAGATAGGATGTCCCTGCAGGTAGGGCGTAAGAATTGTACCTGCTGCCCCCAATTGCATGATCGTAAGAGGCGACTAAATTTGGGACCTTATCTCTTCTCTCCTTTCTAAATAACTTTCTTCTTCCTAATGTCTACCTTGACAATGCCTCCCTTTTGGCCATTTGTTGAGCGTTCGCCCCTGTGAGGAAGGTTTTGGGTTCTGTCCCCTGGCCGAGACATACCAAAGTCTTTAAAAATGGTAGTTTCTACTCCTGCTTAACGCTCAGCAAATTAAGAGTGGGACGACTGGTTCGCCCGGTGTCAGTATAATGTGACCGGGTGGGGCGTCCTGCTGGGTGTCTTCGGCAGTATGTCTCAGTGAGGTAGCACTATAAAGTCGGCATCAGTTCCGCGCTATCACAAGGAGACAAACACGAACATATCGCAGCCTCCCAAAATACACAAACATACACTACACGCATGCATCTTGCACACAGGGGAGGCCGTCCTTAAATGACCTTAGCTGTTAATAGGACGTTAAACAAAATCAAACAAACAAACAAACAATTCCACTGTAAGCACAAATTTCTATTCAGGGAAACTTGTATGTAGTGATGTTTTGTGCAAGATAGGATTTCCGCTGTAAGAGCAAACTTCTTTTACAGGGAAACTTAAGTATATAATGAATTTCTGTGTAAGGTTGGATTTCTTCATTAAATAGGAACAGGAAGTTTTATGCAGAAGTTTCGGATTGAACTTTTTGTGTATGGATGTGTTAAAGTCTATGGTCCAAGGGAGATAATTATGTTATTAGGGTTCATATTTTCCATGAAGTTTTTCATCTAGCATCCCATTGTTAACTAAATTGGATATAGCAAAATCCTTCTGGTTCAATAACCTCTATTGCTTAAACTGTGAAGGATATCTTTTTTATGGTCGATTATTAAAAGTGAAATTATGATTTTCTATGGTCAAAGGGAGATAATTTAAGAAAAAAAAACAACAAATTTTGCAGCTTGTGATGCTACATGGCACTGTTCATGTATATAAATATAAACTGCGCATATAAATTTATTTATACAGATTCCAATGGAAAGTAATTCCACTTTAAACCCTAAATTGTCATACTATATATACTACATATACTATTGGACATGCCTCCATTAGGATCCAGTGTTTTATGGGATTTTACCGTCTATATTACTTCTTTGACCCATATTACATATACTACATATGCTACATATACTTGCAAGCCTAATGTTAATCTAATAAGTAATGTAATAAGATTCTTTGAACATGTGTTTCAGACTTTCTCGATATCATGTTTTTAAAAAAAGTTACAATTTTTGGCTATAAATTTTACAGATGCAAGATGACAATAAGATGATGAAAAAGCAGAGCGCCATGTTGATGACTAATGCTATGGGCAACCAGAAACTGATGGATGCTGCCCTGCAAATTGAGAGTCTGACAAAGGAATTCCAGGAGGAGAAGGAACAATACCTCTCACAGGTAAATAGTATCTAGGGGTCAAAGGTCAATGCCAGATCACTATATATGTATATATTTGTGAAAATACAACTTAAATGAAAATAAAACACACCACTGATAAATCATATGAGAGCGGAGAATTTGGTTCTCATTGAGAGAATTTCACATATTTCTTCTTAATCTTTTAAAAGAAAAAGAAATTATAAAGCCCTGAATCTTAAAAAAAAGAATAGATATCATTATAAATATTTCAGGAAATAGTACATTCTTTTCAAAAAGGTCATAGAGGGGAAAAAAGTATAAAAGTGTATATAGAATTTCAATTTGTAATCCATTTCCCCCAAAATCAGAGAAGATGGCATTGAAAAAACACATAAGGAAACCCTAGCTGTTCCTTATCATCGTTGTCTATTTTATTTGTCCAATGATGATTGACACCAGGGACACCACAGATAATTTCTCTCATTGATTTATTCCTTTTTAAGGTCACAAATATGTTCCATGCCACCTTGATGTAGGTCAAAGGTCAAGTTCACAATAAGTTAAATCCTACCATATCATTACTCAATTACTGTCTGAATGACCATGAAACATATTAAGTCCATTCCCTTTCATTAATCAATTCCCGAATTTTACTGGTAATATAATGAAAGGTCAAGGTCATTGTAATTACCTTCTGTAATGGCTTTTTCAAAAGAGGCAGTTTATTTTTGTATTTAATTTTCCCTGACCATTGTTTAACATTTGACTTCCACTGTTTGTACATATATGTACTACCATATCAGTTGCCTCATTCTGATTGTTGCAGTTAACCCAGCAGTATGAATTGGTACTAGCATCTTTGGAAGTAACGCAGTGATAGACTTGTGTCCTTGTAAATGGAATTGTATTCACATGTAAGACAGGGATAAGCCGAATTTTATAACTACATCAGCTATATATATAAGGAACCAGAAAATACTAGTTTTTTTTTGTCCAAACTCACTTTTTGGTCATAAAAATTGGTCCTTATTTCTTATTTCATGCATTACAGATAAAAGAGCTACAGGAGGCAGTAAACGATGGCCAAAATGACGAAGAAAAAGAAAAACTGTCAGAGGAGAACAAGGACCTCATGAAAAAGTTGGAGGACTATGAGAAGCAGTACAAGGAATTAGAAGCTGAATGTAAGAGCTATCATATAGAAATAACGTAAATAACATTAAACATTTACTGTATAACATTTCTAAGGGGTGAAGTGTTCACAGGATTATCCCTGGTACAAGTTTGTGGGATTTAATTTCATCAAACACTATTAGAGAGTCTCGATGCTTTGTTGTGTCTCCAACAGAGAAGAGTTCCAATTTGTATTTGGTGATTGTACTGATATATGTTGACTGGTACTTTGTAGGATAATATTTCTGAGCCAAAATAATACTTAAGTTTACCATTCTTCAATTTTTATTTTCAGATAAAGTTATTGAGAAGGAGCTGGACTTGGCTAAACATCCACCTCCCCCACCCCCACCACCTCCACCTCCAACCCCGTCTATGGATAAAGGAAAAGGGTAGGTAACTCTGGCATGTAAAAACCCTGAATAATCTGGAAATCATTCTTAAATAGTAACGTTTCCACTGCAAGTTCGTCTATAAGCATTACCAAAAGAAATTGCATTTATAGAGCTAAGAATGCAATTTGATCAGGGTCATTTTGAAGCTTCTCCACCCTCTTTAAATAACATGACACAATCCTTAGAAGCAAACATTTGGGTGAGGTTACGATGTTCCGGGAATCTCATTTGCACTGCATGATGACATAGACATTTCACTAACAAAAATATTCAGGAATACCTTTGTTTCGGTCAATAATAACTAAAAAAAAATAGAATGTAAATCTAAGAATTGAACGTTATTTTTCAATGTTCATGCTGATATAAACACAAATTGGTTACGGTAAACCTTCGGTCAGTTTGAACAAAATTAAATGAATATTAATGAACCTGTTCCAATTATACGAAATTAGGCTTCAGAAAATAATCGTGAGTTTGAACTATCGGCAAAAATTTCGGCAAAGTGTCAATCAAGGCACAAACATATACCCGACATATCCAATGTAAGGTTGATACATAACAACATAGAACAATGGCACATTTATAAATGGTTAAAATGATAGTATATTATTTAATTCAATGTTAATTGATCATTTGCTAATTGATCATTAAATTTTCTTCATTTCGTGATAATATATGATCGTTTTTGCGAAGCAGAGGCAATTGTGTAGGCCTCAAAACAGTACACATTTCGTTTGTGACACAAAAGTTAGACTACTTGTATCAGAGACCTAAATATTGAGTCTCTGCATGATTATATGTTTGATTTGAATCAGAAACTATTGTATATATTATTGCATAATGAATGGTCCATTTAATAAATTGAAAACATAGTCTACATAACCTGTTGCGTTTACGAAAGCGCTACTGTAAATATAGGTATACATGTTAGTAAAATTATGTCAGAACATCAACATGCCTGCTTTTAAATCATAATTAATAGTCCTAATATCTACTGTCACAGCTGTACTGCAATGATCACACATACAACCCATTACCCTAAATGTGTCTGTTGATCAAAGTATTGGCATTTTTCAGGGGCCAATCGCCGCGAGCTTTCAATGGAGATTGCCGAAAAAAATGTTACTTTACGTTCTTCATTTGACAAGTTCGGACTATTCGAAATAGGGTCAATCAGAGTTTGAACTATCACTAGCTAGAAAATCATTGTTTTTATTGAAAAAAATATGTGTTCGAACTATCCGGCGTTTCGAACTGACCGGAGGTTTACCGTACTTACATGTTAAATTGGAGCCCTAGCGGAGGAAACTTCTGCATTTGCAGAAAGCATTGTGACAATGATGTCATAAAAACAATATTGACCTGCTGTTTCTAAAAATAGTAAGAAGGAGTCAATATCACAAATCACTAACCTCCACATGATTATGATACAACCAATGAAGGTGTAGGCGTCATTTGGGCCCGTATTCATGAAACCGTTCTCATGCTCAAGCATGGATTCTGTGCTCAAGCCACTTTTCTCGTAACCCACCCAAATCATGTCAACCATCAAAAATCAAATTTAAATATTGAAAACAGTATTTGGCTTCTAGTTTCTTCAATTTTTGTCCGAAACGTTTTTTTTTTTTTTTTTTTTTTTTTAAATAATTTATGACTGGAACAAGAAATTTGACTTGAGCACAAAATCCAGGCTTGAGCATGAGAACAGTTTCATGAATACGGGCCCTGATATTTCTATGGAAGGTATACACCTGCTCGTGCCGGCTTTCGTTAGATGTACCATTTACTGTCGGTTCTGTTGATTTACTGATCAGTTATGCCCCTTGTAAACGTATTTAGTAGAATAGTGTTTGTTTCTTCATGATTATAATATTCTAACCTGTGGAGTGAATATATTTTGTATGCATTTATAAAACAAATTATATTTTTATCCCACTCGATTAAATGGAACTTGTAACAACATGCAATTAGTCAAGTATATTATGAAGTTGACTTTTATAAAAAAAAAAAAAAAAATCCTAAACTGAAGCTCTGGAGCATTAATGTAGAATAGGTTGAACCAAGAGAAAAGACAATTATTTTGGTTTTCAATTATTGTTTTTAAATTTTTGTTTAAGATTTTTAAGCAAGATCACGAGGAAGAAAAGCATGAAAAGGCGCGAAGTGTGTAAGTATAACAGACTGGACAAGATACTGTGTACCCGGGCTAACTCTGACCATTTCTAAACCAGCCACTGTCTAACCTGAACCCTGTATAGTACAGTAAGCTAGTAGCATTACAATTTTGGAAGTTGGAGTTTCTAATCATTTAAAGAGAAAAGGTTTAAAAGTGAAATGTTGCTTTTCGTTCTTTTATCCTTGAAAAATATGTTAAAAGATAAAAAAAAATCTATCTTCACGTTTCTAATATATATATATATATACAGTTTTCTGAGAATTGACAAGTGTAAGATTGGGTGATTATATTTCATGAGATTTTGCAGTCAAACTTTGATGTTTCGAACTTTATGGGACAATTGGGAAAAATTTGAATCATCAGGACTTCGACTCGTGAACATTGAACATCAAACTGCATGTCTTGTTGTCGTGATTTCGAGAGATGAAAACAATTTATATGGCAATCAGTTTCGTTTTTAAATCCAACAAGTATGTTTACAACAACATGTACTGAAATACACAAGAGTTGTACATATCATTTTCTTCGACATGTGTCTATGTTTACATTACAATGAAATGTACAGGTAATTTTTTTTTCCAATTCGATTCATAGGTTGTAATTTATTTTTAATGTTTCCTTAAAGAACAAACCTTGATTGTACTTCGAAACAGGGAGAAATTTGTCTCATTATCATAAAACTTTGATTCATGAATTAAATATTAGTGTAGTGTCATATAAGGAAAAAAATCTGGACTTTGATATAAGTTGCTATAAGTTTGAAACATCGAGAAATTCAATCTTTGAAGTTCAATTTGTGGAAGTTTGACTAATATTTCAAATTCAAAAACTGTTTATATTACCTTACAGTGAAATCTGCTGCGGGTGCTGGCGACCAAAATTACGGTAAAGCACTAGAGGAGATGATGAAGAGGATCCAGTCAGGCAAAGCACTCACAAAAGTCCTGAAACCTGTGGGAGGAAGGAGGGTATGTATATATACCATGAGTATTCTAAAATGTGTGTAGGAGGGATGGGGCGAGTATAGAAAGGTTTCCATGCCAAATGCACCAAAAGTTGTGGTGTCAGGAATACCCCCGGTACTGATATTGTATCCATTCTCTTGTATCACAAATTACATTATTGTTTTAGATTTAAGGATGTATGCTACCTGGCATATTTTACCTGTTAAATGTGTTAGAGTTATCTCCCTCAAAAGATTTTTATTTAGGGTTTTTTCAGAACTACATGTAGAAAAAGTGATGGCTGCACCCAATCTACCTTTCTTCCAATGTGTATTAATTAAATCATCGAAGTTAATATCATCATTCATATTTTACTGGCAATTAAGATACACATGTCAAGTTAGCTCATTTTCCTGACAGTTCCTTGATACAAATTTCCTTTTCTTCAATCATTAATTGAATAGAAGTAAACTGTTCAGTTGGTTCATGCATTAAAACATTTGACACATTCAAAAATTAGTTCAAGGAAATTGTTTGAAAATATTTTCAGAAGTATAAATGAAAGATTTATACTTTAAATTAATATTGGTATTGTCATTTCAAGAAACTAAACTATTTTAACTTATATACTTGTATTTATTGCCACAATAAATTCTAATTTTGTCGCAAATCTGAACCAATATTCTTGTTTTGTAATAATGGGGCCTCGTATTCTTACTTAACTTTTGTAGCTATTTAGAAACCTATCAACCAACTTAACACCATAAAGCATAAACAGTGGTTGTTTCTCTACTGTTAACTCATTCACCCCTGAAGTTTCTAAATGAACTATACCAACCTTAGTATTGGAAGAGTTCAAATGTGTCTTCAGGGGTGAATGAGTTAATGTTTGACATAAACAATTACAAACATACGTGAAAAGGCATGGGGTCACCTGCCTGACCACGTGGGTTTTCTCTGGGTATTCCAGTTTCCTCCCATATTAGTTGCAAAAACTTGTTTCTTATTTGTTGTAAAACAAACATAGTTTTGTTCACAAAACACATGACATCATTCAATTGCAGTTTCCAGGTATACAGTGCCTTCGGATATATTTTTTTGTCATAGTTAAATGTTATTTTCATGATGTCTGAGTGAGGCATTGTGTTTTGATTTGCAGGTTATTTTATCAATTAAGATTTCCATTTGCCCACTTGTTGGTTTCTGTGTTGACACAACTGGCATATATTTTTGATTTCTATTAAAAATCCCAGACATAGAAAAAGATATTATAAGTTACACAGATAATCTTAAAAAACTTTTTTTTTTTAAGTTTTCATTTTACAACCTCATCTATAAAATTTGGAAAATAAAAGTGAAAAAATAAGAGTTGTTATTTTTAGTTTCCTCTATTGCTGATAAAATTGCCAGATTTCTTCTTTTTATCATTTCAAAAAAAAATAACTTGACAAGGTGAAATGGTAAATTTTTAACTTTGTGAAAGAAAGGCCAATAAACAAATGGGAAAAAATGATATTACTTGAAATGGAAGAGTTCAAATGTGTCTTCAGGGGTGAATGAGTTAAGTTGTAACCTTAATTTGGAGATAAGTCTGTAAATTATTAAATTTAAGATACAAAGGTGTTGGCCTAGCTGAAACAAAACAAATGTAGCATGAAATTTGTGTATTTGTGCCAATTTCCACTTTTACCCACAAACTCCTGCTCCATATACTGGTATATTCCCGCTTACAGCAGGTGATTGAGGAAGAAGAAGAAGAGGACGATGATGATGAGCCTCATTCTGACAAGGATGAGCCTCCATCTGACAAATTGGAGTCTCACTCAATCATTGATCCTCCAAAAATAGCGGTACACATTCTTATAATTGGGAAGTGCATGTAGCGGATGCAGAGTGCCTTTTCTTATTTTCATTTTCCATCTTTATTAATCCTCTCCACTTTTTAATTTATTACAGTTGATTTCACACATTTGAATTTCTTGAATGCAGTCTGTATCTATGATTTTATTGCTCATTAATATGTAATGGGGTTATATTGTTCATTTTTAACACAGATCTTTGTCTTCACATTTGTACAAACTGCATCTTTTTTTAACTAAAGACTTTGATGACAGTCATTCATCTATTGGTGTTCACCTTCAACATTGATGTTTGTCTTGGAATTTGTAAAGCAATTATTTTCACCAGAAACTTAGAGGACTTCCTTTCAATTATTGGTGGATGACCCAGTCACTCCATCGTGCTATCCACCCCTCCCCTACTCTGGCACCAGTTTGATAAAGGAGTATGATTTATAAACTAACTGTGTAATGAAGGATAAGCTTTTCAAGATAAAGTCTGTCTGTAGAAAGAATCTAGCCCATGAAACTATTAGTTTTTGTCCATATATCCTGAAAATTACTGGTAATGTCACCACATTCTGAGGTACAATGTATAACTGCTCTTACTGTTTAGATTTCAGCTAATTGTGCATCTGTGGTGGTTTTTTTTATTTTGCTATTATAAACAAAATTATAAGCAAAATCTTGTCTTTTCACCTGAATTTCGTGAAGCTCAACGGATATAATCCATACATTCTGAAGTAGTGAACCTGCACTTTTTGAAAAAAATAATTAGAGTTATTCCCCTTTTGCTGTATTCATATCCAAATCTTGTTCATTTTGATAACACTTACGTTTTACATAAAAGTATCTTCATAACGTCTTTTAACAAACTTTAGGACACTTGCTACACATTGTCATTACTAGATAAAAAAAATACATTTCTAGTTCTGCATTCCTGCAAACATGGAAGTAGGGAGAGGTGGCAGATATACTGGAATCAGTTTGTTCAGACTACTCCTCCTGAACTAATAAACTAATTTCAACCAAAACTTTTATGAATGATAACAATAACATCCTTTAGTAGCACACCTGATAATTGTATTTCTGTTTCACTTTTCGTCCCCACAATTATTGCTCTTCTTGTACTTTTAAGTGTTGTCACAATAAATTTTCCAAAATTATTTGGCAACAACATTGAAATTTTCCAGAAGTCATACATATCTAATTTTTGGGATTCAAGATGGCCACCATGACCTCTGATTGTCTGAAACAATAATGGTTGTAATTTGAGTTCTATAAATAGACTTGGTATTTTGGGAGAGGTACTTAGGGGAAAAACCTTTTTTATAAGACCGATTTTTTTTAACTCAATTTCTATGTGGCCAAATTTATTGATACTTTGTTGGAGCTATACATAGGGTTATACTCTATAATAAAAGGCTGACTTTTAAATTTTGGTATTCGAGATGGCCACTATGGCCTCTGATTGGATAAAAAAAAAGTCAGTTCTAGTTGTTTTAGGGATAGAAAATCATTGTTTTTCTTTCCTGTCTTGTAAACTGTCAAAGCATTGGATCTTTTAGTAAACAGACTAAATTCTTATTATGGTATTTTGGAAAATAGTCTACTAGACAATCCTTGGAACTCATGCAGGCTATTAACCTTTTGCACTGTAGGATAGAAATCTCCATGGTGGCTGACAGCCTGCTTGGAGTTGAGCTTCAGTAGGTTTCTGATATATCCAGCTTAATTATATGCATATAGCCTTACGATTTTTAAAATTAAACTCTTTCTAATTTGTGCTGATACGTGTGTTATATATATCATCTCAGGGTAATCATTTTGAATACCTGGCAGGCAAATTTTGTTTCCATTTTGATAATTATGAAAATACCATTCATATCTGCAAGTTAGTGTGTGATGACTGTAATACAATCAAGTAGTGAAGGAAAGGGTTTGATGGTATATTTATACTTCTGCTCAATTTCGCTTTCTGCACCCCTGATATATGTGATAGTAAAATTGAAGGCATGGACTAGCTGTTTGATTGGGTCTCGGGTAAAAAAACCTCACCAATCACTAAGGCTGATACTTGTCCTTTGAAGAGTACAGGGGAGCGAAATATGACTTCAAAGCCTGTCAATTTTACCGTCATGCAACAGACAAATTTGTTTGATGCACATTGAAGGCTCCTTGTCTCATCATCAAGGTGGTGCACACTGAGCCTTCATTTTTACTATGACATATTCCAGGGGTGAAGAGAGCGTAAGTGAGCGTAACACCTGGAGTATGGAGGATGATGCCTCTGCAACATACTGAATTTGGGCATGAAGTGATTGGCTTCCATCGGGTGGTTTGTTGTTTAACTCCTTTTCTTTGGTCCATTTCATGGCGGGCTTATGGGGGTAATTCATCATGTGTATTAAACATTTTCTAGTGAAACATGTTTCACTTATGCCTGAGATCTTTGATGAATTGTGTATGTTTATGCAAGGAATTTTATTTATTTTGTATTGCATGTTTGACTTGATTAACTTGCATTCATAGCACTTTGAATGCAAATGGTGGCTGGTGATTGCAGGTTAAGTCACAATTTTCATTTTTATCAATATGAAGCTTGATGATCTGCTTCAAACGACTGAGAATGCTGGGGGTTTTTTTTTCAATTCATGGAATATGTATGTCGATCAGATATTTGGGTTCATAACTTTAAGACAATCATTAAATTCCTACATATGAATGTCGGGGAATGTGTTCCTTTTCATTATGGATTTCTTACTGACCATTATTTAACTGCTTCATGTAGTCTTGTACTATCAGGACTTTTGGAAAAGAGGTTCCATTTCCCTTCTCAGAATACTGTTTATATCTTTGATCATGTCAATGCACAATTAAGCGACCTCATTTGTTGATAGAGGTGACTTTTTTGACAAGTGTTCATTGTAGCGGTTTCATGACTGCCTTAACACCATGATAACATATTAATATTTTAATCAATTTGAAAAACTAGCCCGAGTTTCCTCTGGCCCCGACACCAGACTTCGACATTTTAAGATAACACTAGACATTTATTTGGTCAAAATATCGAAGTCTGGTGTCGGGGCCAGAGGAAACTCTGCCTACCTTAAAAGCATGATGTGAACTTGCAAAAACATCAAAGAGGATGAATTGTGGATAGAAAAATTGCTGAGGTTTACAATAAACAACAATTGTTACTGATTTTGAAATTAATTTATACATTCATTTCACTGGTTAAGGCCTCCAGAATCTTCAATCTGTGAAGGCGATTCGAGGATTAACAGTATATGGTTTAACTGCAGTTTTAATTGTTTCCCCAAATTAGGTGAATTTGAAATTACTGGGTTAGATTTGAAGAAAGTTGAAAGAGTTGAATTGTATTCTGGTTAAACCTATAGTGTAATTTGTACATGGTTGTATATCAGCAAATGATGATATGTAACTTAATTTCTACATGTATTTATAAATATGTTTAAATTTCATGCAGAAACAATAGAAATTTATTTGCAAGCATAGCTGAATGGAATTGTCACCCTGGTAAAATACTCGCCACTTCCTACCCAGTTGGCTAGGGAGATTTCTTTTTAGCTCATTCAGTAGAGCGTAAGACTAGTAAACCAGGAGTCCCGGGTTTGACTCCTAGCGGAGGCATGGGATATATCAGTCTTAACACTTTGGTCCAGAATAACAGATATTCCCCAGTATAATGAAACAGAATGGTAATGGTTTTCCTTTCCTGTATATTCACATTTGGAATGCTGGTCCTTGTGATTTATTGGAGTTCGAATAGAACTATAGGTTCCACTATACTGTACAGGTAGCTGGAATTTGGTATCAGGGCATGTTGTGCTCCGCGTGCAGTGTTAAACAATATAACTATTCATGTGCATTTACAATCAATTCTGTTACAAGGTGGTTCATGTATATACTTAAGATTTTGTTGTGACGTAGTTGTCGTAACCATCCTATAGGGTGCATGTACTGATTGTGCTAATATGCAATACATACGTTTGAACTTTACTGGTCATAAACTTGGATATCTCAAATATCTAGTCTTGAATAGTCCAATGTCAAATAGTATATATTTATGTTGTGGCTGTTTAGTGCCTGTTAACAGCAGACTTTTCAATATTTTATTTGCAGCCTTCCTTAGATTCTGAAGAGAAACCTGCAGAGGCGATGGTCCAGCTGCACTCCATCTTGGTATGTACACAGCAAATATGTGATATATATGCTTCTCCTAAGTTATTTGGTGTTGGTCTAGCTTGATCTTGATTAAAATAATGTGACAGGGACAGCGCTGGTCTTTCCAATCTAGTGAAACTAGCTGCTTGTCCCAATTTCAACACGGATGATGTAGGGGCTGCCCAAGTTCTTTGACTACAAATCAAGTATCATTACAATAACTTCTTTGTACATATATAACTTTGGCCATATCAAAGTTATCATTTTTTTTTGTCGTTTTCTAAAAATGTATTTGGCACGTTTTGACAAAAACGGGAGAATTCTTCTTATTGTGTTATCAAGAAACAGCAAATTTCATTTTTTTCAAAATAAGCTTGTACCAATAAACGCTTGTATAACAAAATAAAACACAATCCTCCGATTGATACATGAACAAAATTAAGATTTGTTATGGTGTATTTATAGAACCGTTTCAAAAGAACACAGAGTGAAAGTGACCTTACTGATCCAGCATTCACAGACTCTGACTCCGACTTGGCGAAGACATTCCGTAAGGTCAAACGATCTGCATCTGATGATACAGACCCTCCTGACTTGATGGACAGCGTAAATAGTGAGTGCTTGTATCTGGGATCAAATTGACTCGAAAGTCAACCACTCCAATATTGCCTTCATTGACCTGACCATGCAACTTTTTAAAGCATTGAAGACGTTTGATTGATAATGGTTTTGATGAAACTTGAAGAATATTTGAATGGCCAACAGATGATATGCAGTGCTCAGTCTGTCTGGGATCAATCTAGATTTGATTTACTACCGTTTATGGGTAGTTGTCCCTACAGAAGAAAATTTCCCCTGTTCTTTGAAATTACCCCTGATGCGCTTCAAAATTCCCTTATTTCAACAAGAAAATAGTGGGTTTTTTTCAAAACATTTTACCTATATGTTTTCTTTAAAGTTCAACAGTTGAAATGCATGATACTGCATATATTAAAACATTTTCTTCACATTATTGAATAGAAAATTTAAAAATGTTTAAGTATCAAATTGTTTATAAATTGAAATATACTGCACACATGTATGTCCGACAAAACATTTATCTTTTACCTTTATGATGCTAGAGCCTTGTATCAAATTTTAATTTCTCCCAAATCTGAAAACGGGTAGATTCCCCTTAAACCTAGACTGATCCCTGGCAGTAATTAGGTCAAAGTGGTCTTCATCCCAAAGTCAATTAAATGCAAAGCAAATTTGCATAACGGCTGATAATGAGAGACATATGATCTTGTTCATTATATAAAAATCTAGGTAGCGTTAACTTTGCCCTTCTCAATCTTTAGCCTTAATTGACTTTATTTTGCCCAATTTGACCTTGACCATTGCTAAAGACTTAAGTCTCAAATGACTTTTTCTCAAACTGATCGACTTTCGATCTATCTGTCATTGAAATGATATCATTAAATGATTTTTTATACGCCCGTCAAATTTGAAACTGTCGAATCAAAATTCTTTTAAGGGAAGCACGACTTCATATCATGATTATAATGTATACCAAGTTTCAAAGAGATCCGTTGAAAAATGTATATATCTCCTCCTACCTTTTTTGACCGATCTGTTTGAAACTTGGTATACATTATAATCATGATATTTTATTGTGTTTCCTGGAAAAGAATTTTGATTCAACAATTTTTGCAAAAGTTATTGTCCTTTGTTTATTTCAGTATTTGATTTTTGTCCGGCAATCTCTCCTCCTTCATTTTTCAACGGATCTCTTTGAAACTTGGTATACATTATAATCATGATATCAAGTTTTAAAAGAATTTTGATTTCGACAATTTTATCAAAAGTTATTGGCCTTTGTTCATTTCAGTATTTAATTTTTTGTCCGGAGATCTCTTCCTACATATTTTGACAGATTTCTTTGAAACTTAGTAGGCTAAATAATCATGATATGTTGTTGTGTTTCCTTGAAAAGAATTTTGATTCAACGATTTTTGCAAAAGCGATTGCCCTTTGTTCATTTCAGTATTTGATTTTTTTATCCGGAGATTTTCTCCTACATTTTTATGGCATGTCAGCGTATATTGTTCTGCCCCACGGTACTCTTGTTGTCATAATAACCTTGGCTGAAATTGACCCTCACCGTTTCAGAGGAGCCACAACCTGAGCCGGTCGTAGTGAACAAAGTGGCCTTACGTCACGTCAAACAAATGTCAACAGTGCAGGAAGAAAGGACCTCAGTACTGGAGTAAGTATAGCAGGTTCTTTGCACAGGTGCTGGACACACTAATAGTAATATGATGTGTATATACTATATAATAGTACTATTACATGTATATAGTATATATACACGTCATATTACTATTAGTGTGTCCAGCACCTGTGGTTCTTTGTACTGTAATTAGTAGTCAGTTCTGGTTCAACAGTTCAAAATGTTAAATAATCTGATAAAACCTGGTTAACCCTTTCACCTCCATGTCACTTTAGTAGACTCTACTGTGCATTGATCAGGGAGAGTCCATTATGGTATGCAAGGGTGACAAGGCTAACAGGTGAATGATGCACCAGAGATGAAGGTTGAAACATACATGCCCAAACTTGTCAACTTATTTTATGGTTTCAAGAAAAAAATATTATAAAATTTATATGAGTAAACAACGTCTCAAGCCTAACACCACAGGAAGCAAATTCAAAAATTATTTAAAATTTAATAATTTCTGCTTAAATTAAAACTTCAAACTTTCTCTTCTGAAGGATGGCATCCAGTAATGCAAGTGTTATCTAGCACTTATGAAGGATTGTTCTTTTTAGAGTTGAACCAAATCCCATGTTCTGTGATTTACAGAATAATTTGTGTTTTTATGCACAAGCAAAATTTTCAAAGGGCTAGTCCTTCTCCTCAAGCAAATGCTTTTGAAAAAGTACTTGCCAAAAAAGCAGTGAGTTTATATTTCGTGGAATTACCCTATCTTACACCCCTGTGCATGAAAGAGTCTTATAATATGAAACCAGGAAAAATATTTACAATAAATATCACAGTTGTACTTAATTACGGTTTGTAAATGGTGTCAAACCAGAGAGGAAAATTCCCATGAATATTTCATGTTATACATTATGTGTTGTTTTGGTATTGTAGAACCTGTTAATTCAGGGTCCTGTAACTGGTAATGTTAATCATAAATACTGTACATTCTTTTATTTTTTCCAGGAAAGATGATCCAAATGAGGAGGACACAGTGTTTTAGATTGTGTTGGTTTCGGAGAAGATGAGGAGGCTTTTCTGTAAAACACCAAGGAAAGGTGGTGGGTTTTGGGAAATACAGAAGTTTTTCTGTAGAACTTGAACTTTTTAAAATTAACTTTCAGCATATATAATCAGCTATACATTTCTGTCCTAAAAACTAGATACATATGTCTAATTAGATTCCTAAAAGAAAAAAAGTAAGTTTTACACATCAGTTTGCAAAAAAGATTGACATCATATATATACATTGTATATCGTGTATATTGTTTCCTTTTAGATTATCTCCCTTGAATCTGAGATTATTTAGTTCACTACAACATATAATCAGAGCTCTTGCTTGGGTGTAAATTGATTTTTTCATCAATCATGTCAAGGTCAGACTTGGCGACTCATATAATTGAAACATACTCTCAGTACAGTTTAAGCTAAGGCACTCAATATCAAAACAAATAATGAACTCACTCTTCATCAGAAAAGAAACTCATGTTGTGTTAGTGCTTCCATTAAAATGTTAACATCTATTTTGTAAAAAATAAATGCTTTAAAAAAGTACTTTTGTTTGTGTGTTTATTTTTTTTCAAATCTTGTTTATGTGAAGTTGGAACGTCTTTGCAGCCAGCAGCTGAAGTCCTAGGATAGTGCTGGGGTCGTGCTTAACTCGTTCACCCCTTAAATTTCATAATGAACTGTTCCAATCTTTAAACTGGAAGAGTTAAAATATGTCTTCAGGGGTGAATGGGCTAAACAATGTAATGCTATTCCACTGAAATGTCACTATGTACACTACACTTAGACCATCGTCGGATACCCACGGTTGATTTTGATGAATGAGTACCGAAGCGAAATCAACCGCTGACATATATGTTGATGCACTAAGACAATCCATCTCATAAGAAATTATACCATAAATAATATCTTCATGTAGAGATAAAATATATTTATTATCAATAGTATCTTTCTGTGTACAAATAAAATGTATTATTGACAAGACATGTATCATCTATTTGAACTGACATGGCAGTTAAGTTCATTCTGAAATGGTAAAACCAAATTAAGGTGAATTTTAGATAAAAAAAAAAAAAGTTTCTGGTCAGCTGTCATCTTGCCAAGCTTTACATTAAATAGAAATATTGCAATTATTATTTTCTGTCCCGTAATTTCACCCGTTCCTTGTGCACTACAAATGTGGGGTTTTTGGTCACTTTTTTGGTAAATGTGGCGCCCAGCTTTTCCTCTGTCATGGCTCGTCCTCCTTGTGACAAATATTCTGCAAGTACCTGGTCAAATAGAAGAAAAAGAATACTCAATAACGGACGGCTTAGTATAAATTCTATACTAAAAATGTTCATCATGGACGCCTGTCCAACTGCACTATGGTTTTTGATTCCGATCTGTTCGCATATACCCTGGTAACTTGAGCACAGTTGGGCAAGGACACTCTCGATGACTATGCAGGTAGCACGATCAGTTAGAGCGATAGTATAACAGTCCAGGGGTTCGAATCTTGGTCTAGTCACAGTGAATTTTTACACTCAAAACACCATAACTGATTATATTTTGTTGATTTCATCTTTCTTGTTTCTCATAAAAGTCCTGTAAGGTATGGTTTTCTTTTCAGAAATGATTTACCAAAACTATAGTCATGTCGGAAAAAACAGTTTCCGACACTTAAGTTACAGTTTTTTGCAGTGGTACTGAGATCCTTAAATGGGGATGCTGATCAACATTAGTGAAATTTCTGCTGTTTAGCTCTCATAAAAATATCAGGTTTGATAAAAAAATAAATTGGAAAAACAAATAACTGATCATGTACCAACATACCCTTCACATGATTTTACACAAAGAAACTGTAAATTTTCATTTATCCTTGATACCTTGCCTCAATTATGAAATTTCGTAATCGCCATCACATCTTACCTTTTTACGGAGCTTTTTCAAAGTTATCTCGCCTTTACTCTGTAGTAGTGAAGTGATCACCTCCACCCAATCAAATTTGGTCCCTCTCTTGGCAGGACTCTCCTCTGTATCTTCCTCCTCCTCTATATTAGGGTTTGCAGATATAGATTCATCTGCATTTTCTAGAACATTAGAAATATTTAGAAAAGTAATTAAAGTCTACATTGTTTTCATCTCTTACATTAACTTTAAACTCCAATACAGCATATCCATGAACATATTACATTCCCATTAAGAATTCTTAAAAATATGCATTACATTCTGATCAACTTTATTTCCTTTTTCTTAATTTTGGGGGAGGAGGTTAGGAATTGACATTTTCCCCTCAAACAAAAATAAATAGGGGAATGGAGATGAACTTTGGCTACCAAATACTGATAGGTCCAGTAAAGTTATTGATGTGTATGACTTTCCTGTATCAAGCCTCATAATAATAATGATATACCACATTTGATATAGCGCCCTATCTAGCTAGAATAAGCTACTCTAAAGCGCTTTACAGTTAATAGATATACAATTCATTTAATCAATACAATATCTCCCAATATGTGTATGCCAGCGTGTGTGCTTGAGATCTTTTGTGTTCTGTTGGTAGTGGGACTGTGCTTCCATCAGTATTATTTATAGTACCACCTCACTTGAATGCTACAGCACAGATACCGCAACATCCAACCCAGATCATTTTATGCCCCTCCTAGGTTGTTAGAGTTGTGTGGGCAGGAGAAATTACCTTCTCTGAATATTCCATGCATATGACGACTTTGGGAATCAAACTCTGGCAGATTGCATGGAAGGCCAGAGTGTTAACCACTCTACCAATTCGCCCATGGTGGTGTTAAAAACTTCGGTCAGTAATTATATAACAGGACGGGACCTTCTATTGCAGTCATGTTGGCTTTAATAATTTAGGAATACTTTTCTATTTTGGTCAGGTTATGAAAAGATAACGCCAGTTGACCTTCTTTTAACTGAATAGAAAGCAAAAATGTCTACAATAAATGTACTAGTGTTCAACTGGAGTTAACGCCTCATTACCTGACCAAAACAGACAAATGTTCTTTATTTTTTACAGTATTTATTTCTGTGAAGGGTTCAGAACTTTTTTATAATGTTTTTTATACATTAGCCTGATCAGGAGATATATATTTCAATTTTTAAGCATAATAATGTGGGATTGGTTTAACACACAAGAGCTGTTGGAGAACAGTATAGGTCGCCTATTCATGTTATATTTTAAGTTAGTAAATATCAATAAAAAGACATGGATCTGACATGTTTCAGGTTTCTAAACTGAGTTATTTTGATTATTGTTTTAGGTAGATGTGCAATATAGGTAACTATACAAAATATGGGCTACAGTGAAGTTACAGTGTCATATAATGACGTATATAGATGTAAATATTACAATAGCATATACAGAAAATGAAATCTTTGAAAGTTGCATGGCATCATAAAATAACCAAGTTGAATTTGAAGAAGTCCCTTTCACTTTTTGGCCCTAGAATATGAACAGCGGTTTACACTTTTTTTGCACTCTATATCAATTATGCCTCAAACTTGTAATATTCAACAGCTTATTGAGTGTAGTGTTCTCTGGATGAAAAAGATAAATCGAAAATTTTAGTCAAGTGTCTGTCAGTGTAGACTAAATATCAGTATACGTATCAATGTCAGTATTAAAAGGTTTTAAGGTTAGCAGACACTATTTAAATTGTTTTACTTGAAATTCTGAAGACTAAAAATTATCTACATGTGCTGACAAAGTTTCATTGCATTCTGGCACTTGTTTATTGAGGACGAGATCTAAAGTATTTTAAGAAACAAAATGTGTTGTATTTGTCACCTATCATAACATTCAGTTTATCAGTTCTTTGTATCAAAAGGTCAAAAGTGGAAGTTACAACCTACTCAAAAGGAACTGACCTTTTAGCTAACTGTTTGAAACAAAAGGTTATAAGTGCCATTTAACACAATAGATTTTTTTTTTAATAATTCTAACCTGCAAAATAATATTTCAATTTGTGCTTTCTGAGCAGAAAGTTTCAGTGTCATTAAAACAATAGAAAAAAAACTTTTTTGTGAAAAACAGAAATCTTTAAAAATCTTGGGATTTTGGATACGACCTAATTCTGTGACAAAAATATTGGTTTCCCTCTACAGGATCCTGTGGCGGAGTATAATCCATCGCCAAGTATTAACATATTACCTTTCTTACTCCTCTTCTTCTTCTTAATCTTTGTAGGCTGCTCTTCTTCATTACATTCCTCCTCCTCCTCTTCTTCTCTCTTTCGTTTCTTGCTCTTTTTCTTTTTACTTTTTTCACAGTCTACATTTTCACTTTGCTCATGTCTGTCTTTTTTCTCCTTTTTGTTATGTTTTTTACTCCTTTCTTCCTTTTTCTCTCTTTTACTTAGTTTTCTTTCCTCACATTGTTCTTCCTCCGTCGTCGGTTTAGAATTTTCATCACTTTTCTCTGTCGCTGATTGGCTCATTCCGTTTGCTTGACCATTTTCAACAGATTTCTTTTCTGGCGGTTTATTCTACAATATGAAAGTTAACATGTTTATACTGTGAATTTATGAATATTGACATGTTTTGACTCTTTAAATATTTAAGACCCAGGGTGGAGACCCAACATCCCATCCCGGCAATGGCGTGAATTTCAATGTGGCGGTAATGATCATGACAAGGTAAGACACTAACTGTTTTTGCTTGGTAGTCCACAGGACTAGTTGAATAGATAATTTACTAGTCCTTCGCTAATGTAACTAGTCCAAAGATTTCCTGATAAGGAAACATTGTGATCTACAGCACGAAACATCAAAAGCAATCGACTGTAGGAGACTTAAAACAACTACTGTAATAAAAATATGATGAAGTTTAAGGAAAATTTTGACAATTATCATGCAATATATCTTATTTTAAGTAGTTTTCTAAATTTTAAAAAGGAATATTCTTATTCTATAATCATATTTTTCACAAGTCCAAAGGACCAGTAGGTTAGGTGATTCACTAGTCCTTGCTGAAATATACTAGTCCAGGACTAGCAGACTAGTGTTAGTGTCAACCCCTGAATTATCCAGGGGCTGAATTTACAGTCGTGTCAACAGTAAATGCATCTTGAAGTGACTGCTGATTAAAATATCAAACTGCATGGTTTGAGAGTTATTTTCAAGGTGAGGTCATTGTTTATTTGTTAAGAAAAAGCGATAACAAATTTGAACTCCCAAAATCCAAGATGGCAGTCTGGCGACCATTATGTTTTTCTGAACTGTGCCAAAATCCAACAGGCACAACAATGGACCATGGAAAAGCTACATGTCAAATTTGATTATAAGATATAAGGACGAGCAGAACTGGTGACCGTGAAGGATGAAGGGCTAAACGGTGTTTTATATTTCAAACTTTGCACGGTCATGATATCTTATACCTATTGACCCCTTCAGTATGTACTCGGGAATAAAACAAAAATCTGTGTTTCTGCTTAGCAACCTACCCTAGATTTTTATTCCTACCCTAGTCTTTTTTCACCCATTTTTATTAAGCTCTGTAATGTCAGGGGTTTATTAGAGTTTTTTAGGGTAACGGACCCTGCGAAGAAATCATCGACATAATAGCCATTTTGAAAATTTGGATAATCATTATAACAAATCTGAATACATGAAATTAGATTGTTTAACTTTTATTTAAGCCTGTCTTTATGACAACATTATCATTTGAGATTTTGGTCAATCGTAAGGAATTTATTTAAATATATGCATTTATTTGTTTTGATTTCCAAATTTGGAATTATAACGGAGCAAATTGGGAAAAATTACTCACTTTTTCAATGGAGAATGGGTCCTTTAAACAGACGGATAAAGAACCCTGATAAACCCCTGAAACTATGAAATGCTACCTTTGTCAAACTATTTTGAAAAATCTAAAAGATTTGTCTACGTAACTGCCGTTATCTTTTGAGAGCTGAAAATAAAATCGCAACAGCTAATTAATTAGTTTAGCCTTACAAACCTTTGCTGTATTTTCCATTAACAAATCCCACGCCTGATTTATCAGGTAATTGTTTCTTGTGTTTAAACTGTTACCAACAAAATTCTGGAAGAAAAAGAAAAATCTGTTTGTCAGAAATACATCAACATTAATGTATCAATATACAATTTACCTTGCACTGGAATAGATAGATAACACAGAGTACACTATGAGTAGAAGTGATAACACAGAGTACACTATGAGTAGAAGTGATAACACAGAGTACACTATGAGTAGAAGAGATAACAAAGAGTTCACTATGAGTAGAAGAGATAACACAGAGTACACTGAGTTGAAGAGATAACACAGAGTACACTATGAGTAGAGATAACACAGATTACACTATGAGTAGAAGAGATAACACAGAGTTCACTATGAGTAGAAGAGATAACACAGAGTACACTTTGAGTAGAAGAGATAACACAGAGTACACTATGAGTAGAGATAACACAGAGTACACTATGAGTAGAAGAGATAACACAGAGTTCACTATGAGTAGAAGAGATAACACAGAGTACACTATGAGTAGACGAGATAACACAGAGTACACTATAAGTAGACGAGATAACACAGAGTACACTATAAGTAGAAGAGATAACACAGAGTACACTATGAGTAGAAGAGATAATACAGAGTACACTATGAGTAGAAGAGATAACACAGAGTACACTATGAGTAGAATAGATAACACAGAGTACACTATGAGCAGAAGAGATAACACAGAGTACACTATGAGTAGAATTGATAACACACCGTACACTATGAGTAGAAGAGATAACACAGAGGACACTATGAGTAGAAGAGATAACACAGAGTACACTATGAGCAGAAGAGATAACACAGAGTACACTATGAGTAGATTTTTTTTTAACTTTCTATTTGTTCTTTTACAACATCGTCAAGAAAACAAGTCTTTTAGAGCTCGATCCTGAAAGCTTTCTTGCATTCATCCACAACTGACATTGAAAAAGTTATTATTGAAACAATTTTTTTCTTACAAGTAAAAAGATTTTAGTTCGGTAAATATGTCCTCATTTGCTTTTGGATTCATCCCCTTTAAATCTAGCTAAAATAATTGCCACCATACAAAACATTATGTTAAAAATATCAGCTATTTGTACCTCAAACTTTGCTCTTTTTCTGGGAATGTTTGGATAATCTTTCATCCTCTCTAATAAGCCTTTTAACTGGGCATTGGCGCTACATTTGTCTATTGCATCTTGAACTTGCTGTAAAGAAAAGAAAAACATCATTAAAGTGACAAGTACCACTTCACAAGTCATAGTTGTGAAGAAGAGTTCTACATCAGAGCTGTATTTCACCAGGGTAACCTCCCTTTTATAGAGCATAACAGGAGGTTTTTTTTGCCATAGAGTTGCATCCCTTTGCAAGGTATTATTCTAAATAAATTACGATCGATATTTGAAATATTATTTGATATAACCACAAAAGGTATACCCCTAAAAGAGTGTTATATGAGCAATGGAGAAAACACCACCAACATCGACAGAGATGGACAGTTAGCAGGTATTTGGCGATTTCTCCCTTGCTCAAAACTATCTTTTAGCAGATGTTATGGGGGTACTCTTCCCTATCTGGAAATGAATTAACTCTTCTTTTGAGGGGAGACCTTCAAACTAGCATACTAGCAGATGGAAAATATCTTAGCATTGGTTTTTTAAAGGCTCATCACTTGTTTTACGTACATGGTATTTTGCAGAACAAATAAAAACCTGAAATTATACAATCACCCAATGTCAATACGAGAGGATTAAACATGGCCTAATGGTTTCCCTAAGGTGTTCAGGGCTGGTTGGGCATTGGTTACCTGTAGCCAAAGTTCCTGCTTTGCGTCCCCTTTATTGGCATTGGCCTTAGGTTTGTAGTTTTTACCAGAGTATTTCTCTTCCTCACTTATACACTTGATGTGGCTCTGGTAGTCATTGCCCCTACAAAATAAACAAAGTTGAATAAGTGATACGAATAATACAATATCCTCAATCTCAGCACAAACTTTGGCATCAAAAGTGAACAAAGGATTAGAACATTGTATATAGTGGGGCATACAACCAAATTTCAGTAAACAACACTCCACAATTTTAGGTGGCAGAATAAATATGAGATATGACTAACACAAACTGATACACAGACAGATGAAGTGCAAACCTATACTTCCCTCTTCTAGTACCAGTTGGGGGACAAATTACTCTTGATGGAATTGACACATCTACCTCGTTTTCTCCAGGTTTGAAAAGACAAGTACATATACCTGTAAAAATGTCTAAGCCTGGGGTGACAGGGAACCTCAGGCTAGATACTTTGATAAAAGGAGGTAATTTAAAGTAAACTACGACGAGAAACCTACATCTCAAAATCACTTCACTAAGCTTAGAAAATGTTGAATCCCATAGTTTCTTTTCTGTCATTATTTCTTCAAGTCCATCCTATCAATATTTTTGAATACTGATTTAGGTTCGCTGCCAAATTAGCAGTGGGATGACAAAATGTGGATGACATTGTGCAATAGTTATCTCCCCTTGTCAACACGATGACAAAGGATTGTAACAATAAAAAATATTACATAATATATAGAACCATCAATTATTTACCAGAAGTCCTTTCCACAGTCAACGCAGGACACAACTTCACAGCGACGACACTTCCCCAGATAGTGACTCTCCACTTGGTTCTTCTTCAGCGAGTCTCCACAGGCATTGCATGTAAACACCACCATTTTTTACTGTGGAAAAACAATGTTTATCAGATAAATTGTTAAGTTCACAGGTGCAAATGTATACTGTTGTAAAATTCACTAAGAAATCTTTTTTTTATTAACACTATTTCAGCTGTCAACATTCAGTGTAGAAAAATTTATATTTGGAGTGATGTAAGGTGTTATTAAATCATTATCTGGAAATAAGCCTTATAAAGTAACTCACAGTTCTTACTTCCAACAAGAGATAATTGATATAATTTAAGGATTAAAATGCATCTTTTTAACAATTTTTGCGGAGACAAAATAGCGATTTCATCAGATTTCTATGGTTACCAGTTCGGTCTGGCGACATGCCTCAATCAGAAGCCAATCAGGAATTTCCCTAAAAATTTAAAGTCACATCACGATTGGTCCCGGGTTACTAAAATAGTCTTACAGAATAACCCGAACAGTTTCCAATTGGTACATATTCATATGTAATAGTTCTAACTGTTGTTGGGTTATAAAAAAAAATTGTTGGTAGGTTTATCAAAGGAAAAAACAAAGAAAATGCAAATGTATCATGCACAATAGTCATATAAATTTGCATATTCCTGTCAAAATACAAACGTATTGTCTGAAGACCTGTTTCTGTGCTACCCCTGTTTCTGTATCAACATTTTGCTTATCACAAGATTTTTAACGTCATTGCTTTTTGGGTTGAAAGCAATAGAAAGAAATACACAAGAAAAAGGTTGAAACTTTTTATAACATTTATATGCAGCATTTCATCATTGTTTGCTTGACAAAATTGTGTGACTGTCATTGTTGGTCTGATTTGTCTGGTTATTCCACAGGCAGGGCCAAAACATATGGTGTCCTAATATGTTTTTGGGCAAATTTCTTATTTATTCTTAGTCATTGTAAGTATAAAAAATCCTATGCAACAAATTTTTATGTGATAAAAAAATGAACTAGATAAAAACCTCAATACGATTTTGCCAAAAAATCCAGATACATTTCCATCTTTCAGGACTGTATCATTTTTACTTAAGTTCCTTCAACCAACCTTGTAGTGTCTAGAAGAAGAACGCAAGCTAAAAAGCTGTGGTAAAAATTCAAATCATTTTGTTATACATTTCAATTCATGTTGATTTTTGCACCAGTTGAATCACAGGAATATGGATGAATTGGGTCATACAATAGAATTAGGATACTATGCTTTAATTCCGTACTCATACACATACTGAGTAGGCACTTGCATCTGATATTTCCAGAGACATATGTAGCATATCTGAACTGGGTCTTTTGTCGGCGACCAGGCAGCTCAGCTGGTAGCGCACCCGTATAGAGTTTGGAGGGTCCCTTGTTCGAATCTGGGTCTGGCTGTTGCATTTCTCCTTCTCCTGTTACAAAATTGATGAGCTTGTCAACCCTTGTTTAAAGCACTGGGTGAATGCTTTGCAAGGGGATATCTAAACCCGAGTCATTTGTAAATAGTTGCATCTTCGGTGGAGAAGACATGGCGAAAGGAGGGAGGAATGTTGCAGAACTGGACTGGGTCAATTGTCGGTGACCAGCTAGGTAAGCTCAGTTGATAGAGCGGCTGTCTAAAATTCGGAGGTCCCAGGTTTGGCCGTTGCATTGCTTTCTCCTGTTACACATATATATACAAAAAGGTCTCTGGAATTTACGCCCTCTGTATATTTTAAACAATGTCAACAATACTGACTCTGTACAAAAGAGAAGAAATTGACCAAGCAAACATATTGTAAAAGTATTGTTTGGTTACAATTTACCTGTTTACAGCACAGGTTCTCGCGTTCTGGAAGGGGGTACGATATCGAGTGGGGTGCGATAATATACCACATACAATCCAGAACCTGAGCAACTGTGGTTTACAGTAGTTCTAGTACTGTACATATAATAAAGAACACCTGAACCAAAAAAAATAAACATGTTCCTGGTACATGAACTTTATGAAGAGACAGAGATTGATTAATCCGTTCGTGAATCTGTCTCAATTAAGAACAAATATGTTTTGATGGCTGTACGATAAGCTGAAATAGTCAATTTACTATGGCATATGTTTCTTACCAGGCGCATCAGGATATAATCAAGCCAAACAGTTCGCTATCCACATGGACCGGAAATAGGAATTCACTGTCTAAAATAAAATCCGGAATATACCGACAAGATGTTCCGCCTTTCATTCGGTTAGGTGAATGTTTCAGGAATATAAATTGATAGTATTTAGAATTTATATCGATTTGGTTACAGTACACATATACTAGTTATTGCAATGCAGTACTGGTAAATGGATAAAAAAGTTTAGGTCATCATGTGACGACTGTTTGATATACAGACAAATAAACCAATAGCGACCACCACTAGAACGACCTAAACAACCTGGAAAAGTGGGCTAACTTATGGGGAATGAAATTCAACACCAACAAATGCTGCGTAATAAACATCAAAGAAAAAAGTCACATATTCTACACCCTAAATGGACATATCTTGGAACAAGTGAAAAATAATCCCTACCTGGGACCAGAGGCGTCTCTGCTTGGACGAACAATTTCAGATGACCTCAAGTGGAACACCAATATACTAAAAATATCAAGGAAAGCCAGCTAGACCCTTGGCTTTCTCGAAAGAAACCTAAAACATTGCCCATCGTCTTGTAAGAAAACAGCATATATATCCCTAGTACGACCCATCCTTGAATACGGCGCCATTATTTGGGACCCATATACCAAAACAAAAATTGACAAACTGGAAAGAATACAGCGCTTGGCACAAGGATGCTGGAGAACCTGGAACTACCAACACTCCAGGTCAGGCGAGCACATCAGAGGGTCACATTTATGTATAAGGTGGTTGAGGGGTTGATACTAGCTATACCTCCAGCTGATCATCTAACAAAAACCAGACCAAAAAGGAACATCAAGGCCAGAAACTTCTCGGACTATATATCGAATAATGTGTTAGAAACATCAGTGATAAATAACTCTACATCCTATAAAGTACAAGAATACAGCTGTGATCAATACAAGAACTCGTTTTTTGTACGTAGTCATAGAGTGGAACCATCTGGAAGAGGACTTAGTATGTGCCCCTAGTTTGGAGGCCTTTAAGAGTGCTATAACCACCAAAAATCTAACTGAACTGCTCTCTCTTTCGATAAAAAAATACTCTTATTATTTATTTTAAACAATTTATTATACCCGATAGGCATTTTGGAAAAGGAGTATCTCCCTTGCATTGATTATCTCGTACTATTACTAACTTTTTCCATGCATTAAACACGTCTTTCCAAAAAAGATTTTTACTCATCATTTCACATTAAACAATGTATTCCGTCCCACAGTTTGCTAAAATATTTAAATCAATACAAGTTTTTAAAATCTCCTGCCATTTACTTGATGTTGTAAATAGTCTCCTTATCCATGTTAATTTTAAGGATTCTATAAAAGACATCACATGCATCATTTTCAATCCACCATCGATATAGTCTCTAATAACAATGTCTCTTTTGGTTTAATCAACTTTGCTTTTCCATAAGAAGTTAAATAGTTCGGTGTTTAATTCTTTAATAAAACATTCATTTGGGTTTGGTAATGCAATAAATAAGTGACTGAGTTGTGAGATGAGTAGTGATTTGATGATATAAATTCTACCACTTGGTGTTATTATTCTCCTATTCAATGTATTTATAAGTGCCTTTATTTTTACTAACTTTTTTATCATAATTTCTATCTCCCGCTGTATAAAAGCCGGAACCGGAAACTACAACGTAAGGATACAGACACAGACAGATCATCATACTTCTTGTGAAAAAAAACCTGTCGGGGTTCCCAAGGTTCTGTTCTGGGTCCATATTGTTTTTTTTTATATAAATATCAATGATCGATCTACCAGATTTAATAAAAAAAACACAATCACTTGTATCCCCATTAATGGCATCACGGACTTAGATATGTAGTGATGGCATTCACCCTCAAAAGTGTGAAATTATAACAGCATCGACTCGACAAAAAAACAACATCATCCTTGTCCCACAGATACAAACTTCATAGAATAGAACACACATTAGCCTAGAAACAAAATGTTTCATCGTTACGTATATCACATGGCTTCCGTAATCACTAACATTACACAAACATTGCATAAAACACCCTCAGATTTATCCAGAGAAAGGTAAAAAAAAACCAATTAAGAAAAGAGCTGCTAGCCTAGAGGTAGACTTAATAAAAGAAAACACTGTAATATTGCAGTCAGTTTTGTAAGCATGCTAAAATCTATATGGGCAAATTTCGAAATTCGCAAATGTCATTATGTACAAAATTATCCATGCCCTAGTAGTAGCAACCGAAAAGGACAAATTCTTAATATATTCTCGAAATCAAAATCATATAACTCCTTAATTCGGGTTCTAACAATCGTGTTCAATCCGTCTTTCCGCGCACCATGAATCCTAGCTCTTACACAGAATCGCCTCCCTCAGTCCTAACTTCACTACATTGCAAGATACTTTCAACTCCACCGATCTCCCATGGTCAGTTCCACTTGACCAGCAACAAACCCAGCTAGGGTACCATATTGCAAGTATCGACTAAAGGATGTTCTGAACTGCACTCTTCCTAGGAAGAAGCATGCGTCAGGACACTGACTATGTTTCAAAACAGACACTGACTATGTTTCAAAACAGACACTGTGACTATGTTTCAAAGCAGAATGAACAAGAGACTGGCCGTGGATGTACAGAAAGACAAGCTGTGACTTTGATGAGAAGCAATAGCTGATCATGTTCTGTCGTGTCTGTACCAAGCACAAGGCCCAGTCCAACACTTCAGTGAGGACGTCGGACGTATGTCGTTCATTCCGATTAGAGTGTGCAGCACAAAATTTCCCTGTTTAAGAAAGACGCAACATCAATTTTGGACAGGACCAAGTATCACTCATCTCCACATCTGCCGTGAAGGCTATTCGGGATATCCTGAAGGTCATGCTTGAAGGGAAGAACAATCTCTATCTGGACCTCTTTTCTTCTGTGGTTGATGCTGGGTCGTCAATGCAGCTACTAAGACTGGTCAAGAATGCAATAGTCACCGGTTGGGTTATTGTACAGTAGCTGATATCCCTCCCTAGCCATGAGATACAGGAGGCCATCCTTACTGACATTAGACAAAGTTCGTTTTACCGAAAGTCGATCTAAACCCCTAATACTTGTAAAATTACTCTGAACACCTTAGTTTAGGTACAAATATAGCTGTAACAAATTCTCAGGTCCCTGCGGTTTTAATGTACACCATCCAGGGGGAGATAACAAACCTGTCTGGAAACACACAAGATGGCTGGCTTTGCCCGAGATGGATCAGAGGTCTTTATTACAGTAGATTGAGTGGTGAAATTTACCAAAACTTCCCACACGAACAGAATTAGCCAGACGACTCTCAATCAGCTGCTGATTTTAAAGCTGAAATGTTCATCCAAAATGTTTCTTCCATTCTTCCAAAAGTAACGAGAAAATCACTCTGTATAAACTATGCAGACAAATTACTGTTCAGACAGAACACCATATCCTCGATAATCCAGGGGTTACGCTCACCTACGCTCTCTTCACCCCTGGAATATGTCATAAAAATCATAATTGAAGACACTTTCAAAAAATTAAACTACGGACAATCCGTTTTATTTCAGTTTTCCGGTAAATTACTACAAAGACTATTCAGGGATGCTAGTGAAAAAACATGGAAGCGACCAACTTATGTTATTGTTTAATACTATTCGACAATGAATACAAAAACATGGGCATGTTCGTTTATGCGGAACAACCGGTACGTCCGTTTTTAAATGTAACAATTTCAGGTATAAATCCTGGCGGACCTGCAAATGTGTATGCAGGTCTTGCAAAACTATGTCAAGGCTCGCCTGAAAGCAACATCATATTACAAGGTCCGACCTTATTTAATAAACAAACAACTGTGATCCGACCGGTGCAACCGTTTAAACGAAAACGGCCATGGTGTTCTTGGAATCATGGGAGACTACTCAAATGAAAAAAAAATCCTTGGGAAAACTCCTCAATACAAGAGATCTTAAGTGGTGGTCCACAGGGGAATGTTTTAGGACCGTTATTGTTCTTATTTTTTGTCTACGACATTCCGGAAGCTGTACAATCCACAATCTGATTAAAATACAGCTCCTCCTTATACTATATCGTTCTACTATCGATAATAGAACGATAGTATAATGAGAAGCTGTATTTTAATAAGATTGCACAATCCAGAGCGTCACAGTTCGCTGACGATACAAAGATATGCTCCGGATTATCAATAGACAAGGAAAAAACTACTCTCTAGAACGCCAATCAAACATCTGGATGGAACATGAAGCTGACTAAGGGAAATGTAAACATACCCAAACCGACTCTTCCTTTATAACGAAATAGGAAGAAGATAAAATATTCATTGTTTATGTAAAAATAAATAAAGATATAGAGACTGTGTCGTAAATCTTGTAATTAAAGTTATATCAAATAGATTTTTTTTATATATTTATCATTATATAGCTTTATGCGTCTCAAAATAGAATGTACTATATTTCTATATATGGAACAATGTGTTTGTTTACTGTATATATTTATGCAATCGGTAGAACAACTTGTGTTAACATCTTATGTAATATAGAATGTGATTGTATGTTTATGTAATATCAAATTTATGCGAGTGATTGTTTATGTAAATTAGAATGTGATTACTATACGCCTTCGTGTAAAAGAAAGTTTGAAACTTATCCACAACTGAGTTGTACTGACAAAGTTCAAACTTTAAAAGATTTAAAAACAAAAACAAAAAAGTCGTTACCGGTGGTGGTGGTGATGGTGGTTTGGTGGGGATGAGGCCTAGTACGTACGGGTGAGTGTCCAAGGCAAACAGAGACATTTTTGAACATTTGCATTCCTAATCAAGGACACGTATCGTCCAGTAATTCAAAATTTTAGTGTGTCCACACTTAATTAAGATACGTCACCTGTGTATGGTCTCCTTTGCTAAACAAACACCAAATTGCATATAGGAAAGTCTTAATAAAAAGCAACAAGACGTCTGCATGTATGCTTTTCTTAAAAGGGTATTCCTATAGTGAAAGGCTTGATCTATCACAAACCTAGATTACAGAAGGAGTTGTTACAAAGTTATACAAAATCTTTGATGACAGTCACTTTCACAAGAGGACACATTTTGTTTATGTCTGAACGTGATTTAAAACATGCATATTAGCAGGGTTGTGGGAATCTCTATATAATGCAGCCAATGTTTCCCTGGATCCGCCACACTTATCTGTCATCAATTCTCTGTGGACCTAATCAGGTGATAACCAGGTTCTGCCAAACTGTAGGATATAACTCTATAAGGACTTTGAATAAAACTGAAGAAAAAAAACCTGTGCCATGCAACGACCTCGATATCAATATACATTGTACATAATGACATGTTGATTGCCGTTCTGCTTCAGGTTGGTTATGAATTTAACTGAGTCTTCGTCGGGTTTGATATGTTTGAAGGGGTGTGGAGTATAGGGGAAATGGTATTGCAGTTTATAGATCGGCAATCGACAATAGCGTATTACACTATACATGTATTGCTCTTGTGGTAGGGAAACCATGATTCTTTGTTTTCTCCGGGATTAACCATGTTTCACGAAGAAAGACCTCGTCACTAATCGCGGAGAAACAACATTTGTAAGAAAAAAATACTGGAAAGTCGTAACAACGAGAAAAAAAGCACGTTATTACGCAAAAAACGCGCAATAACGCCAACAAATAACACGTAATAACGCGAACAAACGCATATTGACGTGAAATAAACGCGTAATAACGCGGCGAAAGTAAAAGTCATAACGCAAAAAAACACGTCATAACGTGAAATATAGACATAATATAATGTGAAAAAACACGTAAGTACTGTCTTATATTGTTGGTAAATATGTTTGCACTCAGAACCCCCCCCCCCCCTAGAAAGAAGGTTAGGTGTGTACACGTCTATATTTGTTCACTCTCCACGGTGTGTGTGTGTGTGTATATCATATTGTATGTTGTCTCTGTATTGTTTTGTATATTTTATACCTGATAAGTCAACCGACTTAAAGTAATAAAGAACTTGAACTTGAACTTGAATTAACCTTCACAGTTAGAGTTGTGAGTCGTGACTATATTTGGTTCTGAGATGGACCCACCCAGTCTTCACAGTTAGAGTTGTGAGTCGTGACTATATTTGGTTCTGAAATGGACCCACCCAGTCTTCACAGTCAGTTAGCCTGTCAACCTTCCCGGTCTTTTTTGGCACCTTTTTCTCATTTTGAAGCATCCCCCACCTACTAATTAACAGGGGTATGTCACGTGCTCTATAATTGAAGATATATACAAGTCGGCGACCCAGAAAGTAGAAAGTACTTATATATAGTATGACGCACGTTAATATCTGTTTTATTTTTAAAACATGTGACAGGTCTTTGAACTAACGGTCAGTTTGGTATCCACTGCGTTAAGAATTTCATGTCGTTTCAATCGACGTTTTATGCATATTTTCTTTTGTCTATTGCATTTAATTGCTTATGAATAACCATGGTCCGTTTTGAATAGTTTTGCCATGTTTGTGAAAAGTTCTGATCAAAGTTTTTTTCTTCTATTTAATGAAATCAAAATAGTTGATAGCATTTAATGTCTGACATTTTTGTATGTCATGGCGCAGTATCCGTCGCCTTGAGACAAGTGCCAGGGATACTGGTATTTGGTAACTTGAATACTGGTAGGAGGGTATATCATGTTTGTTCATATAAATGTCCTTGACCAAATGCTTTAAGTTCACGGTAGTCAAATGTGTTATCTCCGCATTAAAGCCATTTTGGTCTCTGTAGAGTATAACATATAGATAGATATGGGGCAAAGAAGTTATTCCAACAGTGTGGACAAGTTTAGGTTGTCAAATTTTCGGAGCGATCCGCTCCTTTTTCAAGACACATATAGATAGATAAACATCCCATGAGTGACAAAGAGGAAGTAGGGTTTCGACAGGAATTATGCTGGGGTAAAAGACTATATTACTTTGTTAAAAAATGACCTTGATCCACTTTGAAAGTCACAGAGGTTAACACTTTTTCAGAATGTTATCTAAGTCCGTGATTTCATTTAGTCGGTGGTGTGCTGAGGGTTTTGTGATTCTTAGTATCAAGTTTGTTGAAGTCAATAACATTCACCAATTATCAACTTATAGAGGTCACATGGTTCAAAACTGTAACTTCTAAACAACCATGAGAGGCCTAGGACCATTATTTTCTGTATGTGGCATGCTGGGACAAAAGGCTATCAAGTTATTACCATTGTATGACCTTAATCCATTTTCAAGACCGCATGGGGTCAATTTAACGATCTCCTGACTGAATAAAAAAGAAGCTAAGGCTCAAGATGTTTGGCACGTAGCATGCTGTAGTGAAGGGTTGTCAATCTTGTTTAAACAAATGTATTTTGACATACTTTCAAGATCATATTAATGAAAACCAGGTAAATGATGCAGTCCCAATATGTCTATTGTTTTTGTTAGGCCTTTGTAAGTGTATTTATTTATGTACTATGTATATTTTAGAACCCTAAAATAATGCCACTAAAAGATAACCAATGTCTGAATTTTAGTGACTGTTCTTGTGTTAATCGTGTTTCATGCGCAAACTATTTTGTTTAAAATTTACCTGTGAGTAATTTTATGCAATTACAAATTGTGCATAATTTTATCATGTAGGAGTTATCGCCCTTGCAACACTAATCGATCCGACGATGAGGTTTATTTTGACCAATGAGAATTGACGTCTCTCTCATTTTCCGAATCTGATCGCCATATTGCTTCTTCCTATACCACACCCAGGCGAGCCGATTAGGAGGATAGTGGACTCAAAATAGGGTCTAATACTGACCCTTTTTGAAGCCCATTACCTCAAAAAAGACAAATGGAACTAGAAAATATTGTTGCAAACACCGTCTACATCAAAGCCAGAGAAGGTGAGATATTTTAATTGTTCGTAGTTACACGGTCGTGTCTTTTCATCTCGAAGTGCATTTGACGTTTCGTCTGTTTTTACTGCACTCGTCTGCTCGGATGCCGCAAACTCCGTGCAACGTTCAAATAACGCTTCATTGTTGTCATATTTAGATAATTGCACCTTATATAGGGTCAATAAAGCCCGATTTGTTTTGTTTATACAACGTGTGTATTGCACTGTGTATTGGTTCCCCCTTCCTTTTGCCCCAGCATCCCTGTCAGAGATTTCGGATTCGTGATAATTTTTTCATCGTTAATCAACATTTTTGAATAGCATGTAATATATATTTGGGAATCATCGAGTCTAATTATATTTCCTAGGATAAATCGTAATTTTGATTTTGAGATGTCTGACCTGGTTGTTGAAATACCGGATAATGCACTTGATACGAGGCACTTGGATGTCATGCATCCGAATGAGGCCCCCAAAGGGTTATTTACTTCTCTATCTCCCTACATGATAAGGAATAATTAAAAAACGCATCTTATATTCTTATTGTCTCAAGTTGTGAAGTCAATTTGACATTTTCATGATTTTTAATCGGTTTATTAATCCTTGATTAAGTTTTCAGTTTTGATTAAATTAACATAAGAAAGTCTTCATTCTATAAATACATTGAAACTGTCTACAGTATATGAAACTACTGTAATGTGAGTTTTCCAGGTCAGGTATGTGTGAATTTTCCGTTGTAATAGACCATGGATTGATCATTGAATGTTAAATGTTCTGGATATTCATATATAGCAGTGGTACTATCCTGGTATCTCATTCCACATTTGGGATACCCATCACAGTTGTTTATATTATTTTTTTCTCCGACGTATCTATCATAAATTGAGTGTTAACCTAGATTTGTCCTTTATGTGAATGCTGCTACCTTGAAATAAGAAAAACAGGCCTTCGATATTTAAAAATATTCATACAATTAAATCAGGACATGTTGTCCTACCTTTGAAAAACACCTCAAGGATGATTTTCTATCATTTTTGACTTTGGTCCCGGAAATTATCAACATACTATTGTATTAGTAGTCATAAATATAGGTATAGTACCTGCTATAAGAATTTTGTTCTGTGTGAAAAATGTTCACGACTAATTATACGAATGAAAAACTAAAAAATCAGAACTCCTCATACATTTATTATTTTACAGGGGTGCACCATTTCATATTTTGAGTACAAGCCTGAAGGCTGATTAAAACAAAATCATGTAACTGTTTCTGTCTTGCAGATAATTATATGATAGCTGATAGGATAATGACCGCTTTACATTGAAAAATGGCCTTTTTATTTCCAAACTTGACTTAAATTCCCAATCGGTTAAAACAATTATTTCATCCCCAAAATCACCAAATGAATGTGGCCAAAACTTAATTAAAACCTTAGCAGACTGAGTTTCATAGGGAAATTATTTCAAGGCTTTTTTCTCACCATTTTAAGAATAGGGCCAGTGGCTTTTAGAAATGTGAAAAAATATCATGGTAAACTAAATTGGAAATTTTCTGAATTATATCATCACTGCAAGACTAAAGTGTTGCTTTTCCAGTGGTGGCGTAAACATTAAGTTTCTGCGTTTAAGTTGGTTTCACTAAAAGTGTATGTGCTAGACCAACCAAACTTGGATGCAGCCTACCTTTCATGGTCCATTGACTTTGTCAGCATCTCCATCAACATTAAGTTTTTGCATTTAAGTTAGTTTCTCTGAAAATATATAAGTGCTCGACCAACCAAACTTGACATGTGTATTGTTGGTCAAAGCGGGGCACAGGCGACTGAGACATATCAATCCAAATCATGGCTTGTTATTTCATTTCAAAGAGGTTTTCATTTTCGATCTTTTTGTTAAAATGTCATCTGTATACAAGCTGAGAATTGGGAAATTTTAAAGAGATTTTGGGAAATAACACCAAGAATTTTGATTAGAAATATAACAAAATTTTAATTTAGAGTCACAAAACCCCCCCAGAAAAAGCCCTGTATATAGATAGAATTGCAAATTAAAAAAAAATGTTATCATTCTGCCCTCTGGGCCCCTCTTTGTTCTGATCTAAACTCATTCACCCCTGAAGACCTGTTTGAACTCTTTTAACTCAAAGGTTGAAATAGTTCATTATGAAATTTCAGACGTGATACAGCTGCCGTAGGGAAGCATCTGAGGGCAGCGTAACATATCATTTAAAAAATCTGAAAGTGAAAATGTAAAAAAGTACCGCAGACAGTTCTGATACCCTTGACCTCGTTAACAATACGGTTGCTTTAATAAACTGATCTATACCATCAATGGTACAGTTCCCTGGCCAAGTCATACAGAAGTTATATAAGCTCATTCATCCCTACATATTCAAACTGGACTGGCCAAGTCATTGATTTGGTAAGGTTCAAATGTGACTTTAGGGGTATATTGGTTAAGGGGGATTACTTTAATATGAATAAAAACTACTGTGGAATTCTGTAGCGTTGTATCTGCAGTGGGACAGGGATTATCATTAAGTTCCAATTTAGGCCAACAAAAATATAGTCTGTTTAGGGTTGCATGGGCAAAAAAACTAGGGTAGGTAGGTCAGTGTTTTTTTGTTTTTTGTATATTTTTGGTCATGTGATTATGACCCTACTATTGTATGTAAAACAAAGAATAACATAAACAAGGTTCATTTGGAGGCAAATTGAGCTCCATATGATGACATTTAGCGCCAACACGGAGCTGGAAGCCATTTTGAAAGGCAAGGAACCTTCTAAAATTCGAAAATCAGTGGGTTTTTTGTTTGTTATTTTGTTATTTTTTTTCATCAAAAAGTTTTGGGTCTGGGGTAAAAAGCTAGGGTCGGACGGGAACCCTAAACAGACCCTTTTTTTTGGCCTTAGTGTAAGCACTTTGTAAAATTTTGTATTGATTGCAGAGACATATAGTCAAGGATGAAAAGATGTATAAATTGAATAATTTTCAACTTTGGGACTGGATCAATCAAAGTTTCTTCTGATTCAGATGCAGAAGAAAACATTTTTTTTAGATCTGATAGTTTTAGCAGGGCAATAACATGTCACAAGGTTGTAAAAAGGGAAAATACTAATTTGTTTAGGTATTAACTTGATGATGTTCCGATGGTTATCGAGCATACTCTTTTGTAGTTTGAATATCAAACAGATGAACCATAGTAATTCCTAGAGCTCAATGGAAGATGTTGGTTAATAGTTTAATTGTTTAGTTATATCAAAGACTCTATGCATCTTTTTCTATGATCCTTAGGGCAATATTAAGTTATCTGAAATTGCAACAGATTATTTTGCAGAACGATCGTTGAGTTTGTACAGCAGGCTTTGAAATAGTTTTGGACATTTTTTATAACATGATTATAGATTTGGACTCAAAACTGTGCAGTTCTGTTTTTTTAATGAGGTCAATGTGATCTTTTATGTTCATCACTAGAAAACACATATTTTTACCTCTGAAACATATAGTTGAAGCGATGGTAGCTTGGCTAGATTAATTCAGCTGATCTGTCCATACCACGTTATGGTTAAACTTTTGTGTTTAGCTCTGTTACTCTAATACTCGAAGTTAAAGAGTCGTCAAACATCATTGTACATCTTGAGAATTATACCAATATATTTATTTTGTTTTATTCTTAAAGTTGGTCACTGTGACCTATATTTTCCATTGCACTGACTTCCATTTATTTGGCATTTCTACTTCTTTTATTCTGGAAGTCCAACAGTCATCAAACTTGATATATCAGGGTTAGAAATATTTTTAAAAATCCATTAGTCAGTAGTGCTAACATTTCTAATTTTGCTGGTCCATGTGCAAATCCCACTAATTTTATATAACCCAGTATTATTCAACATGATAAATGATACCATTTTTTGACAAGTCAGTTTGGCTATATTAGCGTTTAGAACCACTAGTCCAGCTGGAGATTTCACTGAGTCACAGACTATCAGCAGGCTACCCTTATTGTTGAGCCCTGCAGTATATTGGTACATCTGGTGAACTAAACCATATAGGATACATGTGTCAATTGTATGTCACCATGGCCTATATTTCCTGCTTGAATGACTTTTATTAGTGTTTGCATTTATAATTATCTCTTCTTTCTTTTCTTAGAATTCGAGTTGAGCTCCACTTCTATCCACATTTACTCATATTCACAAATAATTCAATTTTTTTTACCCATCTTCTAGCTTGATCTGATCATGACTACACAATAAAGTAATGAATGTATAATCTTTAATATGATTGCCAATTATAATTTATATTGATATCTTTTGTCTATTTTGTGCCTTCCAATCAAGAACAATAGAAGTGAATAATCTGAGCTTTCATGACCAGTAGACTTTTGGAAATAAGATTTCGACCCCCCTCCCCCATCACCCAATTTAAAAAAAAAAAAAAATGATGGTGACTTCGTAAAAAGTCTGTCAAGTCATTTTATTTTAACTGTCACGTCATTGTGACATTAAGCTCGGGTTGCAGTAACAGGCTACATGGGTAAACATATTGGGTAACAAAATTGATCTTACAAGACAATATTACACAGATGTTAAATTTTGTATTTTGATATTGTAGATTCTGTTTCAACAATCTATATAATAAGCTTTAGGAGTTTGTGTGGAGTTCGTGTGGTACAGGAATAAATCTGTCACTGTGTGTAATTTTACCCTTCATCTTGTTGATGAGAATATGTCATGTTGATATATAATATTATATATATGGAGTGATTTTCTGTCCAAATGAAACATTTCTTAATGGAGCCTGCATGAACACCTGTTTACAGTAATGTATATGTTATACCACTGTAGGGTTCACATCGGGACTGCCTTGGTATTAAATGGATACAAAAAATGCTGGGAATCCAAAACATTTTAAAGATTTGTTTTAATATTTATGTATATATATATACACCGGTAGTTACTTTTTTGGTTGAAGCGACAAGAGGAGAATAAAAAAACAGAATAGCTGAGTTTGACTTGATGAAGGACCACAAAATGAATTATTGTATATATTACCTTGACCTTCATCTATACAGACATACCTAATTTTTCCAGTAACAGGTCCATGCCTGGTAATAAGCCCACCCTTGTAGTGTAGTGAAAATGCTGACAAAGTTTAATATTTAACTTACCTATAATACTAGAATCAAGTCTCTCAGTGGCAAGCAAACAATATTGTATAAGCTTGGCCTTAATTGGGAAATGGCCTTGTTTGGTGACTAAACTCTTGTCAATGTTGGGTCCTGCACACCAGCTGCAGAGCCATCTGTGGTCAGATGAGAAATGGCTAATTGGAAAGGGCCCCCTGGACAAAATAATTGCAGACCATGCATGTGTACGTAACATCAGCTGTGCAGATTATTGTCGCTGACAACTTGACACATTTTCTCTTTCAAAAAAAATCTGACTTCCTTTTTAAATTTTTGTTATAAAGTTTATACGAATCTTGAGTCTTGAGTTTGTAGTGACTGATGGCAGTAAACTTTATACATGTATCTTTTTCAAGTTCTCTTGCGTGGGCATTTATTGAAACTTAATATTTTCCTGATTCAGATTTTTTTTATTATACACATTGTGGATTATTTATAAAAAAAAAATATACCCCCAGTATGTATGAGGATTTTCAGGCAAGTAGCCTGAGATGTATTTCTATCCAGTGGTGTCCTAGGTCAAGTTATGTTACTTAACTCATTCACCTTTGAGATTTTAAAATGAACTATTCCAACATTTGAATCGGAAGAGTTTAAATGGGTCTTCAGGTTTGAATGAGTTAATTCAATGTCATCCAGGTTTGGTGTACCAGCGTAAATGTAATTTTGTTCGGTCAGGTTATAAGGAGGTTGCTATGTAGACCCCCTCCTCCCAGGCCTGACCAGGTCTGGTCAATGATTTATAGAACTTAGACTTTCATTCAACAATTCCAGCACTGCCCAACCGCATACTCAGTTACAGCTGAGTAGACTAGAACAAGCAGACAAAAGTATCACGAGCCCAGCGTCCTACCACTATAGACTGTAAGGATTTATCATGATCATTATATATATATATTATACATGTACATGCATAGTGAACATATTTTGATTTACCATCATAATTGAATTTGAAATTTCCCACGAATGTGTGAAAGATTGATGTTGAAGCAGCCATATAGCTGGCAGTAATAGCTGGTATTTCCTTCTTAATTTATTACACATGCTTTTTATGCGGAAGGAAGTTTTGATTTTTACCTGCAAGATAAAACCAGGTAATGGGAAAAAACACCGCATATATATATATATGAGTACTGATTTGCGATGCACAGGTACATTGTTGTGTCGAATAACGTTGTACAAATGATCTAGGTCTTGAACTTGATCATAGTCATCTGAGATAGATTCCAATTTCTTGTCGTGTAAAGACAGTAAATGAGACAACATTAACGATTTAATAGAGGGCAGTATATGCTGTGTATTTTATGGTACATAAACCACCTATGTAGGAACATCGTGCATGGTAGCGTGTTCTCCAGGTGTGTATAGGACTATTTATCACTCGTTCCCATTGCTGGGCAAAAACTGCTGTTTCTCTCAATAAAAGATGCATACATATTGCAGTTATTTTTTTGTGTGTGATATATCCCTGGCATTTTGGATATATACATGTGCGTGTACCAGTATACATCCATTCTGAATCGCCCCTTGTAGTATATAGTGTAGCTATACCAAAGTTTATTATTATAAATATATTTATCTTGGGCATGTGTACGTAGCTCTCGCGATTAACAGGTTTGGTTAATAGTTATCTTTATTCTAAGTTGAAAAAATGACTGTTGTCTAGGATTTTTGGGTCATATTTATTTATGGAGGCTCTCAAACAAATTCCCAATGTATACATATGATGTTTATGAGGTGAGAATCAGCTTGTCTTGTAAACATTCGACGAAATGGAAACAACGTCAATAGAAATCAACCCCGAAGCCTGGCAAATTTCACGTTTTATAAATAGTTAGACAGAGAATCAAATGAAAACATCACCTTGAGTTTTGTTTTTCATGTTGCGTATGTAACGATGTCATTGTATTGTACCTTACTACAATTATTACGTATGTTTATTAACATGTTATATTTCAAATATAGATGTGATCTGTTGTAAGGTACTGTATGGACCCACCGCTTTTCTATAATGCATATTAGTCTTAAAAAAGTTATTTTCCTGTTAAAATTATGTTATTTCCTCGTTTCCTATATTCATTTTTCACACAACAAGTTGGACTGGAATTATTCTGTTATGAAAAACGAACAGGTTAGGTATTGTGGTGTGATGTTGTTTTCGATAAACCTTTAAAATGACGGGGCTTTTCATTGACCATTGGCTTTAAGAAATTTCAGAAATCAAAGAAAAGTCTACCTGAACTTTGGAGAGTCCAAACATATGTCAAATAGCTTTGTAGCCCACCTGTCTTTTAAAACTCAAAAAGTCAAGGCTCATTTCGGAAGTCAAGGGTCTACTTACAGTCCGAAATGACCTCTAAAAGTAGTATGATAACTTTTATAGCCAATGATTATTCTAGAAAATGTTTCGTTTAAAGTAATCAAGCTATTAGTTCCCACATGTATACAAAATAAGGTCTTCTATAATATCCACTATCTGAAGGACTGTCATCAGCTCAAGATTAAATATATCCCCTTGTATACATTTACATGGTGAATTTCCTGACCATCCCTAGAGCCTACTTTGATGAAATATTTCTGATTTAGCCAAAAAATGTTTCTTGTCTCCAAACAATCCTTTATATTTTGGTTTTGCATATATCCATATCTTTTTAATTTCTCGGGTTATTTTTGAAAACCCCCCACCAATATACAAAAAAAAAAAGTAAAGAAAACATCTGATTGTCCACATACCGAGTCTATCTTTTGGACAACAAAACCTGTATTTTTGGCCTAATGTTGACCTTAGCTTTATTACTTGAATGAATTTGGACTGCATACTTTGGTCATCGGTTACTGTTGTCTGGACATATCCCAGCTGTGTGTGTATTAGTTAGCAGGGCAGCACCGGGGTACCTGGTCCTATGGAATCTAGTTAATGGTCATCTTGTGAGTTAGGATTACCAGATATCATGTTCCATAAAAACAGACTTTTCTTTCACTTACATGTACGACTTTTACATACATTTATATATTCATGTACATTGTTTTTCAAAGGTATTTAGGTACTTTTTATAATCCCTTCCAAAATAGTAGGAGGTATATACAGGAAGGACATTGCTGGGGAAACTGTAGACCAAGTGTTTGTCGAGGCAACTACATTGCATGTACCATACTTGCCAACTTTTTGAAATTTCCACAGGGGAGATTCTACATGCTCAAGATAAAAACATGAATAAAGTTGTGTATCTACTCCTTAGAGACAAAATAATCCTTTAAAATGACATATTTTAAGTTGTTTTTTCAGATAAAATCATCACATCTTAAAATATAGTAATAGTTTAACAAATTCACTAGTTGAAAATACTTAACTTATGGGTCCAAAATCGGGACTTAATTTATGGGCCCAAAATCGGGTGTCTCCTTCCTAAATAGGGAGGGTTGGCAATTATGCATGTATATGCAGAAGGGCATCCCGCACCCCTCACCGTGACCAGGACCAGGGCTCTGGTCCTCATCCCTCCATAAAATCATACTCAGATTCTCGCCTGTTGCCGACCTCCACCCCAGCTGAATATTCTGGGTCTGCCTCAGTGTACATAATCCTGTTTCCATCAGATATATTCAGATTTCATTAAAACGATGGATTATGTCTAATGTAGTGGTTGCTGTAAGCATTTGATGATTGTGTGAATACCAAGTGAAATCCTTCAACATGCATATAATTGCCAAAATTGAATGTCTATTATGATGTTAACCATATACTGTATTGCTCTTTATTTTAGGTGGTGGTGGAAAGCGGAAGGGGAAAAGCAAAAAATGGAAACAAATTTTGAAATTTCCCCATATAACTGGGTGTATGGATATAAAAAATAAAATTTGTAAGTATTCATTTTTTGAATTTCATTTTTCATGTAGTGTAGATGTAATTTATAGGGAAACAGGCTTGTTATTAAGTAAAGATTAAAGAAAGATGTTAAAGTCACATTCAATTTAACTGCTTTTAGATGTACAAATTATTGTGGTCCATCAAAGATGAAATACGATTCACTTTAAGTATAATAACATGCAGAATTTCATGATGTTTTGATGAACAATATCATTGTCAGATTGGTGTGTACTAGAACTAGACAATATTTCACCTTTGTCAAAATGATACTAACTTGCTGTTGCTAAAGTGTTTATAGTTACAGTTATAGTATTATTTGTTGTTCTTTGTTCATGAATTATTTGTAAAATTTGGTGAATGAAAAGCAAAGATTTATGCTGTTTCAAGTCAATTGGTAGCATTTTATACTGAGAGGGACATTATCCAATTGTTGCTGTGTTAATACATTATTTGTCTTCCTTGATGTACAATTTAGACTAACCATTGAAATTAATACCTAATCTATTTGTTGTCTTTTCTTATCCTTTGTTTATAAATAATTCATATATATAACTAAGTACATGTATAACCATTGAAAGAAAGTGGGTAGCATTTCATGATAAGGGGAGGTAATCTGTTTGTCTCTCCTTTGTTTACACAACTTATTAAACATGAACATTTCTGTTGCAGCTCAGTCGTATCACTATATTGTGGAACAACAGCCAATTGGACGCGAATTGTTCCGCATGTACTGTTTCCGAACACCCACACTTGCCAAAGCCATCAGTTTCCTAGACATGGTGGTAAGTCTCATAGAATTAACATTTTTCCATATGTACTGCTTAGCAATGGCAGACGAAACAAGCGGTTCAAACAAAGCAAAATTTAATATTTTCTTCATGGCAAGAGAATTTCAAGGTAATCTGATAGCTGGTATTTTTCTGCTTAACATAAACAAAGTACTGATACAGGCCATGTCCCTGCTATTGTCAATTTTTATTGAAATGATATTTAAAAACTGATTCCACCAATGCTTCAAACGGTTAACATCTAAAGAGAAGTCAGGGGTTGTGAGCCTATTATCTTTTTCCTATGTACTTTTTATACGCCCGTCGAAGCCCATCGGGCGGGCGGGCGGGCATGCGGGTATGCGAACGATGTCCGCTCGATATCTCGAGTAATTATTAACGGATTAACTTCAAACTTCACAACAAGGTTAATTACCATGAAACCTCGGACAAGTTCGATAACCGCCATTATCCGACCATAATTTGTGGAGTTATGCCCCTTTATGGACTTGCCGAAACAGTGTCCGCTCGATATCTCGAGTAATTATTAACGGATTAACTTCAAACTTCACAACAAGGTTAATTACCATGAAACCTCTGACAAGTTTGATAACCTCCATTATTCGACCGTAATTATTGGAGTTATTCCCCTTGGTTTCATTAATGCGATGCATGCATTCCATGATGTTGTATTGCACTCATTGATCTACCAGTTATGTTGAATGATTTCTCTTTTAATATCAATTACTCACAAATGCTTCATATATTTCAATCATACAAACAATTGCTCATTCAATGTGTGGCGGGCGTATTATATACCGCTCGCGGTAACCTTGTTGAATTTATCATGAAGTGATTCTGAAATTTTAGAATTATCTGTTCAATAAACTCTTTTTAACATGAAAAAAATGGGTATCTTCATGTTCTTCCAAATATATCTCCTAACGACTTCAAAATAGAAAATGTCTTTTTTTGCCCCTTCATACCAATCCCCACCAAATTTCCAGACACGGTCTTAAGGAAGTTAGGTCAGCCAACATCTTTTCACAAGTGATTACTATATAGCAAAATTTATAGATATAGTCACTGTGGTTTTTATCAGTGCATGTAAAAAGCCTAAAAAATCAAATTGGCCATTATTAAAAATAGGAAATCACATTTTCACAGTTGTGTAGACTGGAATAGTTTAGATGACGTGTCTTGTTCTAAAAAGGACCAATAACATTGATTAACTGTTGTTTTATAAAGGACCAACAGCATTGATTTACTGTTGTTTTATAAAGGACAGACAGCATTGATTTACTTTTGTTTTATAAAGGACGGACAGCATTGATTTACTTTTGTTTTATAAAGGACGGACAGCATTGATTTACTTTTGTTTTATAAAGGACGGACAGCATTGATTTACTTTTTTTTTATAAAGGACGGACAGCATTGATTTACTTTTTTTTTATAAAGGACCAACAGCATTGATTAACTGTTGTTTTATAAAGGACGGACAGCATTGATTTACTGTTGTCATTGCTGTGATTTGAACCTATGGCATTTAGCTGTAGGTCAGTATAGGCTAACACACAGCTGGGGCCAGGTGGCCAAGTGGTTATAATTATTGCATCTCAATGTTTGAGGCCTACGTGGGATAGTTGCCAGATATTGCCCCTAGGTAGCTGGTTTTTCTCCAGGTACTCCAGTTTTCCTCCGCAACCAAAGCTTGGCACACACTAAAATGACCAATGTTAATAGGATGTAAAACACAAACAAACCAAAACAGACACATTGCCATCAATAAAGCACATTTTGGCTAGTACTCTTCCGTTGACCAGGAAGCTCAATCAGTTATAGCAATAGTATAACAATCTGAAGTCCAGAGTTTGAATCCCAGTCTAGTCCCGCCTAATATTTCACACTCAGTGCTTATGTTGATTGCATTTTGTTTATTTCGTCTTTATTATTTTCTACGAAAGTCCTGCAAGCTCTGTTTTTCTTTTCAGAGATGATGTACTAATGATATACAGTCGAACCTCGTTATCTCGGAGTCGACGGGGTCGTGGGAAAACTTCGAGTTATCCGAGTATTCAAGTTATGTGGGTTCATAGATTTGGTATGAAATTTGCTGTTGGGACATAGCACTAGCAGTTGTTGATTTCATTAATAGCCAATGCTTGTAATCAATCGATAAATGATATACGTAATCAATATAACAAATACAGCTATGTAATTTTACAATAAACACGCTTACAAAATTAGAGTAAGTTATTTCAGAAAAACGTCTTTCGTTTTTTAAACGCGATCAAAACGGTTGGACCATTGTGTGAATTCGTTATTAAATATGGACGGGCCTAGTGATTAAATGTTGTTTTTGGCTAGTATAGATCTTGGCAAATCTTTCCAGGTCTGCATTTGTATTTGTAAGTCCGTCAAGTTTTACTTCTGAAGTGTTACATTTCAAACCGAACTATCCCGCTGTCTCTGATCTCGTAGTTTACAATGCGGAAATTAAAGTGCGCAAGTCTAAAACAAATCACTGTAATGGAGTGCACGCATAGTTGATTCTGTAAATGAAAACACACAAACAAATTATATCGTACATGTGACACATTGATTCATTAAAGCCAAATATGACACCTGACACCTCCTCAACTCGATGTAATCAACAGCAATTATCGTTTTGTTCTTAAATCTCTCGATCGACTTTCAAAGCCATACTGGCTCCTGTAAAAACATGAACCCGTCAAGCTGTCCTAGGTTGTGATTTCAACTGTGGAACTCTTTTATGCATGACCACGCTTTGTGACCAATTTTCCGGTTTGCACTGTCGTCTGTTTACGTGTACAAATCATTAAACAGACTCGCAGTAAGTACAGATTACTGTTGATCAACATTGATGCAGTTTGTTTTTTATTATGAATAACATGGTTTTGACAGTCCGTAAACTTAACAGTCCTAAGCTTTATCATAAATTCTTTTTTACTGATTTCATGCTAGTCTACTTACGAAAGATGTTCATAAACATGGAATGGCGAAATGTCGTACTTTTGCGTTTTATTTGTATCAAAGAATTAACAAGTGACAAAATGAAATTTGGATACTATGTTGGATTAACGCTATTGAAACCAATATTTTATTTCGAGGTATCCAAGTTTTTCGACTTTTCAGGGTTCGAATTATCAGAGTTTTATTTACTAAGATAAAGAACAGATTTGGCCGGGACCGGAGAAATACTTTGAGATAAACGGGTCTTCGAGTTAAAAGAGTTCAAGATAACAAGGGTCGACTGCATTTAATATATATAGTCATGCTGGAATAGAACAGTTTCCAATACAAACACACTGAGAGTTTTTGGTAGTGGTGTGGGTAGCCTTAATATAAATAGTAATACTTAAATGGTTGTTAGTTGTCTTGAAAATGTTTATTCGCTGTTATTGTTCTGTTTTATGAATTTGAAAATAAACATATTTCAAAATTATGTGTATAACTTAGTTTCTCTGAAACTGTAAGTGCTATCCCAACCAAACTTGACATGTGTATTGATGGTCAAAGCGGGCACAGGCGAGACATTTCAATCCAAATGGTTTGTTAAAGACTCAGATATGTATCCCATCCACTAATGGAGAACACAATAAATTATATAAGGTTGCGGGAATATTTTTTCAGGAGGTGTTATAATATTGTTTGCTTCTACTTATACTGAAACTGTATTATCTCCACCAAAGTCCTGCTGTTGCTCGACCAAAACCTGTATCAATTGGAAACCTGTATTTTGTCCTGGACTTTCTTATATTATAATGTTGATGCTCTCGTCTATGGTGGCTTTGACGTAAATCACCTAACGATAGATGCAGGCTTTCCCAAGTCTACGTCCCTATCTACAGAAGGAGCTGTTAAATTGATAGTTATACATACAAACTCAAACCTTTTCATATTTTATATTAAGCTCCAAGTTTTATCAATGGTTACTGTTACAAAAAAGTCATTAAAAAAATTGCTGCACAGAGTTAGAAATATTTATTCTTGGCACACAAGTATGGTATAGGACAAAAAATTAAGTGTATGAAAGATATGACGGCAAGAAGCAGAGCCTCTGCAAGACTAAACATGCCAGATTATACACATGTACAGATCTATACACTGTAATGTCGACAAAAAACGTTTCTGTTTGTATAACCAGCTGGATGATGATGAGTTTTGAATGAGATAATTATAACATTTTATTTGAAAAAATCTCTTTCCGCATGAAATATATCTTCTTTCTCTGTGAAATCGATAAGGTTATTATATTTGTCAGATATTTTCAATGGGAAAAAAAAGGAAGTGTTTCCATTTTGGTTTGAAACTTGTCTGAAATGATATAATAATGACAGCTAGATTACAACTACAGCTTTTCATGTTTTGATGATAATATAAGTTTGTAAGGTGAACATGTATGCATCTTCAGAAAGACAACTTAAGATAAAAATATCTTTATGTTAAAACATGTTGTTACCCACAGGCACAATTATGATAAAAATGTTTTTAGCTCTTTTACCCCTGAAGTTACATTTGAACTCTTCTAATTCAAAGGTTGGAATAGTTCATTATGAAATTTCAGGGGTGAGTGTGTTAAAATATTTTTCAAAAGATACTATATATAAAACACCTTTGGATGCATTTTATAGAATAATAGTTGGGTAAACTGGTAAAATAGAAAATTGGAAATTAGAGGAATCAGAGTTAGGAACTGCCTCTGCAGATCTTTTACCAGTGTTATCTGGGAATTGTTATATGCATAGTATCAAAATGAAAGATGAATATATTGCAAAGGGAAGTAACTGTAAGCCAGATAAAGCTCCATTAGGTTGATTCATATTCTATTCATAGGAGAATATTTCAAGTTGAATGTTCTGCACAGGGGTACCCTTTACCTTCACTGTAAATTGGCACTCCACCCGGATGTTCAGTACTTTTCAGAATTGCATGTTGAACAAATTTCAAGAATGAGAGATGTTTTTGAAAATCCATCTGCATACTTTACATACTGCAATAGACCTAGCTATGCAATATAATGGAATCTTTTTCCACTTTGGGGTTATATTAAGACTCAACAATTGGGGTAAGATTCTTAAATGTCTATCCCAAAGTTTTAACTCTGAGTGAGGGAATGATTATTTTTTCGTCCAGATGATAAATACTGTACATGTATTACCATATGCATGTAAATATTTCAAGACTTCCAAGAAAAAGACATGCATAACACACATTATCACCATGCAAAGATGTTCACAAATATGGATGACTGTCGATGGTGTACACCTTTCCAGGAAAACAGAGTCTTTGCTCTTGGAAGACATATCGCTGCTCTCATGAAAGATCACCTTCATATATATATATATATTTATATTCAAAGGATGTTTTCACTCAAAAATATCATTGTCCGTAATACTGAAAGTGGCCATTACATATATCTTCAGTATAAATGTAAGCTGCTCCGGTGTCTCCTACTCGAAGGTGGTCCAGCTAGACCTTCCAGTAGCTGTATCTAGGTCAACACACAGGAGGGGACTAGTGACTGCGGTGTTGGCTAGGTTTGGCACAGAATTATTCAAGGTCGATGGCTTTGGAATCTGAAGATGCCTTTCAGCGTGATTGGGCTGTTGCGGAGGAGGAAATACAGATTCTGACTCACTATCACTGATATCTATGGAAATGCCACGCTGAAATGATTGATTAATGAGACCTTCCGAATTAGCACGGTCACGGAATGGTTCACACGGTATTGACAGACTTTGATCCGTAATCACATTTTCAAAATGTTTAATTGGCTGGGTGTGCAGCTTATAAGGTTGAAATTCATGAATATTATTGGAAGGCAATGGTGAGACTATAGAAGGAATGCCATTGGTTACTGGCCCCACCGTTTGGTGTGATATCTTGGGGACGACTGGTACGAAGCCAATATCGGAAAGTTGCCTGTTAGCATCCAATATGAGAGGACAACCTTCTTCCTCCAAGATCGACTGAACATCCTCTTCTTCATCAGCATCATACAGGTCAGTGAAACATGTAGCAGAGGACTCCATGCTGTATGCCGCACTGTCTACGGACTCCATCTTACACAACTTATGTTTGGGTTTCCGGAATGAACCTCGGCCATGCGTCTTCTGAACGAACTCCACTAATAGTATGTCATCTGTCTGGGTCTCCACAGAAACCATCGGTTTCTTTTTTCCGATGACCAGGTCAAAACGACATGCACATTTTCTATCAGACTTGAAATATGTGTCGAGAAGTTTTTGTTGATGTTTGCACGGCTCCTGGGAAATAGCCATCCTTCGCTCTTCGCATTTTAAGTCATCCATGCGGTGTAATCTGGCCAAATGGGATTTTCGATGGCTTAGTATTGCTTCTGTAACCATCAACATTATTATTCCAAAGCCCAAGATGACTGGACCAACAACGTGGAATATTTCACGCTTCTTCCAGAAGATGGTGTTAGACCCAATTCCTGGGACAATACTCATTACAAGGAGTAGGGTCCCTGTAAAGAGAAGAAAGCTTGTTGGGACATACAAGAATCGTAACTGCCCTGTCAGTTTTTTGGCCTCCTCTCTCTTGTCTTCACGTTTCCTCCGCCGTTGTAGATATTCACGATCCTTCGCCTTCTCACGTTCTTGAAACCAAACACTGAATTGTCGCACACGCTCTCGTTGTACCTTGACAGGATCAGACTTTCTCTTCCCATCTTTCTTCCTCGTCCTAAAATTTCACAATAGTGGTAAATCAAATATTTCAATTTGTTGTATGTTATTTGTAGCATGTATTGTTAAGAATTTATATAAGAAATTGCACTGACTGCAGCCAAGCATAATCTATGTCATGATGACAAGTTTCAGTGAGAAAACATACAAAACATTAAATACTAAAATCTACCTAACATATATACAGAGTTTTTCCCACTGAAACAAGGAGATGGATATCAACCATATTTGGTAGAAAGCATTTGCAGGTGATGGGATTCTACATTTGTAAATAGAGGAGATTACCCCTGAAGGGGTTCCAGGAGCAGCTAAAAATGGTAATTCGGCAATACTGCTCAAGTGATTTCTTCTCTGGAAATATGGGATGATTGAAAACCTTATTTATGTGATGTTTCAGTGACTTATGAAGACTTATGAGGAAGTAGCCAATTAACAATTTTAAAACGAAAGTAAATCCTTTGCATGTATGCCAACATTGAAGTTAAAGGTTGATTTATAAACCGGACAATGTAACAAAAATGATATTTGTTAAAAAATTAATTTCGGTGGAATTGAAATCTCAAAAGAAACGATTGAACTTATTTTAATAAGTTCACAAAATGATGAATTTTTTATTGGTCAGGAAGAGAATAGATTTGTAATTTTAAAACTAGGAACCCGAGCCAAAAATATTCGGACAAGTACAAACTTGTGCCAATTATATCTCATGGAATTAAATGAACTGTTTAAATGAACTCCTGTTAATTTGTAACAAGCTTCCTTCAATACAAACATACATTTTATGAAATAGATCTGAAATATTATGATACAATAGCTATAGTACATTTGTGTGACCGCACAACGCACCAAAAGCACACCGTGCATGCATCGTTCACAGACCGTCCGCACATCGTCCACACATCATGTGCGCACAACTGTGCGATTTAACAATTGTTCGCCCCGTTGTGCGCTTCTCTCCGCACAACTGTGCGATTTGGTACAATTTGTTGATCAATATTACGAAATGAAAATAATACGGAAGGCTCATATGCAATAATGTACATTGTATAGATTACTGTAATTATCTCATCTCTATAATTTAGATTATATATAATTTTACAATGCGTGTAACACAGTATACAGTGACCATTAGACTGTCAAGAATTGGTTTGGGTCCTCGGTAACAGAACAGGTAAATAACAATTTGAAGAGTGACCAGAGTTTTACCTGGTTTTTGTCTGACACACAGAGCTGATATTTGATACCGTTTGACCGTTATGAAAACACAACTGGACGTTTAATATTTGTTATTTACATTCGTTTTGGTCTATAGCTCCTCTTCACCTGGTTTTCACACCTTGGCGAGTTACGTAAGTGCCCCGGGTGGGGGGAAACTACGGTCCAGGTACAAAGTGGCTATGTTTACCTGTGTTGCCGAGACTGTGTTGTAATTTTACATGTGTCTATAAAGGTCCTTTAAAAAATACAGATATCACCATTTCTAAATTTAAGAAAGTATAGACAGAGGGTTCAGCTTAAAGATGTAGCTTGAATATAGAAAAAATACTAAAAAATCAAGTTTACATGTTTAAACAGGAAACCGTATTTGTTATTAAGCCATTCCTCAATTTACACCAACCACGATTGTTATCGCACAACGTTCGTCGATTGTCCGCACAAATGTGCGCAAGCAACGATCGTCCATTTGTTTATCGTTCGCACTTCGTGCACACATCGTTAATGCACACATCGTGCGATCCCACAACTGTAGTATAAGCTTTACTTTAACAGTGCTGTATACTTAGACTGTGTTCAGAAATGCAACTGCAATATATATACATGTATAATTTTAATTCATTTTGAAAAAAAACCATGTATCATACTATCAATTGTACCAAGGAGCAGACATTACATTTTCTGTGAAAAGACTGATCTGTAAAATGTCAAATAGTACGAACCTAGTGGAGTCACAAACTGGCCTCCGTCTCTAGAATATTGAATGATTATTTATTTTTTTAACTCTTAATAATTTTGATGACTAGGATGTTTGATTCTAAACTAAGGGGAAATAAGCTAGAACTAAAATGTAGTTCATAAAAATTTGGGGGCTGGTAGTCAGTCTAGTGGATTTATTGTACAAGATTGAAAGCCAAAAATAGTTATATATATAGCGAAAATGTTGAAAATCGTGAAAGTATCAGGACAAATATATCATGCCTGACTTCCTTTAATTACAACACGGAAATCTCAAATCTGACATTTAATTAACAAAATTCTCCTGCCAGGGTCCTCATGAAATATTGTCAAACAATGAAATAAATCTTACATCGCGATAGGGACATTTCATGTTTTGTTTTACAGAATTTTAAGTTGATACGTTTTAAGCTTTACTCTTATAACTCGATAAACCATTTAATGCTGAATTAAAATCGCCACGATTAGTTATTAGGTATGAATTTAACCAATCAAAGGTAGAATCAGAATGACACGGCATGTAATTACACAGATATTGTTACGACATCACAAATAACATATTGGTTAAATTAATATTATGGAGGAAATTATTTTGTTTGGTCAATTGGTCAATGTTTCAAACAAAAACAATGACCCCCACCCCAAAAAACCCCCAAAAAACTCCAAACAAACAAACCATTTATATCTGAGTCAAAATAATTTTTGCATATCACAGCAAAGCAGAGGTAAATCATGCCGACAACTTCGCTCCCAGCATAGGTGGCTAGGTTGTGATCAGACACAGCTGAATTACTTGGGACCCTTTTGTATAGAAATATGTTCCCTAAAACATAGGCTGATCACAAGTTGGCAGTTATTAACAGGTCCTTGACAATACTTACAAAAATGAGAATAAACTGGTTCCTTTACGAAATTGTTCTGATAATCCACCTCCTTGTCTAGATCTCCCAACACTTGACACATTTGCGTTCATGGAAGCCATTTTTTCTTCTTCAAAATATGAAGCAAAGGAAATATATTCTGGTTCCCAGCTTTGTGTCACGGGTGTTTGATGTCAGTCTGACCGTTTATGGGAGAATTTTGGGGTCAGAGGTATACACGTGTATATATATACCTATATATGATGAGGTCAACTGGAATAAAAAAATATTGGCAACTGTTTGGGTTATTCCGTTTTTGATGTTGTAATTCAATTAAGATTGAGTGGCGTCAAAACATTTTAATTTATCAAGCTCTTGTTGAAAGAGTATAAAAACATTACCTTAATTAAACATATTTGTAAATTTATAAGTCTTGAAAGATGGATTTTTTTTTTTTTATTCATTTAAATCTAAAATTTGTTTTTATGGTGTATATGGTCCCAAGCGGTACATTTATCACGCATGTTGATTTGATCTGTCATTTTTTGAGGGTCATGAATGTCAATAGATCCTATATTAAGCCAACTCGAGCATGGTCCGCAGTATAAAGACAACGGATAGATTGTTAACACAGTGGTATTGTCATGGGCTCATTAGGCCGGAATAATAGCAAAAATGTTTAAGTATCATGTGTTATAACGAAAAAACATAACATCGTGACTCATTTGGCTGAAAATATATTCCTTATGAAACACATCTTATGTCATTAATCATTAAATAAATCAATATCTAATTTTTGAGAAGCTTGATAAAAGGTAAATTTTCCGACTACAAAGGGAAAATCAAACTATGCATGATCACAAAGTCATACAAAACCTGGGGAACTACATTTATGAGGGGGAAAAAAGTTTTGTTAAATTAAATGTATCTGCTGAATATCCTTTAAGGCCAAACAAAAAAGATTTGGGTGTTTCTGGTAACCCTATCTACCCTTGTGCCTACCCTAAACCTTTAAAGTCAATTTTCAAAGAAGCGCTGTTAGTCGAGATGCGATCAATCTCCTATATAAACTATATTAATTATTTGTTAAAATAAAATTTTATTTACCTTCCCTATTTTTTCCCAACATGTTACAGGAAATGCACATATTTTTTGGTCTTGCCTAATCTAAACACATTATACATCAACTTTTAACAGTTTTATGTAAATGTGTATATTTTGATGTAAAAATTACTAGCCAAGTGGAATTGTAACTGTTCTACAAACAATCAATATGATGTTCTTTAGGGTACCACAGTTAAATGTAGTTTTTACTTTGTAGTCTGAAAAGCCAACATGCAAAATAAGTTTAGTGAGTCTCTCTAACACTGACAATGCAGGTCCAATGGTAATGTCCCAGAAATGTACAGTCCCCTAGAGTTGAACAAACGTTCCCTTAAACTGATCATTCACCCCTGAAGACACATTTGAACTCTTCCAAATCAAAGGTTGGAATAGTTCATTACGAAATTTCAGGGGTGAATGAGATATTCCATGTAGGAAGACACCACTGAATTACAAGAAAGATTTCTGTTTCCCTATGGAAAGCCATAAATTAAGGAATGTTGGTGAAGCAGGCGACTTTATAACTAAACACACAGGGACTTAGCCTGTTACCCACTCAAATACCCAGCTGTTTATAAGGATATAATTGCCATAATTAGTGCCACTCCCCGTTTTTAGGGAGGAGTTATATATAAGGTCCTTCTGTTATACTGTAGCAACGGGTGAAGCTGCAGAACTTGTTTTATTTATAACTCGCATGTTATCATCCTAATAAGCTGTCCTGCATATATATAGTTAATTTTTAAGCGCCATGTGCGTTAATTACGGCGAATATGGTACGTTATATATATATTATAAGCAGTCAAGAGTTCAAATAACAACAACATATACATGTATACATATATTTATGATATATATGGTCAAAGTTCAACCAAATGTCATGACTTTTGTATTAACCAATAAATCAGTCCTGTTGTAAAATCCATGTGTGGATAATGGGAATTGTTTACAATGCCTCTCCAGTCAGGAGTCAGTAAACTCAATTTCAATGCTGCACGGAAGTCCCGAAACAGATTCGTCACTAAATTAATATTCTTTTACATGTACTTATTCACAATTTTTTTTTTCTTTTATTCAATAGAATGATTATGAAGTTGCACCAGATGAAAAAAGACCTACCAAGGCCACCGAAGTGTTTGAAAAATATCTAAATTCAAAGGTATGTAGCAGATGTCCAGATATTATAAATATTTATTTTGGGGACATTTTTGGTAATACCGTTTTTGAAGTAATAAGGTCACCCCTTCAGGATTTTAAAAACATAACACAAATCTAAATTGGAACAATTTGTGATTTTATTTTTCATTGTGGATTTTTAGAATTTCTAGATTTCTTCTATTTTGTTTTTTGGTGAATTAAATTATTAAAGGGACCAAATTGGCACTGTGCACAGGTGTTTTTAATGAAAGCAACACTGCAATGAAAAATTATCTGCTGAAACAGTAGCAAATGCAATCTTTTAGAATAATAAATCAGTTTATTAATGGGGAAATCAACAGTGGAAAAATTGTCAAAATACAATGTATGTTGTTCGAGGAAAAGTGCCGAAATATAAGTGCCCCAGTTCATATTTACTCTTGCACAGTGTCTTCATTATGTCAAATACGGGATTTGCCCTGTCATGTCCTACTTACATGCACAATAATGATAAGTGTTTCAGAAGTTCTATTGGTAGGTATCATAAATTGAATCAGCTGAAATTACTCCTATTTGAGGCTTGAGGGCCAAAGTTTTTTCCCCTGCATAACTGGGTTGGATACACAGTAGTCCAGAGGTAGAACGCCAGGCTCGTGACCGAAGGGTTGCGAGTTCGCGCCACGGCACGGCAATGTGTTGTATCTTTTAGCAAGATACTTTACTCCGCTTGTTCTATTCTACTCAGCAGTGTAAATGAGTACGTGGTTGGGCAGTGCTTCGACTGTATGCTCCCCAGGGAGTTGAGAAATTTATTGGCTGGTTGAAAGGCCCTATAACCACGGATAATAATTTGTGAACCGCTTTGAGACGACCTACAAACTAGGTTGTGATAAAGCGGTATATAAGAACCTCAAATTATTGTTTTTATTACTCCACCCCCTAGCATTTGGGTTATCTCCCCCCTTAATCCCCTTCCCAACAAGAAATTTCATCGAGTCCTATATGGAACTGATCATGACCGCCTGTCTTATCTGACGTCAAAACCTGCTGATAACTTTTCCTCATCAATCTGTTTTCAGCAGCTTCCTTTCTAACGTGACTAGAAACTGATTTTTCATTCCTTCGATTTAAAAAAAACACTGACCTAGGCAGATTTTTGATGGTCTCCTCGAGGTCCTTGTATGTATGAAAAATTGTGACTTAAAAACACAACAGGTTCAATGCACTAGTGATGCTATACCAGGTTTTTTTTGGGGGGATTTTTGGGGCCTATAATGGTCCCTTTTCTCAATGAATTATTTCCCATCATGCCTTATTCCAAAAGGTTGCAGTCTACTCCTAAAAAATTCTTTCCCGATTGATATATTTTCCTCCCAAAATGAGACAAAAAGGCCTCTTCCTAACTTAATGGAAAAAAAATCAGTGTTCGCATGTGGTGAGGAATGAAATAATAGTGGACATAATTGGTTGACTTGAAACACACTGGCCATGTACTTTAACATCAAATTTTAGTTTCATGGTGTTTAGCTTTCAGGTGACCCTTGACATTTAACGATTTCCATAGTCATTTAGAATTTTCCTTGAATTTTGGGAAGTCGAAACCTATCTTCAATAAGATTCATCAGTTTGGAAATGTGTGATGTCAAAGTGCACTCAGTCATAGGTTGACAAAGGGACCGGTCGGGCTTGAAACGTTGTGACACGTTTAATACGTACGTTGTTTGTGTAGAAAGTAAAACTTTGATGTCAAAACATGTGTCAAACGGACCTTTCCTTTAAAGTTTTGTTGTCAAAGCTCAGTACTGGAAATAAAAAATGCTGAAAAGTCTGGTTACTACAATAAACTGATAATAAGTTGTCTAAATTTATGAAAGTCATTATTATATGCTACATAGCAATATTACAAATCGCCATTTTGAAATTGAACATATGTGCAGCTGTCGTTTTATCTCCAGGCTAAATCACAGAGTGAAACCAGGGTCGTTAATCCAATCATTTAAGCATTAAAAAATAGGAGAAAAATCTGAAGCCCTTCTTTTAATGTTAATCATGGATTTGTTTTAATTGCAACGGAAGAATGTCCCATGTCACTAAAAAGAATCGAAGTTTTGGACGAGGAGTTACTGATTTGTTTATATATATACATGTAAACCTGCAATTATTAACCATGCAGCAGGTGTAACCAAACCTTTGTCAGACTCGGTTGATAAACCACATGTGACGGAACACGGCAGCTGTGGTTTTGATTTTAACTACAAGCTTGATGCAAATAGTTTTGACATGATACAAATTAAAACATGGTACAGAAAATCACACTATTAACTCATTCACCCCTGAAGACGCATTTGAACTCTTCCAATTCAAAGGTTGGAATAGTTCATTATGAAACTTCAGGGGTGAATGAGTTTAACAGTCAGCATTAAATTTGAATATTTCAAGGGACAGGTACAACTGAAAGACATGTACATACAGCAGCTAGGTTGATTCACACCTGGAGAATTTTTGAGTCAAAATTGTTTGTTTATTGTAGGCAAGGTTGATATAGCATATTTATATATCAATTATCATGGTTTTGTAATGAAATGTATATATTTTTTGAATTTCAAACCTTCTTTTACATGTATTTCGGTTAATTTCAATTAATGAATGAGAAACATACTTCTATTAATAGTCTTCCCTTGGACTTAGATACCTGGGTCATAAAATATAACATGGAATGGTCACGATCCCCACCCCAAACAATATACAATTGCTGGACATGAATGAAAGATGAACACCATCATGCTACCAGCGTTGGCGCCAGGGTCATGGCCTGCCCCTGTTAACTTAGTCATTAGCTCAAATCCTGACTGTTATCATATAACTGTTTGCTAAGGGTGAAGAGATAAACATAATCATGCTTCCAGGATTAGCTCAGGAGTCTTGCCCTATCCCTGGGGACTTGGTCCCAGGGTCATGACATGGAAACAATTGACATTCTCACCTATACCCATGTACACAAATATATATACAACAATCAAGGTAAATTTCTTTGATTAAAAACTATCTTAGTCCTTTGGACCTTGGAATCAATTGCTTTAACTCATTCACCCCTAAAATTTCATAATGAACTATTCCAACCTTTGAATTGGAAGAGTCCAAATGTGTCTTCAGTGGTGAATGAGTTACATGCAGGTGGAGATCTAGAGTGTATTGCTCCCCTGAAGGCTCAGTTTCAGATAATTAAACAAGCATGTGAGTGATACAGGCCCTATAAGCCTCTTGTTTATTTTTTCAAGCAAAAACAAGTAAAAACCAGTTACCATTATCTTCCTATTTCAGTTTACTTTTGTCACAATGCAATGATTACATTAATTGTTATTTACCCTTAAGGATCCCCGTACCACTGCCAAAAGCTGTAACTGAGTATTGGAAATTGATTTTTCTGGCTGGAATTTAACTTTGATAAATAAATCATTTCAGAAAAGATGACCATACCTTGTCCGACTTTTATGAAAAATAATATACATCAAATAAATAAAATATATATCAACAACAATGTTCTGAGTGTACTGATTGTCATATACTATATGGCTCTAACCGATTGAGCTACCGGGTCAACGGAAGTCGCCTAGCCTACTGTACCACAGTATTATCCATGGAAGTTAATAGGAGGATAATGTTTATAGGGAAAACCACACTGCAGTGGGACAGGGATCCCTTAATTATAAAAATACATGTAGATAAGAAATGTAAAAAAATAAATCAACTAAAAAATAGGTTTCGGAGGCCTGCAGAAATGGGATGGTGTAGTACTGCTACTCTTCATTGTAAAAACCTAACCTGGTCCAGCAGATAGGCCAACTAGCTAGTGCTGCAACGATATATCCTATCGCGATACTTTCTTGTTTATGGTATTGACTTGTTTTGTTTGCCTGTATCGTGATACACTAACTACTTAAATGATCAATCGATTTTTACTAAACATTTAAAAAAAGTGTACTTATACCTTTTGATTCCTTGGTATAAAGGTACGGTCCACTGTGCAGTCATATTATACAATATTATATTTTGATAATGTTCACTATGACAAAACTTGATAAAATCCTGCAAACAATCATTATGAAGTTTACCTATTAAACAGATCGTGATACATATCGTATCGTAAGCATCGTACTGCAATACGTATTGTGTCGTGAGGTATGCGTATTGTTGCAGCCCTAAGGCCACCTACACTGGCGGGTAGTATTCATTCCTAGGAGATTTAAGGTCAGCCACATCCATACAGTAGATTGTCATTTATTTATCTGAAATATGACTAAAACGACCCCTCATTAGTGTTGCGACTGATCATGACAGGCATGTGACAGAATGTGTCAATTTCCTTCACCTGGACTATATATTTGTGTGTGCCAATCCGACATTCACATGATCTGAACCCTGACCTACTGACCAACAGTGTATTTATGTGCTATTTATGTTACCATCATGTTTGTGGTTATAATTGGCATTTTTCAGCACAGGTGATCTGGTTCGTGATATACCGTCCAGGTACAATTATACTAATGACATACTAATGTCGTGATATCCTGATGAGATAATTTTATTAATAACTGATTTTTGTTGCGATGTTGCATAAATACTGAAATAAACATATGTAAATATTGATCTCTCTTGTACTACGTCACCACTTAACTGCAAATTGATAACTATAAATGGAATGCTGAAGTCGACTAACATGACGTACTTGCAACACGTGTTTCTAAACATCAAATAGTTTAATCAACGCTGACAAAAAAACGAGGATTCTCAGTCATATGAGCTAGCTTTCCTGAACATAAGTACTGCGAATATTGACCTATATTGAAGCGATGTGAGGAGAGTTGGAGGGAACCTCGACAAGTAGACTCACTACCTTGCAGTTCTAAATTCAGTTCTACACTCTGTTTCAACTTTTCCAATGCAGTTGAAACAGAGTGTAGAACTGAATTTAGAACTGCAAGGTTTCAAGATGCAGTTCATTTACCTATTCCAATTCGTCAT